CCCAGGTTCTAGTCCCAATCAGACTGCACATTTTAATTTTTTCTCACCCTGTGACATTTGGCGCCCATTGTGGGGCAGTGACAGCATATCAGGGCTCATCCGGAAGGGCGATTCAGGCGAAAACTTCGCCGTGTATATTCCAATTTCGCTCTTCCGATTGATCAAAGAGAAGTCAACATCGCCGATAAAATCTTAATTCCCAAATAGTAATTACTTAGCGATGTAAAGAGCAGAGATTGTATCCGCCCATATGACGACCGCTAATTATCATTATCCAATCAGAGCGTCGCTTTATACTACCCCTCTACCTGTAAGCGAAGCGATAGACCGCCTACTCTAAACAGTAAATAATGAGAGCATCGGCCCGAACGGTATAATTGTGTGATAGTTTTGCGAGTTTAATACGGGATTTGGCGATAATTATAAATTGTTTTTTCCCCGATTATCTAAGCAAGTACAATCTTCCCTAATTGATGTACACGATGCACTTCGATGGTGGGTTTTTAACCTGAGTAAAGGCGATGTGCAATGGATTTTTCACGGCTATCACAAAACTGTTAGTCAATTAAAAATAATCAATTTCATTAATGATCAGCAACCAGATTAAAAACTTAATCATAGTTTTGAATGATTTCAGTCTGTTAACATCAATTTTTACTGTAAAATTGTTATGTCGCTCACGGCGAAATGCCGTAACCTAGCAGTAAGAAAGTTACTGATTCTGATACGCGAAAATTTAAGAAAGCCAATTCGCAAAAATCTTGCGATTGGTATGTTGTAGACAGTAGGGGTGTTTGGCATTGTTCTCTTTGTAGAAATGCCAAATTTGACACAGTTTACACACGTGGGCAAGACATCCCGGCTTAAGTACATATCGGTCGTATATCATGTAACGTGTATATAACAACAACATTTGTCTGGACAGAAGTGTTCTTATTGTTTAAAAATAAATTCGTAAATATGACGCTCAAATTAAGATTTATCAATATTGTAAATTTTAAAAAGCATTATTTATAAAGATATTACCGAATCTAACATTTAATGAAAATAAAGGGCGGTAATTAGAAATTAATTTTCTACAATTTCTCAGTCAAATTTTTCAATAAGAAATGAATGTATGTAATTTTAGTGATCAAATATAATGTGCACAAATGTTTGCAGTACATATTTTACATATTCTTTGGTGTTTGAAAATTGTTTTATAAGCATAATTATATGCATATAAATGTGACATTACAACATTCAGGACTTTGAGAGAAATTTTGTTACCAGAACAGAGTAGAACAGATATTATTAATCAATATCAAATGTGACTTCATCTTTTCTTTTAAAGGTGAGGAAAGTAAAGTAAAAAATATGAAATTGATTTTATCATCATCCTTTCTTACACATTATTATCAACAAATGTACATGAAAATATATAAACACATATTTAGAGAAAGCTTAGATGCAATTGCCTGATCTACTACTAAATAATTAATCTACTTTTAATTAATACTACTATTAATTTATAAACTGGAGAAATATTATAAGTGATGTTAATTGTGTTTATATTATAATTAAAGGATGTATAGCCATGCATGTTAATGCATACACATTGGGTTGTTTCCCTTCTCCCTAATTTTCGCGAGGTCGTCACTTCTCCCTAAAATTTCCCCCCAGGATGAGCCCTGCATATAGTTCCAGAGTTAAATTTACATGGCTCTGTAACTCTGTGAATTCAAAGACCAATTTCAATATAGCAGGGGAGTATGTCACGGTTTAGAACTGTTCACCATTTAAGGGAAATGATGTGTAGGTGACCCGATAGTTCAGTTGTTAGAGCCATGATATGGTATTCTGAGGGTTCCAGGTTCAAGTCCAGGTTAGGCCAGGGTTCTCACTAGGACTTTAAAACATGGAGTCCATGGACTCCCAACCCTGAAAAAGTTGGAGTCCAAAAGCGCGTCGCAATTAATATGTTTACAGATTAGTCATTCAATGCTCACAATAGCATTGCTGATATTTTGAATCTTCAAGAGACTTCCAAAGTTTATAGTTATTCAAAAGAAACTCTGAACTACATAGTATAATTATTGTTTTGTTGTTGATATTTATTATGAAATTATTTCATTATAATGCATCAACACGTGGATGTCGTTTGTTTGTTATTTTTTCCACTTTTATACCAAATCAAATTTCATTCTGGTTAAATAAGTCCACTCTAAAGACAAAAAGTTACATTTGTAAAAAAAACGTAAATGTATATAGGCAGCGTTTAGCGGATTGAATAGGAAAATCGTGTACAGCTTCAAACAGTGTGTAAGAGATTCATCCGATCGACAATTATTTTAGCAAATATCTTCAAAAGGGGGCAAATTGAAGATCGATATTTAAAGATTTAATGTTGATTAAATAATAAAGGAACAATTCATTCGCATGTTTGGCTTGGAAACCGAGAATTTTAGTCAGATCACTATTGCGTGATAATGATCGTAAGCGTTATCGCTGATTGGCTAATCGCTTCACGGGTCGATGTGCATAGGACCGCCTACCTACAGACTGACACGCGCTGACGCATTTGTGTATTTCTGGTTGTAAACAATCGGTAATGTTTATGCGTCCCCAGGCAAAATTAAGCGTACGTGGAATCCTTGCTCTGAAATATTTGCGTCCAGCTGTAATAAACATGCGTACCGGGACGCCGAAATAAGTGTCCCCGAGAACCCTGTAGGCTGCACATTTTTCTCACTCTACCACAAATTACAAATCACCCTGTGTACCTGCAAATTTTCATACAAGTTTAAAAACAAATAGTAGGTAAGTGTATGAAACTCATACTGTTTAAAAAATGTTTAGATAAATGACGTACAAAATGTAGCTTCCAGATATTTTTAATTCTTGGCATCGAAAATGCTAACAAACCTATAGCAAATTTCGCAAGAAAATTTTGTGAAGCAATACAACACTCAGATCAGCTTTCAATAATTTTCAGGCGTTCATGAACAGAAGTAAAAAAGAATTACCTAAAAAATAATTTAACTGTCACATACGAAAAATAATTTTTAAATCCTTTTATATCAGTAAATTCCTTATCCAGGCGATAAATAAAATGAACTAAAGCTGATTGGCTAACTGACTGCCAGCGTTTATTAGATTCTGACTAAATTCCACACAAAATATTTTTAAATGAAATATTTATCCATGCACTGTCAGCTTTTCCATCCAAAAATTTCTATTAATCTGTAAAGTCCTCAACTTAAACAGCATGGCAGATAGGCCTTGATAGATCATTAGATAGCTGTTTGTAATTCATTTGTATTTAAATGTTTAAGAATTGTTTAATAATGACTGAGCATGAAACTGAAAGAATATTTGATAAACTTTTGATAAAAGCATTACAGGCAAGATATTAGACATTTTTTTATATTGCATGTATACGCAATGTGTTTATCAGCAATATCTATTACTAGCAGGGCTCGAATTTAACACTCGCAAACTCGCAAAATGCTAGTTGAAAAATGATTTTGCGAGTTAGATTTATGACTACTCGCAATTTTTTGCGAGTTGAAGAAAAAATGGAATACGCTTGTCAGGAAAATCCGAAATATAAATGGGGCGTAATATTCGCAGGAAGCCGAGTTATAAACTATGCGCGCACTTGCTGTCTGGTTTACATTTTCTATACCTTAACCTCGCTTAAAAAAGTACACAAATTTAAACCAGTCCAAATGTCATTTTGTCCGTGTAAATCAAGCGTGATCGGAATAAAATGTCTAAACGAAAAATAACAAACTTCTTCCCACTTAATGAAGCAAATGTGTCTTCCGATAACAATACTCTGAGTACAGAAGATTCACAGTCTATCAAAAGAAAGTCAATCAGACCTTCAGTTAAAATGGTTAAAGATTGGGAGAAAGAACTGCAGGTCAGCCTTACGTACGAACTCGATGACGATGGAAATGTTGCCAAAATATTTTGCGCCGATTGTTGTGCGCATAATCCAGACCAGACATCGTCGGTATGGCGACAATATTGCATTATTATTTTTTTACATGTAGATTGACATTTGATAAGAATCCCTGTCCCCTAAATCAAGTTTTTGAGTAGAAAGTTACGTTGCTGATTCGTACCCCGGGCAGTTCGAACTCGTCCAAATAAATTACAATTTTAAACAATTTTGGAATTAAAAAATCATTGTCGTAAAAAGTGCTAGTTGAATTCAGTTTTTGCTAGTTAAAAATTTGTCCACTAGCAAAAAATTGCTAGTGGCCAAAAAAGTTAAATTCGAGCCCTGACTAGTATTAGAAGTCGGGAATGATCCATCATAAATTATAACAAGCCCATAGCATCTGATATATTGGACTATTCTATGTACTGCCAACCCTCTGGTGAGTGTTAAAGGCATTTATTAACACAGGGAAGTCAAAGGCCAGGTTTGCAAAGCAGGCCCGGGCTTTGGTTTGCCCTGCTACAAACTACACACATATATTTACAAGGAAATCAAATTAAACAATTAAAGAATAATATAGATTTCTATACCTATCAGTGAACTTTTCAGTGCCATTTCTAGTTAGGCCCTGCCTTTTTTAATGGAACGCGATCATAATTGGCAGGGGTGTTCCCATATGGAAACAATCGCAACTTTTTGGCTTAAGATTATATAAGAATAATCAATGAGGTTTTCCAAGTCAAAACAGAAGCGGTGCATGAAATACCAAATGCAACTGTGACCACAAACGACTACAGTAAGCATAATTTTTGGCAAAGAAATCTATGTTGTTGTTTTTTTTTTCAAGTGTAATGCACGGTCAGTGTTACTCAAATAATAATAAGCTATTTCTCTTCTATATCAATGTCTTGCAGAACTAACCGATCTGAAACACCACTTGATCAAAGATTCACTCTGTGAAGAAGAACATGTCCGTCAGCAAATTTTTGCTCACATAAAATCTTCAGATGGAAAGAAGTTTGAAATACAATGACTTAAAACTCGGCACAACTGAAAAAGTAATACTTACACCATAGAATCAATGTAATGAATTCGCTTGAATATACATGAAAATGGAATAATTTAGCAAAAATCAATAGTTCACTTTCTATTTTTGATGACAGGCGACCTCTAGCGGAAGTTGCATTAACCGGTGCGTTTTAATTTCAAATCGTTGTATTTGCAAAGTTTGATGAGGTACAACAGTCTAAAAGTCACTACGGTTGTAGTCGCGCGATAGGCCTATGGTAATATTTTTTTAGGCAATTATGTTATAACGTAAAAATCAGCAATGAGATTTTGTTCATAGTTGAGTATAAATGCATCACTGGCACCAAAGTCCATAAATAATCGTAAAATGAAAAAAATATAATGTCCTTATAACAAAAATTGTCCAAAATATTATAAATAATTAATTATTTTAATGATTGTGTATATGGGGATGTGCATGAAAAGTGTTTCTTGGTAATATTTTTGACCGTTTGTGTTATATGGGTATTATTTGATTCATTTTAAGATTATTTAAGGACTCTGGTGCCAGTAATAACTATGTGGTGTGTTGTCCCCTAAATCGCGCAATACAACAACATTATACTCTTACTGTATGTCGACCTGATTGAGCGTGTTCACGAACAACCATGCCAAAAGCAAAGTGGCCCAGAAGCAGTATTCATCTTCAATATAAAAATTGTGTCTGTCTCACGCAACTCAGTGCCCCCTTTTCGTCGCCCAGAAACTCTTCAATGTCATCAGGATATATAGTTTCAGAAAATGTTCATACATGTCTTGCATGCTAAAGAAACATATGTAGGCCCTACATGTATATTTATATGATAAAGGTACTTACAACACTGCATGAAATCCAAAAACAAAACAAGGTATAACAATAACGCCTGGTATATTGCTCAGGCGTGCGTCCTATCTTGTTTAGCTTTACTGGATGAATATTAATTTAAATATGATAATTATTTGATGAAAATATCATTTCATCGAGTACTTTATATATTTGATCGTACCTAGTGCATATGTACGTATATATAAATGGATTTAGCGTGACATATTAAAGCAGACTGGCGCAAAATAAAACAACTTCTCGAAATAATTCAGTCAATTTACATTTATCTGGGCTAGACTATCTTTTCATACATTTTTGCATATTATAAAAAAATCTGTGCATGTAAGTTACGCCTTACGCGTAGATTTGAACGATTTACAATAATATTCATTAATATAGGTTGAAAATGAGTTAAATTTGTTACTTGAATACTTAAATCGGTTAACCCCCACATATCTTTTTTTGGCGTGACGTACATCTTTTAAAATGACAAAACATGCATCGTCTGCTAGTTTTGACAATCAGTATTGCCCATTTATTACCTAATGCTTTCTATAAATATTAATTCCATTTTTACAACTGTTTAATTGAACCGCTGAAATCCTGTGCATGTGCAATGATGAAACGAACTTTAAACCGGCCAACATCACCTCTGCCAAGTAATACAACAGTTATTTCGGTGTCAGGGATGACATTTGGAACTGTTGCCAGAGGCCGAGGGCAACAGTTCCAATGTCCTCCTTGATACCTCGGGGCAAAGGTTTTGACTGTTTCACAAACACCCATGAAATAACTGTATACTGATAAAAATAATATGTCAGTGGCAAATCGTATTGTTTGCAATAGACATAAACAAGCTGTATGATAGTTTAAAGTGGCATTATGTCCATGTAAAAGGGGGTTATAATGAGTGAACTGGTGAAAGTCAAAATAGGTTTAAATTAATATTTTGCCATAATTTCAAACATTTTTATTATTTACTTCGCATGAGAATTATATGTAACCCCACGTGTCCTGAAAAAATTTCTGTAAATGCCGATTTGTCAAAAGAGTAGGGCAGGTATTATTTTTTAACTCTATATTTTACGCAGCCAATAGTCAATAACCATTAAAACAGTCAATCTTTTGGGGAAAAAAAAGTCAATTCGGCTGATCTTGACAATGAAAAAAATTAGCAGTATGTCACTGGATAATTTTCCATTGTAACATAAATTAATAATACATGTATATCATATAAAAACAAAATTTGCAATGGCAATGATTAATTTATCCATGGTAAAACATTATTACGAAATAATTGAGTTGTTTTAAAGTTTCTATGTTGATTTGTTACGTTATTATTTAAATAAGAAAATTTCTCTACGACATCAAGGCTATTATATGTTTGGCAATACTTATTTTCTTTTGGTGGGTCTCTTTTAATGAAACATGTAGATGTGTCGTCTGCTGGTAATGGCCAAAATCATTCACTGATGACGAAACAATCTTTTAATTTGTTCACCATGCCAAAATGATAACATTAAATAATAACAGGACAATTTACCACGGTAACATGATAATATATTATTACAGAACATAAATTTACCATGTCAACTTGGTAAGATATTTTGCCGTGGCATGAATAAGTTTACCATGGCGAAACATAAATTTACAATGGCAACTTCAAGCAAAATGCAGGTATTACAAAGAAAATGTATATTTTGGTTATCGTTGAACGTATATTTGATTATATCTATACAGAGAACAAACAATAAAATTGAGGTTTGGAGAATTAAATTTTTTTTGGATAACCTTCACCTTACCACGGATTTATATTACTATTTATTATTATAAATCCGTGACCTTACCTATTATTCTTTAAGATATGTTTTTGTACGAAATGCTAGCATACGGACATTTTACGATAACATTTAGTTTACACCAGTTTCTACCCAACAGAAAAGCGTAATATTTTCTATCAAACTAAAATAACTATTAGCGAGAGATGTGTAATACTTTAAGGTAAGATAAGCCGGTGTATTATTGTTCTAATTAGTTTACGATAATAACCATAAACAAAAATGGAAATATATTTCAGTGCAATAATTATCCGATCAATCCATTATCGCTATATAAGTTGAGTCAAAGGAATCTTTAAAAAGTCTTTTTTAAATTTTCTACATTGGGATATACGTACATGCATATATTTAAAGTTATCATTATAACGGTATTTGGTGATTCTTTGCAGGATTGTTATATATGAAATGTGACGTTCATACAGAAAAGATTGAAAATGTTATTACCTTCTTTTATTTTAACTCTGATTTCAATTCTCTTTTTTGTTGTCGTTAGACTTTATATTCAAGTTGTTACTCCCGAGATGCTGCTGTTAGGTAATGAAGTAATGAAATGTTAAAAAAGAAATTTAAAAAAATAATGCAATAAAATGTCAAAGTTCTGCAAGTTTCACGCAAAATTAAGCACAATAAAATTTTATATCTGAATTCTACCCTATTACTTATGAAGTAAGTTCTATTCAAGGGGGGAGGGGGGGGGAGGTTTCGTCACGGAGCTTTTTTCAACGGCTTGATAATTTTCTTTTATTTATATTTTGGAAAAGGAGAGATCCCTGCAAGTAATGAAAACAACAGAATTACACGAAAAATTGATCAAATCCAGTCCGTTTATGGGCGGAGTGCAACATTCATAAGGAAGTCATCTTTTTGAGTTGGAGTCTTCATTGAAATTTGGTAAGTAAAATAAAACGTTGTGAAGCTGTTAAACAGGAGATGCTACCAGAAGATGCCCAAAGGAAATCCTGCTGCACCTTTAACCTTTCTATCTTGTTTACACATTGTTTTGGTAAGTCTTGCCTGTTTGGTCACGTCGCTCCTTTCATAATTACAAGAAACACATTTATTTGTTTAAATATTTTAATATAAATATGTTTCAATAGGGTAATTATATTTCATAAATATAACGAGATTCATACATGAATATACAAGTTACTTACTTAGACACTACATACAGAAAGTACACGTCATTCAGGATAATATGTCAGTTGCATCTCCTATTTGTTCTATTTATAATTCCTTAACTACCTACAAAACCTGATAATGTCTTTTTGCAAAATCTTTGTTTTAACAATCCTGCCAAAATGCAACAAGTGTGGGGAATGAGCTGAAAACTTTACAATATTTTCTCAAAAACATGACATGCATTTAACTTACCTCTGAAATCATAATCTACACTATTTCTTAGAATGGGTGGAGGATTCGAGAAACACAACTATTCAACAGCATCTGGTATTCTATACCTTATATCAAATTATTTGAACCAAGTTTCAATACTTTGGTGACTGTTTCACATGATTTCCACCAACACATTTTAACACATTTTTTCAAAATTAGACTAATTATTTCACTTGTGCAATTGAGAAATACATTTTAATCATCTTTGCGTTATTCTGACACTTTCCCCTGAATAATCTGTACATTTAACATATCAAAATACAACTAGTTGGGCAACAGTACATAGAGAATGGTCCACTAACTGTATCAAACAAGGTAAAATGTTTTCTATAAATAAACATATTAAGTATACATGCTTAAATGTACTCGTAAATGCATACAAAATAAAATACACCAAAAATATATGAAAATATACAAAACAGAAAGAGTGTTTTTCATGCAATTGAAAAGAAAGTGGCTTTAAAACAACAGCATTGAATTGATAAAATAATTGGTAAAATACTTATAATTTTGGGAAGAACTTCATTTATTTAGTCCACTGTACATATATAGTCATAAATGTCAATCTTATATTTTATACCATCAAAGAAAAGTAACAAGTAGCTTAAAATGACTTGAAAACCTTTTGCAGATAATACTTATTCCATTTCTCTTTCTAGGTAATATCCTTATAAATCAAAATTTCCTGTATAGATTTGATGTCATTATTCATATATAGGGAGCATTATGTAGACATTTACTCCAAATGATATGCAGAAAGAGAGAAATCATAAACTTTATTTTAACAACATATGCCATTACATGAACTAAAAAAACACAAAAAGTAAGCTTTACAAAAGCTAAATGAATGCTAAAGTTTAAGTATTTTTATGCTAAACAATGCAAAACTTGATTTTACCAGTTAGATATAATGCATATTATTCACTGGACATCTTTCACTATGAAAACATGTCATTTTTTTCATCAATGTGCGTAAAATACAGTACAAACTATGCTTGATTTTCACAGATATGAATCTTAAGTATCTTTCTTTAGACTGAAATATAATATATCTCACTCCCACTATTGGTTTTAGAATGAAAAAAATATTAAAAATATCTCACTCCATGGACAAATACATTCCATATTCACTATTAAAACATAAAAGACATCCTGTATGTATACAATAAATACAGAAATAAAGTTGACAAAAATTTGTGAGTAAAAAAATTTATTGCACAAAACAAAGATATAAGTAAGATTGATATAATGAATGTATATATAAAAACACTATAGTTCATATAAGATAACTGTAATTGTATTTCACAAAAATACCAAGTTTCTACGTAAAAAAAAAGAAGCCAAAAGATATAAAAATTACATGTCAATAAAAAAATTCAAAAATTTTAATTCCACAAGTAAAGAAAATCAAAACCATTTGAAATATTTTTGTTTTACAAACACTAAATAAGTTTCTAAAAACAGAATAGAAAAGCCCAAATAATTCAAGTAGAATATTGGAAGTAAGAATCCCCCTCCTCCCCCACAATATCAGTGTAATTTGTTAATTAGGTAAATTTTAAAATTTTGACCCAAATCAAAATGAAATGCACTTCTTTGTAAAAAATAACAAAACTATTACAAAGATTTTGAGATCAAATAAAAATGCAGGTTTCAAAGTGTCTGTGTTTCTTACACAGGCAACAATAAATAAATTGCTAGATGTCAAAACTTTAACTGTTTTTGTCTGATCAAGTAAAATCAAACTAATGTGAGAAGAGGTTTCAGATATAACTTAACCTTTTACAAATTTCATAAAGGGTCAATGAGCATTCTCAATATCAAAATATCAATCCATTTTGAACACTTTGAGTTAGACAACTTTACAAGCTAAAGTAGCACCAAAAGCTAAAGGGAGGCAACTACTACAAGCAAATCTAACAAATGCTAAAATTGACATAAAAACAAATTGTTATTTCTGAGCAAAATTTCTCAAATAAGCCTTGAAAACTTATTCCTTCTTTTTACAGAGGAATTAAATTTTAGATTATGATTTGAAAATGGATTAACAATTTTATTTCTTCCCTCAAAATAAAAAAAAACTAATATTCTTATAAAAATGTTAATAAAAAGCTATAAGGTACTACAACCTTGAATTACTGAAATGTTTATAATACCACAATACATATACATGTATGTAATGCCATAAGTAAATATAAGTAAGTTTACACACAAATATAAAAATAGAACTATTATTATCATCTGTAAAGACATTTTATTCAAACACTCACTGAAAATTGCCACAACACAATAAACACATTTTAACGCATGCTTATCATGCTGTTTTTTTCCCCAAATATTAATCAACATGTGATGTCACAATACATTATTTTGTCGATAAGAGAGATAACCTAGATTTCTAAAAGGAAACAGGCTTTTATTTCTGCTTGGGAATTTATGTATTTTTTGGTTGATATCTTTGTAGTCAAGCAGACATTTAGGTGATTTTTTTAATGTCTGACAACTGTGCCTTATACATTTAGAAAGAAAAAGACCAAAATGGAACCATTTTTTATGGCCTGGAAATTTACGAACATTTTTATTTGATAAATTTGTCATTAAACAGCAAAGACTACTTGTATGGCTATTGGCAAAGCCTTTGAGATATGGGATTGGTGATTTGATTAAAACTTCACATATCATCAAGCACTGAATAAGTAAAAGCCACTATGAAGTGTTCAGAAATGCATTTCATCAAATGTCTTCCAGTGATTTAATCTAAATCATTAAAAGTAACTATTCTACTCGCGAAAATATCATAAAGGCATTCAAGTGTATTTGCATTGTTAAGTACATATATAAAGAATTTATTTACATATTTCATTCACCTAAAAAAGAATTTCCCCTACCCCCCTTGCAAATTTTTTTTGTCTGAAATGTTAACATTCTAGAATATTTCTTATATTAACAATAATCAATTTTTTTTTCACCAACAAGTTGCTTACTTAGAAGACCTTCTTTGAAACTACTGAAAGACTTTTCAAGCTTCAAAAAACAGAATCTGTCCTAAAGAATATATGAAATTCAAACAGTCAAAACCACAAACAATTGCTTAAAATAAAGTAAATTTTAAATAACAACCAAAAAGAACTTCCCAGTAAACACAAGTCTTGGCAATAAAATGAACACTTTCTGTAGAATTTTAAACCACTAAATTTGCTTCTTTTCTACAGTTTAAGATACTACAAATACATTTGGCATATTACTTTCAGAAACCTGGCTAAGAAAAGGACGGTAAGAAACACACTTGTCTAACTTGGTTAGATCCACTTCAAATGGCAGGGGCTTTCTATACCATACAGAAATCATTAGGTAAATTCTCACTGAAAAATCTTCCTGCTAAATGTTAGATACAGATACATCATCAATGTCAACTTTAGTGTCAGGATCGCCCTTTTCGTCGATACGTTTCCGCAACCCAGACCCGTTACTTGTGTCATTTTTCTTCACTTTAGCAGCAAATGTGCCTATAACATTGGCAATGTCTACCTCCTCACGTGCCTTTTTCGCCATTTCAAGTTCGGCTTTAATAACAATTTCATTTGAAATGTATGCGGCACGTCTGATCTGTTTCTTCACCTTGGCGGGAATATCTGGGATCAGGTAGGCAATAAGACTGGTGATCACAACCACAAAGTTCTGAAAAATAATAAATATAGCATTCATACATAATCAGTAAAATACAACTGAAAAAAAAATATCACATATATACATATATATATCAATATTATTTTACAATTACAACACAAGACAATGTTTGCGGAATTAAATCACTGATTATGATAAAATCAGCAAGGTAGATGTTGTTCACAACAATTAAAAATCTCATTATCATATCTTTTTCACATGATATAGGTCATATGACAACTTTCCAGCTTTACTGGTGGAGGAAGACCTCAGGTGCCCTTCCATGCATTATTTCAGGCCAAACAGGCACCCCGAGTGCCAGTCTTATCTAATACTAATCTTATTGGATTTTAAAATGATTAGTCTTTGCCACTAGTATAGAGCCTTGGTCAGATACCAGGCCAGCCTGCACAGACCAGGCTAAATACTTTTGGCTGACCAACTTCTTACTTCATTTTGATATCCCCATATCAATAATGGACTACACCAAAGTCAGGAGCTGGACAAGTCCATTTAACACATTTAGTAGGTTCAGGATTAATTGTATAAATCTTCCTGAAGTGATTTCTTAAAATAAAATTCTCCATCTGCTGACCAACCTATTGATTTTCACTTACAATTTAAAGTTCATTTGTAATATGTATATGATAATAATATATAATAAGTTTACCTCAAAAACAACAACAAAAGCAAATCTTGCAGCAAGAACGTGCCAGTGACTCTGGGAATACTCGTACTCATCCGGTCCAGGTGGATTCCTGAAATCTCTGTACCTATTTAAAGACAAACAACACAGTATGAAATATTTTCTTTTTGTCCACAAAGACCTCGACGATTCGAAATTCCAAATAAAACTAGAATTTGATAACAAATATATATAGTTCAATGATATAGATATATGGTTTTACTTGTGGAAGAAGACTTAAGGTGCCTTGCATTACTTTAGGCACAAGGGGACACCTAAGTTGAACCATCAATCTTCTGTAAAATAGGTTAAAAGTTTTCTCATATGAAGAAACCAAAGTCCCCAACCGTGTTTAAATCAGATAAATGGGGGGCAAGTGACCTAAAGTGTAAGAAAACCTATTTAAGTTTGTATGTAAATAGATCAACAATACATTTTAGGCAATACAATCAGTCAAAAATCATTTTGATATAACATACCTGCAAAAATCGACATCACTGACTTCTGTATTAAAGTATTCTTTATCAGACTGAAAGTCTGAGGTTTTGAAGGTAGATAGTGTCCAATTTGTGTATCCCCTCATATCATTAGTTTCACTATAATAGTACACATAAACAAGCCGTGGAATAAAGTCTGATGTCAAGGCTATGATGAATGCCTGAAAAAAGTTATGTATAAAATCATAAATTAATATTTTGGATAAACCTTACAAATAAGTGAATGAATACAAATTTAAATAATTTTGAAGATCTCTCGTAGCATCATTGATGGTTTGTTTATTTGTCTGGGTTTAACGCTGATTTCAACACATCTTTGAACATATCTCTGCCTAACAGGCTTTTCTGGATAACTAACAAGTAATTACCAATTTCTCTGCAAGCGACAAGATTACTTATCCCACATGACTTCTGAATTATCAATGATAGACAAATGACCATTACACTCAAATGTCACAAAGAAACTTCGCCTTGCCCGAGGATCAAACCACTGACCCCTGGATTACAAATCAGATGTTCTATTGACCCAATTGAGCAAACTTCACATGGTGGTCTCTGAACACAGGTTAAAACATATTATATTAAAATCATTACATGTAAAACTGTGAAACTAATTTAAGTTGATATCTATTGTCAACTAGGACAAGATTGCACAGACAAAAATGTATATTGAAAGAACGACCATGGCAAAAAATGTAATTATCTGAAATAATTATGAAATAAGTACTTTAAAATACTCACATTGGAAACTATTGCCAATCTAGAAATTGCGTACAATATTTCATACCAAATACCTGTAATATAAAGAAATTAGCATTAACAAAAATATACTAAATAACTGTAATATAAAGAAATTAGCATTATCAAAAATATACTAAATAACTGTAATATAAAGAAATTAGCATTAGCAAAAATATACTAAATAACTGTAACATAAAGAAATTAGCATTAGCAAAAATATACTAAATAACTGTAATATAAAAAAATTAGCATTAGCAAAAATATACTAAATAACTGTAATATAAAGAAATTAGCATTAGCAAAAATATACTAAACTAGAAATGTGTCCATAGGACACGGATGCCCCCACACGCCACTGTTCTGTCAATCTTATGACTCTAGGTCAAATATTTTTTGGACTACATGTGCCACAAGTTGAAAACTAAAAATCAACAAAGGGCCATAATTCTGTTAAATCTAGGCGCAGCAAAAATTCCTTCCTTTACTACCATCTACACATTAAGGTTGTTAATCCCTAGAAGTTTAAGCAAAATCTGCCATTTGGTTTAAGAGGAGTTGCATTCACAAAATTTCTACATTGTATATAGTGAAAAAATCAACAAAGGGCCATAATTCTGTAAAACTTGGTCGCAGCAAAAATTCCTTCCTTTAGTACTATCTACACCTTAAGGTTGTTCATCCCTGTAAGTTTAAGCAAAATCTGCCATCCGGTTTAAGAGGAGTTGCGTTCACAAAATTTCTACATAGTATATAGTGAAAAAATCAACAAAGGGCCATAATTCTGTAAAACTTGGTCGCAGCAAAAATTCTTCCCTTTACTACCATCTACACCTTAAGATTGTTCATACCTGTAAGTTTAAGCAAAATCTGCCATCCGGTTTAAGAGGAGTTGCATTCACAAAATTTCTACATAGTATATAGTGAAAAAATCAACAAAGGGCCATAATTCTGTAAAATTTGGTCGCAGCGAAAATTCCTTCCTTTACTACCATCTACACCTTAAGGTTGTTCATCCCTGTAAGTTTAAGCAAAATCTGCCATCCGGTTTAAGAGGAGTTGCGTTCACAAAATTTCTACATAGTATATAGTGAAAAAATCAACAAAGGGCCATAATTCTGTTAAATTTGGTCGCAGCAAAAATTCCTTCCTTTACTACCATCTGCACATTAAGGTTGTTCATCCCTGTAAGTTTAAGCAAAATCTGCCATCTGGTTTTAGAGGAGTTGCGTTAACAAAATTTCTACATAGTATCTAGTGAAAAAATCAACAAAGGGCCATAATTCTGTTAAATTTGGTCGCAGCGAAAATTCCTTCCTTTACTACCATCTACACATTAAGGTTGTTCATCCCTATAAGTTTAAGCAAAATCTGCCATCCGGTTTAAGAGGAGTTGCGTTCACAAGATTTCGGGACGTACGGACGGACTGACGGACGGACTGACGGACAAGTGCAACGCTATATGCTCCCACATTGTTGGGGGATAATAACTGTAATATAAAGAAATTAGCATTAGCAAAAATGATTATGAATTCAAACACACTTTGATTTTATTTTGGCAAACTTTCAATTGATTCTATTACTTTAAAGTTTGAACTTAAGGTATGAAAAATAAATCATACAATAAATGTGTCAAAGTTACCACTAAAAATTTTTTTCTGCTATTTCTACTGCATCTAAGCATTGCACTTTTCCCTGTCATACATTATTTCAGGCACAAACATGCACCCGAGTAGAACCACCGACGTTCAATAAGCTAGCTGGATAGCTTCCTCATATAAAACAATCCAAAGTCCCTGTAGGGATTCAAACCCTAAGAGGTGAGGGGCAAGTGGAGCAGTGTGCGAGTATAATTACAAAGATATTTACCAATATCACCAGCACGTTCTCCTAGAGGTCGTCGGAGATCGGTGGTAAACTTCAGAGCATCAAAGCGGATCTCTATCATGTTGTTAAGTAGACAGCAGAGTGGTCCAAGCGGGAATGCCGCCACAAATATTGTCAGAAATCCAAACTGTAGCACTGTAATCAATACCAAAATTACAGTCAACTATGACATATTTAATACATATTGTAGGTATGATGAAGATAGGATAAGCAAATCACTGATTTAAAACACATGTTTCATGTAGCAACTAAATTTTTGGAAATTTTAGTGTGATAACCAAAAGAAAATTGGAAACACGATTATGTAGAATCCTCTTTTTCATTAAATGGCATTTAACATCACCATTTTTAATATGCTTAAAAAGTAACATTGGTGAATTTTTAAAATGAAATTGGGAATTTTTCAACAGTTTTTCCAATGGAGAAAAGGCCATTATTAATAATGGGTTTTTGACACGGTAACCAAAAGAATTGCATTTATTTGTGTTTGGAGGATAAAAGATGAGTTCGATTCACACAGGGAGAAAAACTTTGTTCTTATGCATTTTGCAACTTAGTGTTACAAATTTGGATTGCTTGTAATACAAAAATTAACCGGTAAACTACAAAGAGAAATATTTTACCCATTTCTAGGTACTCATGATACAGTGAAGTGTGTTCTGACAGCTGATAATCTTTCATCCAGGCAGACAGCTTCGCTTTTTGTTCGGCAGTTTCCTTCAGGATCCGTTTCCTATAGCACCTCTTTAAAAACTTGATACCTTTCCTGTTAAGAGATTAATTCTTTAACACTGCAAGCAGTGACTGTATCTACCCATGCAAAATCTTCCTTATTTATAGAAAAAACTTTAATTTTCTGTTTATTACATACATTTTTCTCTTTTTAGACTTTACAATTTGAAAGATTTCCAATTAAATTTTATGTATTGGCTCAATCTAGAATAAAGTCTTGCAAGATGCCAGTGAAAATACAGAAAATATGTTACATTGCAGTGAAAACATTTTTTTTACAGTGAAAATACAGAAAATGAAAATCTGTATTTTATTTCATCAATATTTCTCAATATTTCATTTATAAGTATATAATAAAAATATTTTTGTTATGAACATGATACCATTGGTTAACACTTATGCATGCAAACACAAGTCATATAAGACAAAAACTTACGGAAGGAATATCTCGAGAAGGTTATTCTGTATAATTTGTTTTCCTGCCATAATGATCGCCAGCTGTATACATAGCTCTATCAAACATCCTGCGGAACCACACTGCAACACAAGGTGTTTTTAAACATTAACGGCAATAATAAAAAGCTATATGTATATCAGGATCTGAAAATCAACTCCGGACCACAACGTGATTCGGATGTTTAGATATTCGAACTCCGGATGACATCCCTAATATTTCTTTCAATTACAGTCACATCAAACTGCACATATAATGAATTGTGATATTTGACCTGTCTTTTTTACCGTTAGCCCAATTTTTGCCTTTTGAAATTGAATCTTTTTATTGCACAATTATCTCTTAACCTGCTGCATTTTTGTAATGGAATTGCCCTGCTTCATATTTTGAACAGTCAATTCAAAGTGTAAGGGATTTCAATATCAAAACACAAAAGTTTAGCTTCCAAAAGTAACTAGCTTCTAGAAATAGAATTTTCTATCATCAATCTTTGGAACATTAAGATGACAATTTAAAGCTTTTCAGTCAATAGCATTGGGCCTGGTAAAATAACAAAGTAATTTACCTCCTCTTGTCTTCCACCAAATGCTTCATTGTAAGCTCCAGGTCTACCAACCAACCTATAAATAGATATATATTGTTAGAAAAATAACGCATTATCTTATTTTTTGTAAGTAACTGGTACAAAATACAATAAAAAACAATCGTTTTCTGAATGTATGCCATTCCTTCTAGGGCCTTGACCCTAATGACCTTCACCTTTGACCCAATCACCTTTATGTTGGTTTAGTTAACTGAGCTGAACAAGGTATATGCAACAATTTGGAGGCTGAATGTAAAAAAGCTTCTGTGTTACGGTCAAGGTTAAAGTTTAAAGAAAAACAGACAGACCATAAATAATATGCCCTCCCCTCTATTGATCTGTGACATATTACCTAGAAGTCTAATGTCTTGAAACAGAGAGTACTACAGTCACAATTTACATAAAACATTAAAATTGGAACATAGATTGTACACATATCCAAATCAAAATAACTTCAGATATTTTTTCAGAAAACTCTTTTACTCATCTTTTAAGTGCATGTTTTAAGCAAGTATGCATTTTCATTGTATTGACCCTTCGCATGCTGGTGGCTACAGAATCTACCCATGTGACCAGTGCAGTTCAAGATCTCGTCTGCACTGTTCATTATTCAGTCAGTTATTTTTTTCAATATTTCCCCTAAAACTAATGAATTTTTTTAATTAGATTGAAAGATGGACAAGTCCATTTATGATATTTAACAGAGTGAAGGTTAAAAACTTTTGTCATTTAGTTTAAATGAAGCTAACAATGTTAAGATATCATACTGACCTTCCTTTAAAGAAGGCAATGTAGATGATTGAAGAGTAATAGTTGACAAACTGTAGGGCAAACAACTTAATGTTGATACTGTCATCATATTCTCCTTGTGTCCTTAAACACTCGAAATCTGTCAACCATACAGCCACTCGTGAGTATACCTTACAAAAAATAAATTGTATTTTAATTTATATCAATCAAGTACAGCTTTATTTGTTACCAAGTACATGTCATGCACACAATTACCCTTTTAAAAAGAATAACATATCATTACTTAATATTAATCAGCATTGCTATACTAAAGAAAGTGTAGTTTTCTTCACAAATGAAACTTATCCTATTATTTTTATAAACTATGAGAAAAAAACCCTATGAAATAATTACAATTTCGTTTCCATTAGAATTTAATGTCTGAGATCAATTGTCACTGAAAAATTTCAGTTTGCCCAAGGATTAAACCCGCCATCCCAGGATTATAAATCTGTGGAGCTGTGCCGCCAGACTTTGACAGCTTGTCCAAAAGAAGCACCTTCAATAACATATAAAATATATACATACTATGTTGAGTATAATGATAATAAACAAGTTGATACAGGCTGCCGTGATTGTAGTGATTATTCCAGCATTTGTTGTTATAACATGTTTTTGTTTCACCGAGGGTCGAGTTATCCCTGGGACTATCTTTTCCAACAATTGTAATGAAGCTAACACAGAGATTCTGTATGCTATCACACCAACCACACCACCAATGGCTATACACATCTGTAACGAATAAAATAAATCAAAACATACTTATAGTCATCAAAACATACTTATTGTCTACCAAACCTAGCAACTGAATGGCTTCAAATAAACGAGACTGAAAAATGATATTTCGATAAGAAAAATATTTACCCAATCAGTTATCAAAATTAATTTTTCTAATGAATTTAGGAGAATACATTAAGTGGCATTGATACACTTTGAAACCAGCATGTTCAACCAGCATGAACCAGCATGAACTACATGTTAAATATAGTTTTGAAAACAATATTATATAAATTGTAATTTGTTTAAATTTTCAACACTTTATATTGTTTACATACCGTGAACAGCATAAAACCGTATGAGAGCATGTATATAGGAATCTACGTCGCCAGAAAGGTAAATGTGGTTCTTTCATGCCTGTGATAGGATTCTCCTTCATTCTTGGGTAGTTGGCAAGGCTTGGCAAGATACTCTGGGCGTGGTGGTTCCTACAATACATACATATACTAAATATCATTAACCAGTCATTTTCTTTTGTTGATCTGTTTCTCTTTTTCCTCTCTCACAAACCCACTAATTATAACCATACAAATTCTATATAATCTATGTGTCCAGCTTTGAATTTACTCATTTTTAATTCAAGATATACTAATATCAAATTGCACAAATGTAAAGACTTTTAGATACAAAATGCATCTCCATGCTAAGTACAACTGCCTATCCCATTCAAGCTTGCTAGATAGATTCCTCACAAAAATTCAATATATCCATTAAATATATTGATATAATCTGACCCATACTAAATATATTAAATGAACTTGTACATTTTTTAACTGGCCAAAGTCATTCATCAATTATAGGATACAATGTATGTAGTGACTGAATAGCCAACAGTGCAGACCATGATCGGTCGGCACAGATGTATGGCTTGGTCTGTACTGATTGCATTGGTAGAATCAGTTAGCTATGAATTAACTTTAAACAAGAGGGCCATGATGGCCCTGAGATCGCTCACCTGTATATAGGCCCCAGGAGCGGGGCCAGTTTAAACCCCAGGGCTTTTATTTGAACAAACTTGGAAGACACTCATTAGAAGATGTTTCACAATGTTAAGTTTTTACTACACACATGTAATGAAAAACAATGATTTTACCCTGCCCCCCCCCCCCCCCGGCAGGGCCAATTTTCACCCAAGGGCTTTTATTTGAACAAACTTGGTAGACATCCATAAGAAGATATTTCATGCTAAACATCTAAACTCTAGCTCATTGGGTTTTTTAAAAGAAGATTTTTAAGTTTTTGCTATACACATATAAGGAAAATCAATGACACCCCTGGGGCGGGCCAGTTTTGACCCCAGGGCTTTTATTTGAAAAAAGTTTGTAGACACTTACTTGAAGATGTTTCATGCTTAATATCTAAACTCTAGCTATTTGGGTTTTTTCAAAGAAGATTTTATAAGTTTTTACTATATGCATATATGGAAAATGAATGACCCCCCCGGGGCGGGGCCAATTTTGACCCCGGGCTATTATTTGAACAAACTTTGTAGACACTCACTAGAAGATGTTTCATGCTTAATATCTAAACTCTAGCTATTTGGGCTTTTTTCAAAGAAGATTATTTAAGTTTTTGCTATACACATATAAGGAAAATCAATGACCCCCTGGGGCGGGGCCAATTTTGACCCCAGGGCTTTTATTTGAACAAACTTGGTAGACATCCATTAGAAAATGTTTCATGCTGAATATCTTAGCTCTAGCTCTTTGAGTTCTTTAAAAGAAGATTTTTAAGTTTTTACTATATGCATATAGGGAAAATCAATGACCCCCTGGGGCTGGGCCAATTTTGACCCCAGGGCTTTTATTTGAACAAACTTGGTAGACACTCATTAGAAGATGTTTCATGCTGAATATCTTAGCTCTAGCTCTTTGAGTTCTTTAAAAGAAGATTTTTAAGTTTTTACTATATGCATATAGGGAAAATCAATGACCCCCTGGGGCTGGGCCAATTTTGACCCCAGGGCTTTTATTTGAACAAACTTGGTAGACACCCATTAGAAGATGTTTCATGCTAAATATCTTAGCTCTAGCTCTTTGGGTTCTTTAAAAGAAGATTTTTTAAGTTTTTACTATATGCATATAGGGAAAATCAATGACCCCCTGGGGCGGGGCCAATTTTGACCCCAGGGCTTTTATTTGAACAAACTTGGTAGACACTCATTAGAAGATGTTTCATGCTGAATATCTTAGCTCTAGCTCTTTGGGTTCTTTAAAAGAAGATTTTTTAAGTTTTTACTATATGCATAAAGGGAAAATCAATGACCCCCTGGGGCGGGGCCAATTTTGACCCCAGGGATTTTATTTGAACAAACTTGGTAGACACTCACTAGAAGATGTTTCATGCCAAATATCTAAGCTCTAGCTCTTAGGGTTTTTTAAAAGAAGATATTTAAAGTTTTTTCTTTCGGTTGCCATGGCAACCAGAGTTCTGCATGGAATTAAATTCTTTGAACAATTTTTAAAGGTGACCACCATAGGAACATTCCTGTGAAGTTTGGATGAAATTGGCTTAGTGGTTTATGAGGAGATGTCATTTAAAGTAAGGTGAGCTAAAAAAAACTAAAAAAAAAACAACAAATGAATATGAGATTGTCACAACATTATAACATATGTAATATAATCTATGACCCTTCCTTTCTGTTTACAAAAAAAATTCAGATTTATCAAACCTCACCTCTTCTTTGACAAAGTCCACCAAGTCCCAATTATACTGAATCACTGCCTGTTTTCTTTTCCAAAACTCCAGGAATAAAGTACCTATAAATTAATTACATTCAACGTGTTAAACATATATAACAAGTTATTATTTGAAAACACCATTGTAACACTTAACACAAAGAAGTTTAAACAAAAGCTTTCATAAGCGCTGAACTGTTCCAGTGTTGCTTTTTCATTGAAAAGAAATTGATATAGTAAACAACTTTATTAATTTGGAAGGGGAATTTCTTTAATACTTTAAGAGAAATGGACATAAGACCAACAAAAAAAAATTAATCATCAACACAGAAAATTCAAATTAAAACATGGGCATAACTTTGCCAAAATTAATTAGAGCCAGAGGGGTACCTGCCCTTATGAATATTTTGCCCCATTTTTGTAATGAACAAGTAAATTCCAAGTTCAAAGTAAATAAGAGTGTTTTAGAAATAAAGACCTTTTCAAGAAGGTTAACAAAAATTAAATGCTGACATGACAATAGCTCCACCTTTCAAATTTAATCTAGAAAATAGTGTCTTAAAAGTTGTCCTTACAACAATATAAGGTCATATAAAATTTCTAACAGTTATAGGAAGACTTTACCTAAGGTACAGCTTTAAAGACATAAAACATGATGACTTTTTTGGTCAAAACCATCGGTAATTACCAATTTCTCTGCAAGTGACCTAATACTAATCACACACGATTTCTGAATCACTGGTGAGAGACAAATTAAAGATTGGGACACAATATCCAAGATCAATTTGTCCTGAGAAGTTTTGCCTTGCCCTAAGATCTAACCCGGGACCACTGGATTACAAATCAGATGCTCTCCCTATTAGGCTACGTGACTGTACTTTACAAAGCCCCTCAAATCATGCACCCTTTGCAAGTTAAAAATTCACCAGATAGTCCAACTTACCCCACAGGGACATGAACACGGCAAAGAACACAGTCCCATTATTGTCAAACATTCTACTGTACTCTGAATCGTGGCAGCTACTGTTGAGTTTCCAGTATGGACACTGGTAGTCACAGAGCGGACACATCGTAATGTTTAATGACTCGTCACATATCTCTTTGCTGAAAATATACATTATAAAAACTTCTATAATTTTATTTTATTGAAACAAACATGATAAAATACACAGGTAGGCTTAGTTTTGTTTTTGTAGTAATTTAATCCCCTTCTGAAAGTCCACTGAAAATAAAGTTTCATAATTCAAATCTTGGTTTCATATTGATACCACAGTTTGCAGTCAGTGAATTCTGCACTAGCCCACAAGCCATTGGCTACTGGACTTTGGTTAAGGCCCATAAAATCTTGCAAGTAACTAGGCTAACTGCCCTATGATAAACAGTCAATCATCTAAGTTTCTGAAAATGAAATCACTGATTTTTTAAATGGAACAACTATTTCATTCTTAATTCAGGGAAAAGAATTATAACTATTTAATCAAGAACTTTGCATTTTAAAAGATTAGCATTTCCCGGCTTGTAAAAACTCAATCAAGCTAGAAGATATTGCACACTTCTAATCCAAAAGGCTTGTGGTTTTCAGGCTGTGCCCACAAAAATTCATCAATCTACAAACCGAAATTTTCCAACAAGGAAACCTGTCTAATGATATGTTCTGCTCTTTAACTTACTTATACTTATTTGGCTTACCTAGGGTAACTTTCATCCATGTATACGACACCATATATAAATATGATAAAGCCAAGTATAGAAGGAAAAACCAGCCATCTTGTATAAAACCCGAGCCATGCAAAATACAATCCAATCTGTGAGCCATAGTAATTCCTGTAAATATAAGCACATATCAAAGCAAAATGATAAAGTCAAGTCAAACCAAAACAAATTTATTTAATAATGACTAGCGCTGTTAATTTTTGCAGGTTTTACCTGAAAAAGGGTCATTGGAAAATATATCTTCAAACCTTTTTTTTTTACATATACATGTACACAGCTGGAAGGACAAGTATTCTAAAATTCATTGAGAACTCTTATGATGCTAGATGTCTTTAATATACTTGTGCATCTATCAATCATTTTAAGGGTTAATTTGATTGAATAGCAAACAGTGCAAACCACGATCCGACAGCACAGATGTGCCTGCTGATCTTGGTCTGTACAAGATGTATGGGTCAAATCTGCTGCCATAAGCAGGTTAAAAGTTACTATCTATATAAGATATTATTAAAATGTTTCACAGAATAAGGTAATGAATTAAACAGTTACCGAATATACTCCAAAGGCTGCACTTTGAAGAATTTTCTCCAGTAGGCCCAGTTCTCATACAAGATTTTTCGAGGATTTGAAGCCGATCCTGCTTTCCAGTGACCCTGTAAAACATACCATATTTATCATACAATCACCTTATTCATAATTCCTTACACTGTTTATTTGTGTAATTGATTTTGAGTCAAATTAAATGAAATACATAGCAAAATATACAAAATATATAAAGAATTATAAGATCAAAAGGGAAATAAATGTAATTGGATTTCAGTATGAAATCCTCTATTCCATTCTATTAACATATCTATAATCTTTTTACTTGATTACTTCATAATACACCAGACAACAATTGAACGCTTTAATGGTCTGGTTTGGTTGTATGGTTTTTACGCAATTTTTAACACATTTCTGGTTATATCTTGGCTTAAACGGCTCTCCTGGATAACTAACCAGTAATTATCATTTTTTCTGCAAATGACCAACTTCTAACTGTATCAGGAGTGATAGAAATATGACCATTAGACTCAATGTCAAAGATAAAGACGGAAAAATGTCACCAGAACCAGTGACTCCGATACTTCTCTATTTAGGTTAGCGGGCTGACATGATTTAATGGTAGAACATACCTCATGTAATGGGTAGGCAGCACTATAGTAACCATCAGCTAACATCTTCTTTATACCTATAAATAGAACACAGCATTGCATTATATCTATAAATAGAACATGGAAATTGCATCATACCTATAAATAGAACAATAAAATCATATTATTTCTATAAATAGTACATCAAATTGCTTCATACCTATATATAGAATACATTATTGACAGAGCTTTGCTTAATAGCAATCACTTAATTGCTTCATTCCTATACATAGAAGATAACTTTGCTTTATGGCTACAAACAGAACACAAATTCTTTTTGTTTTTTTTGGATAAAAAAGCACTGAAGGAGAGAAATAGAAAAATTTAAGAAGGTATTACATAAATGGACTTTACATGGGTTTCATACACTTTTTAGATCTGTGGTTGGGAAATGTGCATTAAATTATTTTTTCCATTTGGTGCTGGGGTGTTTGAAAATCAGGATTTTGTCTTTGGTGGAACATGTGATACTAGTCACCTTTCATTAACAACAGTGCCACAGCATTCAACAAACTGCCCAGTCCTTAAATCCCCCTTTTCCAAAGGGTTTTCTTAGGTTCAGAAGTCCACATCAAATGAGAGGAAAACAAAAAGGTGTCAGAAAGCAGTAAGTAGTGTGCAGCTCACTCGACTTTTAACGGTCTGCATTCATCAGGAATATTCTCTCAATGTGCATTAATAAGTTCATACATTATTCCCATCATACTGGTCTCAGTAATAAAGAATACTAAAAATAATCCATCTACATCTATAAACTACTTTTATTGTTTCTAACAGTAATTTAGAGAACCTCTATTCTGTATCACTGAAGACTGTGTTACTGCTTAATTCAATATCATGATGATATTAAATGATAATTTAGAATTTTGATAACAGATAGAGAGAAAAAAAAACTAACAAAAATAACTTTTCTTTATTATACTTTGCAAGAGAGTAAATAATTAACTACATGAATGACTTACTTAGAAAGTTTACAGGAACGGAGAGACTGTCCATAAGGGGTGGAAACAGAGGGGCCAAGAAAAGAGAATTTTGTAGTTGGAAAGAAAAAAAAAAAAAAAAGAAGACCGACAGACGGCTTGAATACTTGAACAGATCATTATGGAAACTACATGGAAACTTCTACAATACAGCAAAATAAAATGGAACAGAAATATCTACTACCCAAAAAGTTAGAAGATAGCGAGTGCTGGTGAATCATTAGTTCAAACGTATTATACCTTTTACCCTATACATTCTATACATTTCACATAAATGTTCTTGTAGCTGTTGTTCTGGTGAATCTGAATAATTAACAGAGAAATCTTAACTTAAACAAACTTCAGTTCAGTGCTTCTACTATCATATTATGTGAAATAAATTACTTGCAACACAGTTTTCACTTCATCCTATTCATTTACTGCAAAATCATTATTATTCATGGGGCAGTGCTTATAGTGGTTTTCTAAATATGTCAATAAACAAATTTAAGATCCAATAAAATATTAGTATGTTGTAAAATCATTTTTTGCACTACATTATTTGTACTTTATTATTTTCGCAAAAACAATCCACAAAATAAATGTACTTATTGACAAAACCATGAAATTTCATGCCCACAAATCTCAGTAATTTACAGTATCTAAATATATTTATTTTCGCTTGATTAGGAAGAAATCTTGAGGCAGGTCCCTCTGGCTCTTTTCTACTGGTAAAGACTTACCAACTATTGCAGATCTCATTCAGTAAACTGGAATTTATATCTTTACAAAGAACAGTTTGAATAGTAAAACTTTAAATTGCAGGATTACAGTAGCACTGTCTTAATAAAATGATCTTCAACAAAAAAGTAGCAACAAAGTGACAAAATTTCCCAACTTTATATACAAACATGCAAAAAAAAAGCGTAAAAACAACAACAACATTTCTATTAAGCACATTATGACCATTTCTGATTACATCAAAATAAACAATACTGAAAATAATATTACATCACGGCTAACACCCCCCCCCCCCCCCGCCCCCGCAAGACAGCTTCGGAAATGGGGATGTTACCAGTAACAGAATACCTTGCAAAAGAACTGAAATAGAGTTATGGTTGTGGGCTGTGGTTCTTGTATGTTGCATTTCCTTTCAATGTGGTTGGCCATTGATGAAATTTTATTGATTTACTCTGTAATAAGTCCAGAAAGACAAGGAAAAGGAACAAAGGGCAATAACTCTATAAATACTGAAAAAGATGGAGTGATGGTTATTGTACACTGCACTTCCTCTCGTTGTGCTTCACCATTGTATGAAGTTATATTGAATTCCAACTACCAGTTTTCAAGTTATGCACTGGACAAAAAAGTAACAAAGGACAATAACTGTAATTAGTCCAAATAGAGTTATGGTTCTTGTGCACTGCATTTCATCTCACTGCCCTTGATCATTGTATAAAGTTTCATTGAATTCCAACCATTAATTTTTAAGTTATGCACTGGACAATAAAAAGTAACAAAGGGCAAAAACTTTTAAGTTATAGTTTCTGTGCACTGCACTTCCTCTCAATATACTTACATACCATTGTATGAAATAGTATTGAATTCCAACTAGCAGTTTTCAAGTTATGCTCTGGACAAGAAACAAGAGCTGTCAGTAGGACAGCAACGCTCGACTATTCTTAGTGCTTGATAGTAAAAAAATGCTTGATACAGTTACCTCCTCCTGTTTACAGGTTGGGGTCATGATGGTGAACAAGTGTGCAAAGTTTCAAAGCCATATGTCAATGGACTTTGAAAATATTTGAACTATTACAAAAACTTTAACATAAATTCTAAGTCAAAAAAGGGGCATAATTCTGTCAAAATGCTTGATAGAGTTACCTCCTCCTGTCTACAGATTGGGGTCATGATGGTGAACAAGTGTGCAAAGTTTCAAAGCCATATGTCTATGGACTTTGAAAATATTTGAACTATTACAAAAACTTTAACGTAAATTCTAAGTCGAAAAAGGGGCATAATTCTGTCAAAATGCTTGATAGAGTTACCTTCTCCTGTCTACAGGTTGGGGTCATGATGGTGAACAAGTGTGCAAAGTTTCAAAGCCATATGTCAATGGACTTTGAAAATATTTGAACTATTACAAAAACTTTAACATAAGTGGTTACGCCGACGCGGACGCCGACGCTCGGGTGACTGCAATAGCTCTACTTATTCTTATCGAATAGTCGAGCTAAAAAGCAATGGAACAGTAACAAAGGGCAATAACTCTATAATTACTCTGGACAGAGTTATAGTTCTTGTGCACTGCACTTCCTCCTATTGTATGAAGTTGTTTTGAATTCCAACCAGTATGTTTTAAGTTATGCTCCGGACAAGGATAAGTATCAAAGGGCAATTACTCTGTAATTTGTCAAAATGAAGTTATGGTTCTTGTGCACTGCACTTCCTCTTAATGTCCTTGACAACTGTATGAAGTTGTATTGAATTCCAACCAGTAGTTTTCAAGTTATGCTCCGGACAAGGAAAAGTAACAAAGGGCAATCACTCTGTAAATAGTCAAGATGGAGTTATGGTTTGTGTGCACTGCACTTTCTCTCAATGTGCTTAACCATTGTTTGAAGTTGAACAAAATTGGTGTAATGTAATACATTACATATCATAAATTCACTGCTGACCAGTAAAGCTCATGTTTTCTTTAATAAAAAAATATTCATAAATCTCTAAACCAGTTTTACTCTTCTGGAATAGTTTAAAAAAACAACACATTTACTATTAACAACATGCAAGCTTCTAGTTTTACAATATTGACATACTTCTAAGCTTCAGGCATTTTAAGAACAATAAGTGAAACCTGCATTGACAGAACATAAAATCTGATTGGCTCCGAAAAAAAGCAAAATCTATTGAACACTATTTTCATCCATGGTATTTAAGGTGACAACGGAGTCAATTATCACTGAAAATACCTAAAATGAGATTTTTTGCTTAGTAGATTTATCAACCTTTTCTGAACACATTCGTGATTTAATTTTGGAAGTAGTTAGTCCAAAAAATGTGTTTTTAAACGTTTTAAAACGGTACCTGTACCATTTTTATCTGCTATTCGCGTAACCTGTCAATTATTGATAACGCTCCGCCCCCTGTTGAGGCATCAATGAGGGAAATCGGTAGTTCCATATATGCGTGAATTACCGGTCCATACTGGTCCATACTACCCGTAATTCATGTATCGTACAAATACCGTACATCTTTTATGAATATCGTCTACCTTTTATTTAGCCTTTTTTTTATAAAATAAGAAATTGTCGGCCAATGTACGTAACATAATGTATGAAACATAAATATATAGCGGCAAATCGCAAGACCACATGGTTGATGCTAAAGTATCCATAATGTGTGAAAATAATTTGTCTGTCCCGTTAATCTGATAGATATTACATTGAGTTTATGGACTTTTGTACGGATTCAAGGGCTTGCTTTACATTCAACCTCGTTTTCTAACAATGTCAAGTAAAACAACAACAAAACAGACAACATTTTTTAAGTGAACGCCTATATGACTTGTGGTAATTTAAGGTGTCCCTGACAAATTTCTAAACCATTTTAGGTTGTCTAAGGATGATTATTTCTCTATGAATCAATAAAAAAGATAATAACATAAGAGTATATTATCAGTGAATGCTTTGAATAAATTGTTCGCCAGTAAATCGAACACAGTACTAATAAACCTGGAACAAATTATGGAATTTATTGTATATCCCAGTAGAAACTGGATCTCTATGCCGTGCATAGATGATTTTCATGATCATAGAAGTCAAGAAGGTCAGATCATAATGATCGAGTGATACCTTTTATTTCTATTAAAATATGTTAAGCATTTATATCAATTTGGAGGAAAAAATATATAATATCCCGTTCTACCGTAAACTTTAAAAGACCGTCAGAAGCTCAGTTTTTTGTTATTTTAATTTATATTTTAACGGAATTTCATGCACGAATACACAGACAGAGTGACACTGGTGTAATATAATAATAATGCCGATGATAATAATAATAATAATAATAATAAACTTCAAAAGTGAAACAATTAAATACCCGCTACGTTCCATTTCCCCCCACCGAGTGCCTCAAATTTTACCGAAAGTCACGTGACATGTGCGACCTGTATCAGACGGAAGGTAAATCACGTTAAGATTTGAAGATATTTCTGTTATAAATTGATATTAATCAGCAACTTTTTAATTGGTCAGATGTCACTGGGTCATAAAATGTTGTTAGAGTATGTTACCGCAACTTGTGACCCTCTCTGGTGTGATATTTGTGTATTATGCAATTATTTAGCGTGAAACGTAGGGGTCCGAGAGAGAACAGCCGATTTATGACACTTCGTTTGATGCGGGTCGGACTAACTTTGAATCGGCATAACTTTTTTAATAATCAAGCAATTAACATGCGGTTTAAAGCACATGAAAGGGAATTCATTTACGGAGGGAACTGTGTCAGGGATTTTTGTTTGCTCAATCAGCGACTTAATTATCTTTAATTACGTAATATGTATGGTGAAAAAAGTCGCATAAAATGTTTGACGTTACGTATTATTTTTTTGAGAAAAGATAGAAAAAATTTGAGACACGGTTCCCCAGATATTATAAGTATGTTTATTTTCCAAAAATTTGATGACAAAAAAATAAAAAAATAACTTTGATATGACGATTTAAAATTTTAGAGTTTTTATTAAAATTCAATCATTTACAAAGGCATTATTTTCAAATATGTTATTTTTTATGTGATCAACGACATTTAATGCACAAAGATTAAATAAATAACAATTATTACTAAAATAAGTTGGTTTAAATGACATTTATGTGAGTACCACGGAAAGTGTCTGTTGTCACCTTAAACATTTTTTTCAGGGACAAACATTGAAATTATGCTTTTTATCCCCATGGAAAAAAGTCTTTAAAATTATTGTAAAAAATTGTCAAGTTTTGAATGAATAAGTTAGTTTCAAGTTACTTTGTTGAAAAAATCTCATATTGGAACTGAAAACAAAGCTGACAATCTCTGAGCAAATAAAACAAAAACACTTTTCAAATACCGCCTTATAAAATTTCAAAAAAAAAAAAAAATAAATCTTGCAAATAATTTGTGCATTAAAATTATTTCAGCACAACTTAGAATCTCTAGCAACTTTGTAATGGTTACCTTCAGTTTCTGTAGAACGAGGAACCGTTAACACAGGTTTTACTTTATTTACGTTATTTTCCTCTGGTAAAGCATAACAACAAAAATAAAGATATTATTAAAATGCTATCATTTCTCATTTTCTATGTTGTTTGTTAGTATCACTTTTCTACCAGGTTCTTGGGTGGGGCAGGACACTGAACTGTTTGGAATAAACATATCTCCGTGGGTGGGTGGAGTTAGTTAGTACACATACCTACATCGTGAACGTGGAAATTTTCAGCTGAAATAACCACTTTATAATTTGACTACAAAGTAAAAGTGAATGCTAGATTAGGGTTAATTAGCAGAAATGATTAATTAATGAATTTAGTACTCTGCAAACAAAATTCCATTGAATATTTCCTTACTTGGGCAAAAATAAGGAAAGTATATAAATACAATCAAAAACATTCAAAGATTATATAGAACATTACAATTTCATTAAAATATGTTTAACAAACTCCATAATGTTATATGTTAGAATAATGGCAGTTTATATACATGTAAAATGACATAATAAAATAAAACACAATTACTGATTCACTATATGCAGCTTTTGTACAATAAAAAAAACAATAATTCTAATGTTTTCCTTGGCAATAGCTACAACAGAACAATGCTTTATAACACAGAACAAATTCCATTGTTTATTTTTTATAACTTACTACTATCTACCATTCTTTGGAGCACTTTTAGAATCTGTCCACAGCAAAATCCATGTTAATACATAACCCTAACCTATATCCCTAACCTTAACCCTAGAAATAATCCGAGTGATTTTGTAGAGAAACATAGATATTCAAAAAATAATATTTAGTCAAATTATAATGTTAAAAATACCTGCAGCCAGATTCTTAAGTTTAGCCCAATCGTCTTATGAAAGAAGTAAGGGTATTTGATTTTCATAATGTAAAAACTGACGGTTTAAATCCCAGCAGGGAGGTATCCAAGTATTCACAACAGTTACCGTAATAATGTTGGGTATTTTACCCCCAGATACAAGCTGGTACCTCAGATAATGCAAAAAAAGTTTAGGGGATGTTTCTTTCTTAAGCAGTATATAAGCCAGAAAACAACCATATACTCACAACAGTGAAGGCGTGACTTTAAAAACCATATTTTACAACAACATATTTTATTCTATTCTACAAATGATGTATTTTAGCTAACATTTATGTGCTTGGTAAGAAATAGTGACAAATTTAAATTTTTTGTATAAGTTTATTTATCAATTCTTACCGAAAGTATATGCTTCTTGCTTGTCTTCACCGAAGGGTTTTCTTCTCAGAATGAAATCAACGATTCGTGAACGTTCTGGACTTGTGAAGAATAACTCCTTTTGTTCTGGTATGTCAAACCTATTAATTAAGAGAAAAAAAACCATGTTCATAATCTATTTATAGGATAGCCTGTATTAAAGTTTATAGAATTTAAGTTATAATGATGATTGGAACAACTTAAGTTATGAACCATTTTCAATTTCAAATGGTTGAAAGTTACCAAACAACAAACAGGACTTTTAGACTTGCATTACCTTGTTTAATTTATCTGGTGGTATTGGGCAAAAATGAAGTCAATCAACTAAATGGACATATTTAATCCTTGACATTTTATATTTAGCCATTTTTTTTCAGTTACTTATGAACAAAAAGTAAACTCTACTTATAATATTGGTTATAATGATAATTATACATCTTATAGCACTGCTGTTGCCAGGATTCTGATTCTTTTTTTCTTTTTTTTCAAATTGGTTGCCTCTTTGTTATAACAATATCCTGATATAAAAATTTTAATTTGACTGTCCACTGAATTCCTTATAAGCGGTGTTAACTGTATTTGACTTCTGACAATCGTATCAATGAAATGATTATCTGAGTAAACATCTTAATGTTAAAATTTTTAAATAATTTGAAGATTTTTTTTCTTCATTATTAATAACGGAATTTAAGTTGATCCTGCAAGGATAATGTTATAGTTTTCTATCAGACTTACAAATATTCCCGATCTCTTGTAAAAGTGAGTGTTGCATCTTTCTTAATCTTCGGGAAAATAGTATCATCAAGCTGGAAAGGTTTTGTGGCAATTTTGGTCAGAGATAGGATCGAGTTCCACAGGGTCGTGCTTACAGCTTTCACAGGATTCTGAAAATAAGTGGTTCCAAAATTAAAACCAATAACTATCATTATCATTGTATTTTATTCAAATTCTTGCATGCAACAAATTTTCAACTATACATTTAATAAAAATATCTAAATTTGATGCTATATCGACTTTTTAACTGAAATGATAAAAAATGGGATGTTTTCTTTTTTTGAAACCAAGGGTCAAAACTACATTATCATGCCCCTTATTAGAAGTTTCTTCTGACCATACCATTAAATTATTAGCATTTAATAAATTCATTTATGTTTATGTTACTTCTGAATCTCTGAAAATCATAAATCTAATTAGACCAAAGAAGGAGCCATTCAGTACACGCTAAATCAATAACTTACTCTAGGAATATTATATGAGCCGCGTCACAACAAAACCAACATAGTACGTTTGCGACCAGCATGGATCCAGACCAGCCTGCGCATCCGCGCAGTCGGATCAGGATCCATGCTGTTCGCTTTCAGTATCTCTACTTGTAATAGGGTTTGTAATAAGCGAACAGCATGGATCCTGATCAGACTGCGCGGATGCGCAGGCTTGTCTGGATCCATGCTGGTCGCAAACGCACTATGTTGGTTTTGTCATGACACGGCTCATTTATAAGAATATTCATGAATATCAACGAGGAATTATTCTATGTGACTGTTTTACATACATGTAGTGTAATACAGTAAAACTTTGCTTCTTTAATAATTAAAACACCTTAAATGTATAACCTATTCCGTACTATCGTTTACTGTAAAGATGAATTAAATTCATTACATTTAACGTCATTGATTCTACATTATGTACCTAATTACTTATAATTGTCTATTGAATAAATAAATTTATCATACTATCTACTAATCTGTACTTGTTCCATATTAACATTTCTCTCTACAGATAAATAAAATGTAATTATTATGAGAATTTTGGGTAAAAAAACCCAAAGATTTTTGTATTTTTGTTACATCATCTATTCTATACTCTATGCAATGCATCATTTTATAAGCTGTGTACTTTTATGATTGATACAGTAAGTGTGTTGTGAGAATCATAAATATCCTACAAAAAAAAAATGTTTCTAAAAAATGTTTTACCGATCTGTTACGAGCCAATGAATTATCCTGTTTTAAATACAATACGGAAATATTTGCTAACATCTTTTTTCATTAGTTGCATGAAAACTCTAAAACCAATTATAGTAAAGAGTGTGTGGGATATAAACCAACATAGCAAGAAAACAAAAATAAACAACTATCAGACAATAATGGTATAATAGAGGCTAGAGTAAAGAATAAAGCAAACTACAATGCTATAAGTGTAAGGCAACAATGAACAAAGTTGAAGGTTATTTTAGAAATTTTGTACAATGCTTTAAGCTAACTTGCTTGTTTGTCAAACTTAAGAATCATGGATTGGTACAATGATGGATAGCTATGATGGGGCTGTGGTGGACATGTTTATTTGAGCCGCGTCATGACAAAACCAACATAATGGGTTTGCGACCAGCATGAATCCAGACCAGCCTGCGCGTCCGCGCAGTCTGAACAGGATCCATGCTGTTCGCTTTCAGTTTCTCTACTTGTTATAGAGTTTGTAATCGAACAGAGACTGCGCTGATGTGCAGGCTGGTCTGGATCCATGATGGTCGCAAACCCATTATGTTGGTTTTGTCATGACGCAGCTCATTTATGGACTAGACATTTATTGCCAGTAGGTTTGTGTTTGGAATCTTTTTACTGAGAGGAACTTTAATCATGCAGATAAAGTTACCACAAAAGAAGTGTATAATTAAGTAAGTAACAAATATGTATGTATATATTCATGCAAGGTTTCCAGTTTTTTTTATTCTATCTTTAATATTCTTTGCCATAAATGTTTGTTTCTTTGGGCTCAGTAATACTGTTCACCTTAGTGCAGTAATGGGTTAACTCCTATTTAACTTTCAATAGGAGTAAATACGTTACTGCATTACGGTGTTTTCGATTGTAATATAGTCTCTGCTAGGGACTACAAACTAAATTATCTGAAATGCCTTGAAATTTTAACTCTGGAAGTGCATTATAGATCTAATGCTTTAGCTAATGAATTAACCAGAACAACAAAGCTCTGATCCATGAACAGACAACATTTAAAAACCAAACAACTGCAAGCCTAGCATTGAGCTGGTGGGTAACAACAATGATTACATGTGATTATAAAATTACAGGACTGGTGTTCATAAATCAATAAAAATACAAATAAGTAAACAAAAATCACTAAGAATGTATGCTTGAAATAAACAAAATAAACTTAAATAAAAGCACAAGTGAAGGGTGCAAACTGGTAACAAAAAAATGCAAAATTTACATGTATCTATGAAAAAAAAAAAACAAAAAAAAAACAGCGATCTAAATTAGGAACAGACCATTATGGTCATAAAACAAGAATGTTATAAAAGACTCAACTTGTACATGTTTTTTGTTTAGCTTGTGTTTTATTTGCACCAAAACAGTATAGGCGACTTTCTAGCTTAAATGGAGGAAGACCTCAGGTGCCCTTCTGTGCATTATTTCAGGCACAAATGGGCACCTGAGTAGAACCCTCAGTGTTCCGTAAGCTAACTGAATAGCTTAACCCCATCAAAGAATTCAAAGTTCTTGTCATACAAATAAAGGCTTCTTTAATCTCAAATAATCATACTGATAGTGGTTAACATGTCTGACTAGTAATTTAATGATCGCTAGCTGCAAGAAATTTTACACTCATTTCTCAGTACTGGTTGGTTCCAGTAATAGATTCGAAAGTGTGTCTTATAAGCTTATAGCTTCCTACACAATGAAACTAAAATAAGTTCTGTATTTAGAATATTTTCTTTGTTGTTTGAACAATGTTACCACCAAAGATGTCAAAAAAAAAATTTTATTTTTTTTTTTGTACCTGACGAAGTTTGGATGGAGGATGAACTTCACAAACACAAAAAGTAAACATATAACAAGATTCGTAACACATGAAACATCTCATGCATTGTTTGTTACCAAAATTTTATCACAAGCTGGGGGCTCTGCTCTGTAGAAAACATTTGGCTCCTGCGACAGCGATTTAATGAAGAAATATATAACACTTTAGTAAGTTTAATACAGTCCCTGATTCAAATCTAAACAGAATTCCCTTTTAAATGAATACTTTCAATTATTCTAAATTGCTGTGTTCAAGGTACTGGGGCAAACAAAGGTTTATTCCATAGTCATATATCTATATTCCATCTTCATCCATAAATTTTTATATACCATTTGTTAAACTTGATTTTTGTTACAGGTTGCCTCAGCAAATTTAGTTTCACATATTCTTTTTATCTTTAAAGGCACCCTCTAAAGAAAATAGTAGGATTGTATGCCTAAACAAAATCCTAAACTGAAACATATTTTCTTTCTTATTAAAGCATAACTACAGACTAAAAGCATGGGAAAAGAAGAAGCAGTGACGTTTGTACAAAGTAGCGGGGGTAATGTGCTGTAAAGCAAGAGCAATAACTCAGGCATATATCTAAATAGTGACTAATACACTGGATTCATACAGCATGTAACACTTAATTTTTCACAAAAAACTATAATAATCATTTCAAAGATTACAGAAAAAATAGGAATATGTTCAACATGATACATTATGCATATCTTGTCTCTCTTTAATTTTGCAGGATTCCTATCAATATCTAAGAGAAAGATGGAATGTCCAGTAATGGGCTTATTTAATTTTTTCCAAATACACACTAACAAAACCAGAAAAGAAAACTACCCATATGGCTAGACACTGCATCTCTGTTTTAACAAAAGTAAATTACTTAAAATATTTCAGGATGACTTTTTAGAAAAAAAATCTAAGCCTATTTCTGTGTGCATGAAACCACAAGTCTGTTAGTAAGCATATCACATCAATAGAAGCTGATTTATATTTATAAAGCTAGCATTTAATATTTGTAGCAAGAGTGTTGCATATATTTAAGCAGTACATGAGACTATATCATAGCATCTACACGATCAAATTATGTCATAATAATAATAATAACAAGCAATTATCATAGTATTGCAAGCAATCCATAAGTCCCCTACCGGATAGAACCCCATCAGCATTCTGAAGGGCCATTGGCCATTCACTAATGTGTAAATTTTCTCTATTTTAAGTAAATTTGTGGGAAATGTTCTTTAAAAGTGATCACAGGAAAAAGTTTTTATAAACAGACAGACAGACGAACTGAAGGACACTCTAAAGTTAATATTTGAAACATCCCTGTTACCAAAATATAACATTTTAAATAGCAAAATTCTTAAAGAGGAGATAACTCTGGAATTAAAGATGCAATTTCATAAAAAGTTTCAGCTCTTTTTGACTAAATCACAAATATTGTTATATTTGCCATGTTTTAATCATATTTTGTTGCCAAGGCAACCAATATTTTTCAAAATAGGAAGAACAGATAAGACATGCATAATCTCAAGACTGCCATCTACCCATATGTCAAGTTTCATAAAAATATTTCCAGTACTTTTTGCGTTATCACTGGATTCAGTTTATGTGTAAAATTTGCCATATTTTCAGTCTATGTGTTGCCATAGCAACCAGAATTTTCAACACAGGAAGAAAAGAAAAAGACGTGTATAATCTCCAGACTGCCATCTACACATATTACAAGTTTCATAAAAATATTTCTATTACTTTTTGCGTTAACACTGGATCCAGTTTATGTGTAAATATTGCCATATTTTCAGTCTATTTGTTGCCATAGCAACCAGAATTTTCAATATAGGAACAAAAGAGAAAGACGTGCATAATCTCCATACTGCCATCTATCCATATATCAAGTTTCATAAAAATATTTCCAGTACTTTTTGCGTTATCACTGGATCCAGTTTATGTGTAAAATTTGCCATATTTTCAGCCTATTTGTTGCCATAGCAACCAGAATTTTCAACATAGGAAGAAAAGAAAAAGACGTGCATAATCTCCATACTGCCATCTATCCATATATCAAGTTTCATAAAAATATTTTCAGTACTTTTCAAGTTATCGCGGGATCCAGTTTTGTGGACGGACGGACTGACGGACTGACAGACAGACGGACGGACAGACGGACGGACAGACGGACGGAGGGTAAACCTAAAGTCCCCTCCGGTAAACCGGTAGGGACCGGTAGGGGACTGATAATGATAATGATAATGATAATAATGATAATAATAATAATAACTAGAACTATCACTAAATGTGATTAATACCCCCACAAGACTGCTTCGGAAATGAGGATGTTACTAGTAACAGAATACCTTGTAAAAGAATTGAAATATAGAGTTATGGTTGTGGGCAATTAAAGAAAGTTGTGGTTCTTGTATGTTGCATTTCCTTTCAATGTGGTTGGTCATTGATGAAGTTTTATTGAATTACTCTGTAATAAGTCCAGAAAGACAAGAAAAAGGAACAAAGGGCAATTACTCTATAAATACTGAAGATGGAGTTATAGTTCTTGTGCACTGCACTTCCTCTTATAGTGCTTGACCATTGTATGAAGTTGTTTTGAATTCCAACCAGTACCTTTTAAGTTATGCTCCGGACAAGAAAAAGTATCAAAGGGCAGTAACTCAGTATTTTGTCAAAATGGAGTTATGGCTCTTGTGCACTGCACTTCCTTTTAATGTCCTTGACAACTGTATGAAGTTGTATTGAATTCCAAACAGAAGTTTTCAAGTTATGCTCTGGACAAGGAAAAGTAACAAAGGGCAATAACTCTGTAATTAGTCATGATGGAGTTATGGTTCTTGTGCACTGCACTTCCTCTCAATGTGCTTGACCATTGTATGAAGTTATATTGAATTCCAACCATTAGTCTTCAAGTTATGCTCCGGGACAAAAAAAGCGATGGAAAAGTAACAAAGGGCAATAACTCTGTAATTAGTCAAGATGGAGTTATGGTTCTTGTGCACTGCACTTCCCCTTATTGTGCTTGACCATTGTATGAAGTTTTGAATTCCAACCAGTAGTTTTCATGTCATGCTCTGGACAAGGAAAAGTAACAAAGGGCAGTAACTCTGTAATTAGTCAAGATGGAGTTATGGGTCTTGAGCACTGCACTTTCTCTCAATGTGCTTGACCATTGTATGAAGTTATAACGAATTCCAACAATTAGTCTTCAAGTTATGGTCCGGACAAAAGAAAGCAATGGAAAAGTAACAAAGGGCAATAACTCTGTAATTACTTTAGATAGAGTTATGGTTCTTGTGCACTGCACTTCCTCTTATTGTGTTTGACAATTGTATGAAGTTGTTTTTAATTCCAACCAGTAGTTTTCAAGTTATGCCCCGGACAAGGAAAAGTAACAAAGGGCAATAACTCTGTAATTAGTCAAGATAGAGTTATGGTTCTTGTGCACTGCACTTCCTCTCAATGTGCTTGACCATTGTATGAAGTTATATTGAATTCCAACCATTAGTCTTCAAGTTATGCTCTGGACAAGGAAAATGCAACGGACGTCTGGACCGATCAACCAACCGACCATCGGGTGACTCCTATATACCCCCAAAGACTTCGTTTTTGGGGGTATAATAATGATAATATTTCCAAAACAAGCTAATTTCTTGAATAGCACCTAATCAAAGAAAAAATCTTCACATTATTCTCAAGCCTACAACAACTAAAGATCACCCATTTTTGTTTATCAAAAAGTTTATACTTGGATTAATTCCCTTCCCCCATTTAAACAGCAACACAGGTGTGTTTCATTTCTCCTTCCAATCCAGTTTGTTATTAAATATATATTATTTACCTCAGACCTGTATAATGCTTTTTAACATGTCTGACCATGCATCATTTAATTTGCAGATATGTAGGCAAGATAATATCTACTATAATATATATCATAAACATACTTTTTCATGACAATTATTACATAATCTTTCATTATAGACTAAGGCCTAAAAATTATTTGTTTCTGCCCCCCCCCCCCCCTCCTCTTCAAATTTTAAAAAAAATAATAGAACTTGGTAATTGGTTGTTTTCAATCATACATGAATAAAAAGAAGATGTCCATAATTGTTTGAAATGAGAAAGTGTAAAGCACTTATATTGAACCATGGCTATTTAGTCTTATCTAAAAGACTTACAGTCATTTCAAACCCTGGATTTGCAGTTTACACTGAACCTTACAAGTACTTTGTTTAAATATTTATGAAGAGCCCCTTTCAATCAAACTGAAGGCATAATTTAGTAATAAATAGTAATTGCAGAAACAAACATAATGATTTTCTTTTGGCATTAAATAAAATGGGCATTCAAAATAAGGACTTGATTAAAATATAGTAATTTTGGAAAGTATACGTTAAGTGGGAATATATGATCTACATGTTTAAACATACTATATTCACTTAATATTGTCCTGTTTTTTTATCATCAAAATTAGTGCACATGTACTTTTAGCAATCAAAACTTGCAATTTTAGTACAATACAAGAGAAAGTAGCATAACTAGGTCATGACATATAAAGTAGGTCAAGGTCACTTCATGTTTCCATAGCAACCTATACTCACCATATCCACTGTCTCCTGCAAACGAGTTATTAGATATAGATAGTGATACATTAAACAAAGCGAAAGCATGAAATTAATTCAGTACAACATGCCCATACCAGTATCCAGATAGTCTTTATTTGAAACCAGATGAAAGGAGAGCCCCATTCTTTAACTTAACTAGCCATGCATCTCCAAAACTATTATGAAAAATTATGACAAAAGTAAAGACATTATATGAAATGAAATCAGAACAGTAGATTTGCTGTTATTTTGTTATAAACAGTATCCAGAAGAATTGAAATTTGAACACAATACAACTCTTGCAGCCCTTGACATGAACCTCCAAAAGTCATGATTTTATGCTGCTCTCCATCCCTCCCACCCATCTGCAACTGCACAAAATTGCATTTATCTATTATTACATTTGATATAAGTCACTATAACAAATTCAGACTATCAACATACTAGAGGTCGCAAAATAATACAATGCTTATAGTGTGTGGTGTTCTAAAGTAAAACATATTTATACAATATTTACATATAAAATTAAAAAAAAGAAAAAAAAAACGAATGACCGAAAAAATCCAAATCAAAGGGTAAAAATATTCGACATAATAATGATGTACCGGATAATTTAACAAAAAATTAAATTCATAAAGTTCACAAGATGACAAGGATCTCAAATATTCAAATATTTAAAAATATTATATCAGGGACTTTCTTTTAGTAAAAGTTGATCCTTTAACTGGAAACAGTGATCAGATTTTGCCACAAGTTCAGAGCCAAGCAAACACATCACATCTGTCCAGTCTGACATAAGGTTCTATACGGTTGGAAACCGTATTTTTTGATATTGAAATCTCATAAACTTTGAGTGGACTTTTTCTTTAATATACTAGTATCCTTTCACAAAAACTCAACATAAGTTTTAGCTCTTTTTTTTAATTTATAATGTACATCAGAAAAAAACTGCCTTTTACAAGTCTTTACTAGTAACTAATAAAATTTTGTCCAAAATTCAGATTTAGTTTAGATTAACGAAATATAAATTCACCTTAGCTAAGGTGATCTTCTGCTAAAATAAGCTAAAATACTGGTAATCTATGCTTGTGAACTAATTCTCAGCTAACCAGCTAAGCTTAGCTCTTCATTGTACAGCATAGTAAAAAATAAAAACTATGTAAACTATCAAGAACCTTTTCGGCTACTATACAGCTTTTATTATGTCATGTTCTTATAAAACAGAACATGTTTTCAATTCCCTATATATTATTTTTATCAAAGCAATAAATTCTTTAATATTGTCTAATTTATATGACTAATTTATATAATACATTTGTGCATCTTACTAGAGTGCTAATTTCACTGTGTTTGATTACTAATGGCATGCAAAATCAAACATTTAATAATTAAATAACATTTGTGAACATTTATTCCGCAAAATTTAAACTTTTGCGATAAAAAAATTAAAAACGAAAATTTACAAATAAAATACAAAAAAATGGTACTTATTTCTATTACAAAAGCATAGCAATTACGTACATAAGTTGCCTTAGCTTATATTTGGCCAATACATAACGTTAAATGTTGATTATTTCTGTGTTTTTTTAATTAATGCTCGCATTAAAAAGGCAGAAAAATGTTTAAAATCCAATAGTCACCATACGTCCCTAGAGAAATTAGTAAGACATGAAAAACATGGTCAAGAAGAGTAAAAGATTGATATTTTTCCTTCAAAAGCTGTTATTAAACATGCAAAGAAATTACGATATATATATGTACATAAAAAAATTTGTACAAGTCTTAGTGCATCATGTTTGAAATTTATAGCTTAACCTCCTTATGTTAACTTAAGGAAAAAAGAAAATTCTACAGTAACTCCCCAATTAAATACATTATATTTCATATAAAAAGTATATATAAACCTTTTCTTCATCCAAAAACTTTACTTAAGTAACTAACCATATACCAAACCTTGCATTCAAAGGAAGAGCAATTTTGTTGATCCTTAAAAAAATTTCTATAAAAAAAATCCCATAACAGTAAATTTTCACAGACAACATTCATAAAATAAATAAAATTTATATAAATTTTTTCCTTCTTTGTTTACCACTCACCTCCCATTTTGAATACTTCTTTCTTATAGTCTCTGTGGCCAAACTCTGTAAAACAAAGGAAAATATCAGTGTGTTAGTTAATAGATTTTCATTCCAACAAATACAATGTAATATATAAGTAAAGTGTAACTTTTTCTACAGGTTAAAATGAAATGTTTTTCTTGTACCTAAGATTCTATAAATGGATTCCTCTCAATATAGCAATAAAAGTGTTTCTTCAAATATAAATATTTCTTAAAATATCACTTGAACTATCTGCTTATGTAAGTAGTGTTCTAGATTTACAAATCTCCAATTACTAAATGCCGAACAATACACAATGTGGATTCAATGCCAAAATGCTGAATTTTCTTTCCTAGAACTTGGGGAATAAGGTGAAACTGTTCTGCAATTAACCCTACATTTCTGGACAACAGTATTGGCAGAATATGCATCCCCCCATCTCTCTCAACCATTTTGTATGACCATGCAAATTTTGTTATTTTTAACTGAGAAAGTTGACAATTAATGGAGCTAAATTCTTATTTTTTGATATGATAACTGTCCATAACATCTGGGCTGAAATATTATTCCTATGTTAATAGAACCCAAAACAAACTATGAAAACACAAGACAAAGAGGGCCATGATGGCCCTGAGGTCGCTCACCTGTATATAGGCCCCCCCCCAACCCCACCCCCCCCCCCCAACGTTGCAGGGCCAATTTAACCCAAGGGCTTTTATTTGCACAAACTTGGTAGACACCCATAAGAAGATGTTTCATGCTAAACATCTAAGCTCTAGCTCATTGGGCTTTTTAAAAGAAGATTTTTTTAAGTTTTTTACTAATAATACACATATAGTTAAAAACAATGACACCCCTGGGGCCGGTCCAGTTTTTGACCCCAGGGCTTTTGTTTGAACAAACTTTGTAGACACTTACTAGAAGATGTTTCTTGCTTAATATCTAAACTCTAGCTATTTGGGTTTTTTCAAAGAAGATTTTAAGTTTTTGCTTTACACATATAAAGAAAATCAATGACCCCCGGGGCGGGGCCAATTTTGACCCCAGGTCTTTTATTTGAACAAACTTTGTAGACACTCACTAAAAGATGTTTCATGCTTAATATCTTAACTCTAGCTATTTGGGTTTTTTCAAAGAAGATTTTTTAAGTTTTTGCTATACACATATAAGGAAAATCAATGACCCACGGGGCGGTGCCAATTTTGACCCCAGGGCTTTTATTTGAACAAACTTGGTAGACACCTATTAGAACATGTTTGATGCTAAATATCTTAGCCATAGCTCTTTGAGTTCTTTAAAAGAAGATTTTTTAAGTTTTTACAATATGCATATAGGGAAAATCAATGACCCCCCGGGGCGGGGCCAATTTTGACCCCAGGGCTTTTATTTGAACAAACTTGGTAGACACTTATTAGAACATGTTTGATGCTAAATATCTTAGCTCTAACTCTTTTGGTTCTTTAAAAGAAGATTTTTTAAGTTTTTACTATATGCATATAGGAAAAATCAATGACCCCCCGGGGCGGGGGCCAATTTTGACCCCAGGGCTTTAATTTAAACAAACTTGGTAGACACCTATTAGAACATGTTTGATGCTCAATATCTTAGCCATAGCTCTTTGAGTTCTTTAAAAGAAGATTTTTTAAGTTTTTACTATATGCATATAGGGAAAATCAATGACCCACCGGGGCGGGGCCAATTTTGACCCCAGGGCTTTTATTTGAACAAACTTGGTAGAAACCCATTACAACATGTTTGATGCTAAATATCTTAGCTCTAGCTCTTTGGGTTCTTTAAAAGAAGATTTTTTAAGTTTTTAATATATGCATATAGGGAAAATCAATGACCCCCCGGGGCGGGGCCAATTTTGACCCCAGGGCTTTTTTTGAACAAACTTGGTAGACACTTATTAGAACATGTTTCATGCTAAATATCTTAGCTCTAACTCTTTTGGTTCTTTAAAAGAAGATTTTTTAAGTTTTTACTATATGCATATAGGGAAAATCAATGACCCCCTGGGGCGGGGCCAATTTTGACCCCAGGGCTTTTATTTGAACAAACTTGGTAGACACTCACTAGAAGATGTTTCATGCCAAATATCTGAGCTCTAGCTCTTATGGTTCTTTAAAAAAAGATATTTAAAGTTTTTTCTTCCGGTTGCCATGGCAACCAGAGTTCTGCATGGAATTAAATTCTTTGAACAATTTTTAAAGGTGACCACCAAAGGAACATTCCTGTGAAGTTTGGATGAAATTGGCTTAGTGGTTTATGAGGAGATGTCATTTAAAGTAAAAGTTTACGGACGGACGACGGACGCCGGACGAAAAGCAATCACAAAAGCTCACCCTGTCACTTTGTGACAGGTGAGCTAAAAAAACATATAGGTACTGCTAAATCAGTTAAGATTCTCAGTAGCACAAAAATGTCCAACAAACTAACAGATAAATCACTTATACTGTTACTCAGATTAAATTTTGTCTAAATACTTCATTTATTTCAAATGATATTGAACAATGACTCTATAAGAGCCTTTATGATACTGTAAAAAGCCATTAAACTAAGTGTAAAACAGCCAAATTACAACTTTACACATAGATGCCAATACAATGGTCTCGCCCTGACGCAATGTGCATTCTTAAATATTATTTTTGCCAGAACATGTTCAAAACCACTTGTATTTTCAGACTTTAGTTTCTTACCTTCTTCATTTTCAACTTCATCTTCAGGATTTCTCCATATCGAGTGAGGACCTCCCAAGGGGCGTGAACTTTCACAAAATGAACCTCATCATCAGACTGTGAAGTTAAAAATATTTTATTAAATTTAAACAAAAATACAGAGGCAAATTCAAGTGCCTTAAAAAACTGAACACTAAATAAAATCTTACGTGCTTGAAGCTTAAGTTTTCATATTCAAACAAAATAAATACAGAGGCAAATTCAAGTGCCTTAAAAAACTGAACAAAAAGTAAAATATTCAAGCCTAATAAAGATAATCTAGAACTCATTTCCTACCTAATCCCAATGTACAAACTTTAACATTTATAACTTCGTATATAAACATGTATATTGATACTAAGTGAAAAAGGATTAATTACTATTATGAACTGTAAAAATCGTGTGTATGGCAAAAATTACGACTACATAGATGTAGTTTCAATACATGTAAAATTGCATTATTTCAGAAAAAATTTAAATGGTTAACTCGTCTGGTCTATGAGATAGTGCTATAAATATTGATCGAATACGTCACAAAGTGAATATTTTTGAAGACATCAAACATACTTCTTTACCAAGATCTCAATTGTTTCAATACGTGATTGAAGCTTAAGTTTTTGTATTCAAGCAATAACACGAAGCAACCTAACGAAAGGAGTCCGTTTCATAAAGAAAAACAACCTTTTAACAACTCAGCAATTTCTTGTTTTTATGAGTTCTCAGCCAAATTCTTAAAACTCCAACAAAGATATTAATGTCTTACATTATCATACTCTAGTTTCAGACCCTCTTCAATCAGATTGGCTTCGAACATTTCCCGAGCTTTCATAGCCTTCTGAGTTTGTTCGGTCTCCTTCGTCGGTACTTCCCACGCCAGAACATAATCTATACGGCTCTCTTTATCCGTGAAAAATAAATTCCTACCCTGAAAAATAACAAACGTGTAAAATTAGCGTAACTGACCAAATATTTCAATATCTCCATTAACAGACTAAAAAACAACAAGTTTAATATGGCAAAGTTATTTTATAAGGTTGATCTTATCTGCCCTAATCTGGTGGCAAAGATCTATCATTACCAGTGCTGGTCACACTTAGTAAGTATTGTATACAGTATAACCATAACAGAGCAACATCCTTTCAGAGACAAATATTTTGGTTGTTGCCGAGTCAAATTCATTGTAAAGTCTAACTTTGGAAAGAACTAAAACAGTTATTATAAAGAGGTTTTTGGTTTACAGAGGGCCATCCTGGAGAGGTTTCACTGTACTATCATAGTCATATAGCAATTTAATGCATGTGAATAGAAAAGATGAAGAAAAGTGTGGTCTGTTAAATGCTCTGCATAGACATAGCATTAACTGTAAACAAAAAATTTTATGTGTTATCAACAGTCGCCGTTCTGATCAGGATCCATGCTGTTCGCTTACAAACCCTATAACAAGTAGAGAAACTGATAGCGAACAGCATGGATCCTGATCAGACTGCGTATTACATTCGTTTTGTCATGGCGCAGCTCATATTTACTTTAATCATTCTATATAGTTAAGTGAGGAATGTGCTAAATAGTCTATGAATAGTTATCATTTAAATGTGTTTTTGTTTTTGTTTTGTTAGTTTTTTTAAGATTATGTAAAGCAACTATTACCTTCTTTTTAACTCTTGGGACTGAAGGATCACCCATGGGATCTGCTGACACTGAGCCACGCCCATCATCTGTAAAAAAATAGAATAAATCTTCTTGGTAAATAATAATTTGTAGACATACATTTTCAGTATCAAACAGAGTTAGCTCGTATATTCATTCTCTATGATTTTAGAAGTTTTAAAATTATGATTAACTGAATATGATATTAATATTGACTGGCTATTAAAGGGTAGAAGGTAAGAATCAAATTGAAAGAGAAAATATAAAAGTCTGAAAAAAGAGTTATGTGAAACAGAATAAACATATTTTCTGTGTATTGACATATTTTTTTTCAAAAAATAACTTATTGAGTAATTTTTCTTAACAAGATCTATCAACTACAATATCTACTTCATTTATTTGCAAAATTAATAAAATTGAATCAAATGCATCATTCCTGTACATATACAATTATCAATTAGACTTCCTTTTTAAAATGCAACATTCAAGTTTATGACCAAAATATACATTTAAATGTACAAATGAACTTGATGAATAAGAAATTTTCATATTGTACTTATCAATGAAGATCAAAATTCATCCAAAGGTTATCAATAACATATCTCAGGGTATATCAGTGTTAAATTGTTGACCTTTTAGCACTATTATCATTCAATTACAGTGACAAGAAGATAAACATTAAGATAACATTTTATCAATTGACAGAGATGACACTTAAATATTCTACAATCATTTAGTTTAAATCTCTCCATTCAAACACTTCAGTAAACCATCTACTTCAAAGTAAGCGGAAACTTATAATTATAAACTCAGATTTAAGTCCTTATTTCAAGAATATTGAAGGATTTTCAAACAATTTAAGGTCAAGTTAATATTTTTTATTATCAAGGGAGTTAACCTCTTAAGGCTTATTTAAAATCTATTTTATTTTAGCTTGGAGATTTATATATACCAGTAGTAGTGGGGCAGTAGCAGTTTTAAATATTTTATTAAACCACAATAAATAAATCAGTGTAGTTTTTATATCATAACATATTTTGAAATTTCCAAAATATGGTGTATCAAAATTCAACCTGGTGCAAAACTTCTGTTGTCTCTCCTCAACTGTTTTTCTTTGTTTTCTTTATATTTTTTGTATAAAAGAAGTGTTACAGTAAGTTCATATGTAAAGTGTATATAAATATGTTAAACAATTTAGTAAATACATTGTACAACAAATGTAGGAAGTCAAACATGCATACCATGCCATGCATTTTTAATGAGTTACTGCAGAACCAAATGAAAATTTCAAATAAATGGACAAACTATATATATTAAAATGTACGAATCAAGTATATAAACCATAATTATGAATAAAAAATTCTCATATTGTATGTCAATGAAGATCAAAATTCATCCACCTTATATAGCAATGGTCAGAACTTTAAACCAATTGTGTGAAATGAATTTGTCCACTTTATTATTTTTTTGTAACAGTATGACAGTAGTTTCAGGAATTTTATTCATAATCAAAAGATTATTATTAAGCAGATATCTGTATATAAGGTACAGTCAGACTTCAAGGATGTGCTTCAAGGATGGGCAGCACTTAACACTTTAACCTACTGAAAGTGAAAGTTAAAAGCCTTTGCCACCCGTGTAGAACCAGGTCAGTCAGTAGAACCTTGCAGTCTGACCAGGCTCTATACTGTTGGCAGAGTTATAATTATAAATGATGGATATAATCATTAAAATTTATATCTGTTATTTCTGAAAATATACACTGGAAAAGTCTATTTCAAGACATCCAGCAGGTTAATGATTAACTTATACGACTAAAAAGTACGAGACTGTGTATTCAATTAACATTTACATCAAGTAACACTGTGAGAATTTAAAATAAAATAATAACAGCAAAAACCTTTTAACAACACATTGCATAAACAGGAAATACCTTCTAAATCCAAAGCTACTTCATCATGTTCAACTAGTTGTAAAGAATCCATTACTAGTTTAGTTGTACATACAAATTGTCACACCAATGTCACACAAATTGTCACACCAATGTCACACAAATTTCAAAAAAGCTAAATTCTTATGCTAACAGTATATTTTTATCATTCAACATTAAATCTTCTGCACTGACATATGTAACTTAAATGCATTACAATTACATTTATATCTTCTTTAATGTAACAAAAAGCACATTTCTTTATTATAAAATATTCCACTAGGTCATAATTATTCATCCCTTAAATCTTTTGCACTTTTTATTTTGCTTATGTTTGTATGTGTCTTCTTTTGATACCGATTTAGCTGTGGTAAAGTTTTTTTTCAAATTATAAAGAAACCTTTTAAACACACTATTTTTCAATTTAAACTTCCCCCATATCTATTTTCTCCACTTTGCAAAATAATGTTATAAATGCGTAAACAAACTACAAAATATTTTCCCCAAAATGGATAAGTATAATTTCAATCATATGCATATCATAAAATCAACTGAACCAACACTTTTCTTCACTTTACTATGTATTTATTTACAAATATGCTAATTTATGTGTTTTCCAGCTCTGATTAAAATTTACTTGAAAACTGATCAAATGTGAAAATAAACTGAATATCCGCCCACAATCCACAGTTAAACACGACTTTTAAAACTTCAAACTCATCAGCAGTCACACATACTTCAAGGACATAGATAAAACTGATACAAAATGATTCACATAATTAACTATGTAATATATCATATTTATCAATCTGCAAACATCACACTGTGAAATATGAAAAAGAAGTAAAACCAACGCAAAAATTCTTCAAAACGTCTTGTGTATTACGAGATGAAAGTAACTTAATGCATCAATAATTCCCGTCATATGATGATCATCTATTTTTACACAATATTATGTAATCATTGCTCATACGAAGTTTTAATATACATGCATAACTAGATGCCTGCACATTTTTACAAAATCAACACTTCCACCCCTAAAGAGCAATATAAAATATCCAAACTTAACAATATCTTCCGCAAAATTTAAAAGCCTCGTCTTACATAAAATTATGCAATAAATTCATAAATTTATACTACTCTAACATAAAATTATGCAATAAATTCATAAATTTATACTACTCTAACTCAAGGGTTTGTCAAAACTTTCCAATAATAAGAAGCATATAAATAAAAAAAAAAAATGCAGAACAATTCAATATCCCGACAGCATTAATTTTTACCTTTAGTACAGTATAATGGCAACGAGGTAACAATTGCTATTTAATAATTAACCTATTTTTAGGGTCATGCCAATAATAAGTAATGCCATAAAAGGACTTTCCATCTTTCAAGGTGACATAAACAATGAAGAGAGCAATTAAGGAAATATTTAAGAAACAGTTTCTATGGTCTTTGTCAATCACCTCTTTAAAGAAAAGTTGGATAGTTGTTTGATGTTATATGAGCCTTGTCATGACAAAACCAACAAAATGGGTTTGCTACTAGCATAGATCCAGACCAGCCTGCTCATCCGCGCAGTCTGATCAGGATCCATGCTGTTCGCTATCAGTTTCTCTACTTGTTATGGAGTATGTACGCGAACAGCATGGATCCTGATAAGACTGTGCGGATGCGCAGGCTGGTCTGGATCCATGCTGGTCGCAAATCCATTATGTTGGTTTTGTCATGGCGCGGCTCATACATCCAGCTCACAGAATATCAGGAGGTCTAAATAGATTCCCATTTTGCATGAAATAATGCACTGTGGGCTGACAGGGTCATTTTCTGACGTGACCTTTATATCAAAGGGTCATTTTCTGATGTGACCTTTTTTTCAAACGGTAGGACAGCTTTGCACTTGATCTTCAGATAACTAAGCTTTATTTTCTGCCCAGTCACTAGTTTTTTACATGTTTTGAAAATTAAGCAAATTTGTGCAAGCATTATTAAATGCAATACACTATCTATGACACACTCTGGGTTTCAGCTTCACAGCTCCAATGTTGACCCTTGTAAATATGGTCAGTGGGACTAATACAACAAAATACAACGTGTATGTTGAACAATTAGTACCATTCACAACGTAAATAAGTAAGCCAAAAACCAGTTTTACATGAAAATGAATGTCGTATTTCATAATAATGAGAGAATAAAATGATAAAAATGTATCTACGAATTACCTGATGGCAACGACAGACTATCAAGGTCGTCAAAATGAGTCATCTGTTTGTAGGATGTACGTGAGCGTGCCGGCCATTCCGCCAGAGGCTCGGACCCGCGACCAACATCATATGACATCCTTTTTGATATATATATATATTTCTAGTCTCAATGTGTATTCATTATATTTTCAATTATTGTTCCGAGAATATTTTCACTTTCCAACTATTATATTGCATTTGTGAAAGATTTAAAATCACCTTCAATTTTGTTATTACTCGACATTATAATAATTATTGGATTTTTAGCGTGACATTGTAGCTAAAAGCAAATGCAAATCGACCGAAGAATTTAAATCCAAAAAAATAACTTTTATGTCTGATTGAATAATGACATAAATAGCTTACAAATACTGACACTGCCATGAATATGTAAAACCCAATACTTTGCTGTGATTGAAATTAAAGACATTCTAACACAGGTAAATATAACAACTTCATGTACATCAATTATTTCTACTCTGTTTCACAAAACATAAAAATGTAATGTTTTGTAGTGAAAACCAAACACTGGAAATCTGATATAACTTATAAGCTCAACCCACGCAGGCATTTAAATTTTTTACCTAAGATGCAGTAATATAAAAATTTGCTAAAACTTTGCATTAACCAATGATCAAAATTTGAAATAGAAATTTTAAGTTACACGTAGATAGTGAAAAATGATAGTATATGAATACCTTGTTTATATTATTCCCCTTATAAATATAGAAACGTAAATATGTAAATATTTGCTGGCCAGTGAACCGTATCTAACATCACCTGAAGTGTATACTATGTTTTTACAATTTATTTATGATAACACATGGCATGGTTTCATTGATACAATGTGGGTTTCACCAGGTAAAAATATGCTAAAGCAAGTGTACAGAGGGTGTAATGTGTTAACACAACTGTCATATAGAGGTCAACAGGTGCGATAACAAGCCGATATTTGACCTTAACAGATGACCAGTGGGCAGATTTTACATTAAAGACTGTAAATGTAGATAAACCGCTAAATAGATTTAAATGCCGCTTTTTTAACCTCTCCACTTTTCATGTGTAATGGACTTGTCTGGATTTGCAATTGGACCTGTCCATTATCAACTTAAGGTAGGACAAGATCTAAATCCTAAAAATCAATGATCGTGATTCAGCTGGCAAAGTTTTTTTTATTTCAAACACCTCAAGAGTGCAACTGCACTTGGCTATTCATAAGGAGTATGAACCTATGAACTTTCATTGATTTATGCAGAATAAAATGCATTATCATATGATTGTGTGATACTAAAATTTCACTTTTAATCAAAATTCCCCTTACAAAATGTACTGCACCACTGATTAGCTATAACCACTGACTAGAAAATGAATAGATTATTATTTTGTGCAATTCATTTACTTCTTTTCATCAACAATGCCAGTTACTAATTGATCTTATTGAAATAATTTCCTGGCAATCTTTTATTCCTTGTTTCTGAACCAATTCTCTAGTTTACAGTAGAAAACTGCTTACACAAACAAAGATAGCCTTAATAATGGTACATATCGGAGAAATCTATAATTTCCATTACACAGGATAAATTGTGATGTTCACATATAGCATGCATGTCTCTTAGTCTTAGGTTAAGAATGTATGAAAAAGCCAAGGTAACCTGGTCAAAAATTTGTATAGACCTAAGTTTGAGTCCATAAGTTAAATGGCATATTTTGCTTATAAGTTAAATGGCATATTTTGCTTAGTCAGGTTGCGCATTTTGATCTGCTTGGAGTAAAAATGCATCATTTACACCTAGCTTATTCATATATGACTGGTGACACATTTGAACTAAGTTCTATTCTATAGATAATGACTTGTATACAGGGACGACAAAATCTGATTTTGACTGATTGGTTCCTTTTAATAAAAAGCATTTCTTAACTTTTCTACATGATATTTATATGGTAAATTCTTGAAAATTTCCACTTGTCTGTAAAGACTGTGGGACAACCTGGGCAATATGGACATTTGATTTTGCCACCCCTGGACTAATATACTCTTTGGACCTTTATCAAAATAAGCTAGATTGAATTTATTATACATGATTTAATTCTTTACAACATCAAATATTGCTACCTGAATGATTACATTACATTTCAAATAAAGATTTCAACCTCATGAAATCATAAATAGTAAATACCTTCAATAAACATCGCTGAATAGAATTAATCAATTATTTAATTTAGACGGAATATTCAATATATCCCTTTAAACACCCGCTTTATTCAAATTCAACTAAAAACCCATCCCTATTTTCTTACACATCCTTAAAACTGACACAGGCTATGCCATAAATTTTTGATACTTATACATCATGTATAAGAAATATATATGCAAATAAATCATGTAAGAATTATAATATATTCCAATATGCACAAAAAATCCTTTAGGACCAATCAACATTCTATACCCGCCCACTATAACATTTAAAGGGTCCTTCAGACAAGATAAACCTCTTAAAGTACAATCCAATGTCAACAGATGGAAAATGTTTACATAGCACTTCAAAGTACAGATAAAAAAAAATCAATGTGTGCATAAAGTTATATTTCCTATACAAGAGGATCAAGCTGCCGAGGATAAAGTTAACAGAACCTGTACACAGGATTGCACCTTGTTGACACAGGGAAGTAACCCGGAAAGGAACAATCTTGATTATTAGTCCTCTGATCTTGCCTTAAATACAGAATACAGTCAAACCCGAGCTAGAAACCACCCCAGAAAAAAAAAAACAACAGGTACATATCATAATTACAGAAAATCTCGTAAGCATAGCCGGCATTTCTACTTAAATTTCATTTTAATTCTAGCAAAAGATTACAGATCTGTATTGAATGACCACCTGTTAAATGAGACTTCTCATGGCTGGTCTTTAAAGGTAGTGATTTGAACAGAATCTTTTTGTTTTATTTATCCAATATTCTAAATTCCTTCTAATATGCAACAGAAACATGCAAACAAAACCAAAACAGAAGTAAACAGTAAAATAAAGACAATCAGTTGTAACAAGAGCTGTCCGTAAGACAGCGCGCTCGACTTTTTTATTGCTTGCCAATAAAAAAAGTTTTTGCAGTAAAAGGCAATACAAGAATCTCTGTATTTTTAAAGTGAACAATGGCCATGAGCATTAAGATATTTAGTGAAGAATTATTTTACTGAAAATTGTGTGATACCCTTGGAAAGCAATTTTTTGAAATTTTTTAAGTTTTTTAGAGTGCTTGCCTATAATACAAAACATTGACAGTTAAGGGCCATAATTCAAAAAAATCTTTGACAGAATTACCTTCTCCTGGACATGTTTTGGGAATCATGATTGTAAACAAGTATTCCAACTTTCAAATTAATATCTCAAACAGTTCAGTCAAAAAGTGGACTGGTACTAAAAACTTAACCAAGATTCTAAGTCGATAAAAGGCCTTAATTTTTAAAACAAATCCTTGACAGAGTTACCTTCTCTTGCGTACAGATGGGGGTAATGATGTGAAATAGCATTAAAGTTTCAAAGCAATATCTCAAAGGGTTAAGGCAATAAGTGGATTTTACCCATATTCAATGTATTTTCTAAGTCAAAAAGGGGCATAATTCTGTCAAAAACCTTGACAGAGTTATGTCCTCTTGTCTGTTGATGAAGGTCGTGATGGTAAAACAAGTATGGTCAGTTTCAAAGCAATACCTCCAATGGTTTTGAAATAAAGTGAGGTGGTAAAAAAACTTAACCAAGCTCAATACACTTTCTAAGTCAAAAAAAGGGCCATAATTCTGTCAAAAACCTTGACAGAGTTATGTATCTTGTCTGTAGATGGAGGTTATGATGGTGAACAAGTATGGTAAGTTTCAAAGCCATACTTGTAATACTTCTGAAATAAAGTGGGGTGGTACGAAAAACTTAACCAAGGTGTGACGCCGACGCCGACGCCGGGGCGAGTAGGATAGCTCCCCTTTTCATAGAAAAGTCGAGCTAAAAACCATAAAGCAAGCAAACAGAAACTTGATATAAAAATTGATAAAAATACAATCAAAATTGATATAAATACAACCTAAGTCGATATGAATTCAATCAGAGTTGACTTAAATACAATCAAAGTTAATATAAATACATTCCAATTACATGTAATGTAATAAGACATACAGGATGGCAAGAGGTATATTTTCTTTTTGAAAATTAAAGAGCAAATTCAATTCTGTGAGAGATTACCTGCCGAAAACAATCATTTTTCTATTTATCAAAATATGGTCTCCATAAAAACATATTTGGTTCTAAATGCCTGAAGACATTTTCAGTTATGCTCATTCTTTTCAAAGCAATATGTTGGACAGGCAATGTAAGTTTTTTTGATGACATCATTGATTTATGTGCACACACAACACAAATTGTGACATTATGATGATTTAAAAAAATTTTGCAGAGGGAAACTTTGAAATACAAATTAATGTACCTAAAACAGCAAACAGTGCAAATCAAACAAGAGAAAACCAAGGCTTTCAAACCAAAAAGTGTGATACCAAAAAATATCTGCTGAGTAAACTGTTTTTGTTTTGTCTTTTTTTTGTAGGGTTTTAAATCTCACAAAACTGTAAAGGTCATATGGCAATTTTTCAGTTTTATTGGTGAAGAAAGATTATTTGAGTCTAACCACCAAACCTTTGGTAAGCTAGCTGGGATAGCTTCCTAAAATGAAAGACCCTAGTGCGATTTGAACCTAATGTTATGCGCACATGTTTTTTAAGTCAGAATCTTAACCTCTTGACCACAGACATAAATGTGTAACATGAACAATTAAAAAAATCTCAGAACAAATGGTTAAATACATTTCTTCTTAATGGTTGATTTTCATCTGTTCTTCTCATTCTTTTTTAAAATTTTCCAAACTTTCAGGGAATATTTATGCATAGGACCATTTTTTGTTTCGTTTCTGGGACATCCAAAAAGCATATTCCCTGACAAAATATCTTTTTTATTATCTTTTATTATGATTGATTTCAAATTTGAGACATTTCAGCGTTTTTTTTCTCTTCTTTGGGAATGGTGCCGGTACCAGACTGATTGGGAAAAAAATGTGTTATTTTGACTTATATTGGGAATATTTTTTAATGCATTTTTTCAGCTACAAATAAGATTAATCAGCATGAATAAAGATATCTAACAGCTTCCACTGTCAAGGTAGAACTATGAAGTGGTGATTTATATGAATATGTTGGATTTAAATGATTTCAGAGAAATTTCTTGGCCTTGTGGGAATTCTGAACAGCCATTTTGGAAATTTAAACATTGGAAATTGAGAATTTTAATGTTTATTTTCTAATGGGAACAGTACCGTTTTAGGGTAGTAGTTATATAAAGAAAAAAAACACTGCATTTGTAAAATAATTGGTCAGTACTACTTCTAAATTTGAAATTGACCAATCAAAATTGTCTCTTATAATAGACTGGTTGCTCAAAAAACAGACTGGTCTACAGACAATTATTTTTTTTTTAAATACATTGTATTGAATAAAACCTATGTCAAAAGTTTAATCATATTACATCAGCAGATATTTCAAACTAACACAAAAGACATCTCTGGGGTACAAAATAGTAAAAGAGGTGTAGTTTATTTACCAACACTATATGGATCTGTAAAAACTAAACTTCCGGTAGAATTGTATTGATGCTTGTCAACTAGACGACCATTGCTCCAGTCATCTTGAATAGAAGAGAGATTATAACAATCATTGAGATAAGAGTGACCTAAAAAATAAACAACATCAACGTGTATCGTGGGTAACCAAAAACATTCACAACAAGAGAAGTGTGGGTGGAATTGAAACAACAAAAGTATAAGTAGAAAATAGTCAACACTGTGTATAAACAAGAGGGCCATGATGGCCCTGAGGTCGCTCACCTGTATATAGGCCCCCCCCCCACCCACGGGCCAATTTTTACCCAAGGGCTTTTATTTGTTTATTTGAACAGACTTGGTAGACACCCATAAGAAGATGTTTCATGCTAAACATCTAAGTTCTAGCTCATTTGGGTTTTTTAAAAGAGAATTTTTAAGGTTTTTACTATACACATATAGTTAAAAACAATGACACCCCTGGGGCAGGGCCAGTTTTGACCCCCGGGCTTTTATTTGAACAAACTTTGTAGATATTTACTTAAAGATGTTTCATGCTTAATATCTAAACTCTAGCTATTTGGGTTTTTTCAAAGAAAAAAAAACAAGAAACATGGCAATGCCATGAAACCAGGTTTTCAATTATCACCATTGTAGATAAATATGTTGTATTTGAAATACAAATACAAGCAACAAACAATGTAACTATGTGCAATGTAAAACATGAATAATGTAGGAGGAATTGCCACTGAAGAAGTGTTCACTATAATATTATGTATAAGGAAAAAAACAAAGGGCCATAATTAGGTCAAAAACTATCCAATCACAAAACCCCGACAATATGTGCCAGGGTGCTTGATGACAAAGCTTCTGTGAAAGTTTGAACAAAATCCGTTGAGAAATGTAGGACGAGTTCAGCACAGAAGAATTTGTTCACTATAATTATATTGATAATTCTGTATAATGAAAAACAAGTTACAAAGTAGACATGAAATATTATATCATATCTTTTTTAAATTACCTCCAAAGATGATATGACCTTTGACTGCCAAATCAAGTTAAAATCATGTAAACAGGATTTTCAATGTTAATGTCACTGTGACCTTGACCTTGGAGCCAGCCATGCGGAACATGCGTTCTGCACGTCATCTTGATGTGGTAAACATTTGTCTGAAGTTTCATCAAAATTCTTCAAAGGGTTGAAGAGTTACAGAGCGGACAGGATTTTCAATGTTAATGTCACTGTGACCTTGACCTTGGAGCCAGCCATGCAGAACATGCGTTCTGCACGTCATCTTGATGTGGTAAACATTTGTCTGAAGTTTCATCAAAATTCTTCAAAGGGTTGAAGAGTTACAGAGCGGACAGGATTTTCAATGTTAATGTCACTGTGACCTTGACCTTGGAGCCAGCCATGCGGAACATGCGTTCTGCACGTCATCTTGATGTGGTAAACATTTGTCTGAAGTTTCATCAAAATTCTTCAAAGGGTTGAAGAGTTACAGAGCGGACACAATTTCGTTTGACGCCCGCCGATTTTCAATGTTAATGTCACTGTGACCTTGACCTTTGAGCCAGCCATGCGGAACATGCGTTCTGCACGTCATCTTGATGTGGTAAACATTTGTCTGAAGTTTCATCAAAATTCTTCAAAGGGTTGAAGAGTTACAGAGCGGACAGGATTTTCAATGTTAATGTCACTGTGACCTTGACCTTGGAGCCAGCCATGCGGAACATGCGTTCTGCACGTCATCTTGATGTGGTAAACATTTGTCTGAAGTTTCATCAAAATTCTTCAAAGGGTTGAAGAGTTACAGAGCGGACACAATTTCGTTTGACGCCCGCCCATCCGCCCATCCGCCCATCCGCCCATCCGCCCGCCATACCCCAATCTAATAACCAGGATTTTCAAAATTGAAAACCTGGTTAAAAAACCAAGAATTGTATATATTTGATAACATGTAAAAAATGTAGCATGCAGTATGTTGGTCAAACCAAACAACCTGTGTCTAAACGAATGAATAGCCATAAATTTGATATATGCAATTTTGTAGATCCTGCATTCTCCACTAATGTTGCAAATCATTTTAATAAGGACGATCATAATTTTACCGACTTTTCATTTATGCCCATAGATGTTGTTTACAATACTTTAGATCGTTTGTGCAAAGAAACATTTTGGATTCATAAGCTAAAGGTTTTTTCAAAGAAGATTTTTAAGCTTTTGCTATACACATATAAGGAAAATCAATGACCCCCCCCCCCCCCAGGCGGGGCCAGTTTTGACCCCAGGGCTTTTATTTGAACATACTTGGTAGACACCAATTAGAACATGTTTCATGCTAAATATCTTAGCTCTAGCTCTTTGAGTTCTTTAAAAGAAGATTTTTTAAGTTTTTACTATATGCATATAGGGAAAATCAATGACCCCCTGGGGCGGGGCCAATTTTGACCCCAGGGCTTTTATTTGAACAAACTTAGTAAACACTCATTAGAAGATGTTTCATGCTAAATATCTTAGCTCTAGCTCTTTGGGTTCTTTAAAAGAAATTTTTTAAAGTTTTTACTATATGCATATAGGGAAAATCTATGACCCCCTGGGGCGGGGTCAATTATGACCCCAGGGCTTTTATTTGAACAAACTTGGTAGACATTCACTAGAAGATGTTTCATGCCAAATATCTAAGCTTTAGCTCTAATGGTTCTTTAAAAGAAGATTTTTTAAGTTTTTTCTATATGCATATAGGGAAAATCAATGACCCCCCGGGGCGGGGCCAATTTTGACCCAAGGGCTTTAATTTGAACAAACTTGGTAGACACTCACTAGAAGATGTTTCATGCTTAATATCTTAGCTCTAGCTCTTTGTGTTCTTTAAAAGAAGATTTTTTATGTTTTTACTATATGCATATAGGGAAAATCAATGACCCCCTGGGGCGGGGCCAATTTTGACCCCAAGGCTTTTATTTGAACAAACTTGGTAGACACTCACTAAAAGATGTTTCATGCTTAATATCTTAGGTCTAGCTCTTTGGGTTCTTTAAAAGAAGATTTTTTAAGTTTTTACTATATGCATATAGGGAAAATCAATGACCCCCTGGGGCGGGGCCAATTTTGACCCCAGGGCTTTTATTTGAACAAACTTGGTAGACGTTCACTAGAAGATGTTTCATGCTAAATATCTAAGCTCTAGCTCTTACGGTTCTTTAAAAGAAGATTTTTTAAGTTTTTACTATATGCATATAGGGAAAATCAATGACCCCCCGGGGCGGGGCCAATTTTGACCCCAGGGCTTTTATTTGAACAAGCTTGGTAGACACTCACTAGAAGATGTTTCATGTTAAATATCTTAGCTCTAGCTCTTTGGGTTCTTTAAAAGAAGATTTCTTAAGTTTTTACTATATGCATATAGGGAAAATCAATGACCCCCTGGGGCGGGGCCAATTTTGACCCCAGGGCTTTAATTTGAACAAACTTGGTAGACACTCACTAGAAGATGTTTCATGCCAAATATCTAAGCTCTAGCTCTTAGGGTTGTTTAAAAGAAGATATTTAAAGATTTTTCTTTCGGTTGCCATGGCAACCAGAGTTCTGCATGGAATTAAATTCTTTGAACAATTTTTAAAGGTGACCACCAAAGGAACATTCCTGTGAAGTTTGGATGAAATTGGCTCAGTGGTTTATGAGGAGATGTCATTTAAAGCAAAAGTTTACGGACGGACGGACGCCGGACTGACGACGGACGGACGCCGGACGAAAAGCGATCACAAAAGCTCACCCTGTCACTTTGTGACAGGTGAGCTAAAAATATAATGCAAAACAAAAATAACAACTCTAAAATAACACGACCACAAAACTAAAGAAATCATAATGAAAATATAAGTAGAAAGAGTTGACACTGTGGAAAAAACAAATTTGACAAAAACATCGAGTGTGAAATAAGATGACTAAAATAAAACAAAATCATACTAAAAAAACCTGAAATTTTTAAATCAAAAAAGATAAAACATATCAATATGTTCAAAACAAGCACAGAGTTTTGACTATGATAATTGGCACTTAAACTTAATACTAAAGTCATGTTTCATTGAGAAAATGAAAATTTGGAGAACGGTGTTTATAATGGACTATTCTGTCAATTTATTATCTTGTGAAAATAACATATTTGCAAAGTATCAATGTGTCTTCGTAAATTCGTGAAATAAATTATTGAATATAAAGTATAATCTTTGATATAAAATAGAACCTTTACTACCTTTGCGAAATGTTTCAAGGAAAATCATTGCAGTAAAAATGAAATGTGGTAGCATACTTAGTTACAAGAAAGAGCAACCTCAGTTATTTTAAACAACAGCTTGATAAACAAGAGGGCCATGATGACCCTGAGGTCGCTCACCTGTATAAAGGCACACGGAGCGGGGCCAGTTTAAAGGAAAATCCCAGTTCCCAGTTATAAGGAAAATCAATGACACCCGTGGCGGGGCCAATTTTGACCCCAGGGCTTTTATTTGAACAAACTTGGAAGACACCCATTAGAAGATGTTTCACAATTATAAGTTTTTACTACACACATATAATGAAAAACAATGATCTACTCCCCCCCCCCCCTTTTAAGAATCAGAATGAGAAAAAACACTTTCCTAAACTTTTACTACACATTTTACCTTAAATGGACTTGTCCATCTTTTTATCTGGACAAAACCATTCATTTCTTTAAGGGAAAATTTCAAAATATGTACAGACTGAATAGCTAACTGCGCAGACAATGACTACAGAGCTCAAATATGCTGGCTGATCTTGGTCTACACTGACTACACGGAAAGATTCAGTCAACAGCAGCAGGTTAAAGGTTAATTCATAGAAATGGGAAGCATATAAGGCATTAGAAATACTGATCAACCATGCAGTATAAAACTGATTAGAAGTAATATAAGTAAATCTTAATAAGTAAATTTTATACAAGTACTTTAGGGCACATGCATTTATACAGGCAGATATAGCGCTCATGTTTTAGAAGAATATAAACATATACCTTTGTAACATATCAAAAGGTTCATTTTTAGATTTGAAACTTTAAATAAATTTGAATGAACTTTCAAAGAAAAAAAATACAAGTGTCTAGAGTTGTGCCCCATTAAAGATAATCAAATTTTATTTGTCAGTAAGTTAGCATGCATAGAGAGTTATATTATATATCGATATACATTTACAAATAAGTGTATGCATACTGGAAAAAACAAAAAATGTACACATGAATTGTATAATATGTCAATATATCAAGATGTCATTCAATTAAAACTTGTCACTGTACTGTATGGTTATATCTACATAGTTTATAGTTAAATAGATATACATGTATATTTTACACTTTCATATGACATTAATATAGTCATTAATCATTATTTCAAAAACACTTCAAACAAATTATCATCTAGCAATTTTGAATGTATTCTATAATACTAAAGACTAACCATTACATATCAAGTGATTTCTTCTATTTTTATAAAATCAAAACAATTACATATGATAGATGATATATAAAAAATCATTCAAGAAAAAATTTCAACAGAAACCAGTAAACGATTTAACAGTCACATGTTCAATGTCTCAATAACTTGCAAATAGTTCACATTACCTCAAATAATTGCATGCTAGGTCTGTGAGATACAGTAAATAAAATCTCAGGACATTATCAATTTATATACATGGTATCACTTTCATAAGATATAAACCCTAGAATTCATCATTAAGTAACAAAACATGCAAATTTATGTTCCAATTTACATTTAACATATATTTTCCAACCTTCATTTGTTAATTGTTTTGTTTTTGTTTCATTAGGTTTTACTTGTCAAGGTCATACGGCGACTTTCCAGTGGTTCAAGACATCTGACAGGTACCCCCGCAGGCATTATTTTAAAGCACTAGCAGGCACCTGACTAGAACCCCTGAAGTTTCATAACCATAAATGTAATTCCTGTGGAACGTTTTTCTAAATGAAAACAATGAATAAATAGCCAGTCACTTTTTTACAATTTTCAGAATACATAGATCTGACACACATGCAAAGTGGATACAATGTCATAACACATGTAAATAGTTGTTTCATGCTTTGAAACCACGTATAACTAAAGGAGTACACTGTGACGATGCTACCTTGCTTCGATGACTCGGCTAATTCGGCCTTCTTTTTTACTGCAGCATCAATAGAAATGTACATAGTTTTCTTTAAGGTCAACATAAAAATTTTCTGTCATCAAAGAAACATTAAATATATCAGACCCTGTATCAACAATAAAACATTTTAACAATGATAAATTGTAGACTGGTTTTCACAATTTTTATATTTTCTGTATCAAGATTTAATAATTTGCAGTTTACTTATGAAACAAGTCACATATTTTTGATCTGACTGATTGCTCATGAAAATGAATTTAAAAATGGCCAATGTATGACTTGCATTCAGTATCTCAATTAAAAAAAGAAGATGTTTTTAAGCCTGGGCACTAACTTCAAGCACTTGTCAGAGTTATATTTTCTTTTTGATTCAAACTTGTAACCTTTATCTCAAAAGTTTAATTTAAATTTTCCTGCCAGACTGTGCTTTCAATCGTTAACCTACAGAACATACCAAAATGAACTGAGCATAAACAGTTCATTATTAATATAAAGGATATCAAACATTTGAAAGACGTTCAGCCAACAGTACAGAGCATGCTGGCTTTGCAAAGACTTTGTGGTTTGGGCTTCAGCTTTGTTAGTTATGCACCAGCCAACAGAAACTCCAGCTTCCCCTTCCACTAGGAATAATGTGGACTTAGATTTTAAAACTCCTTGTAAAGGCCCTGCTGGTACAGGAGAAAGGTAAAATCCTCATGATTTCACCATCACCCCCACCCCTTAGTGCCTCTGTGTCACAGGCCAGGTTTACAACTGACAGCTGCACAACATATATATCCTATGTGGATTTACTTACGCTCATAATAAGAAGTGAAATAGAACTCTATATAAACAGATACATTACACACAATGACAATAACCAGGGTGTAACTTTATCCACAGGATGTCGTCCAGGGAAAAACTGCCACTTACCACTTCAAAACTTGAATCATATATTCTGTACATATGTATCATAAAACTCCTAATTATAGGCCATACTTGAAAGATTGTTGTTTTACAGATATAGAATACAGAACAAAACACATAATACAGACCAATCTATGCAGAGAAACACCCTTTGTGAGACAAATAATTTGGTTGTTATATCAAAGCTGTTGCACTAGAGAGGTTAAATCTTTTGTAAAGAAAGAGGTCATTGTTATACAGATGACTGCTCTGCAGAAGTTGCACTGTACATGCATTTTAAATTGGACTGAACATAATTTACCTCTGCTCAGTATTGAGATACTGGTTCATCTAAATTTGACTTAATCTCAAATGAAAAATTTCCATATTCATATTAAAAATACACAGAGAACCAATATCTGAATGCAAGTCTACCATTGGTCAATTCATATTCAAATTACACAATCAACCAATCAGAAGCTTTGAACTATATGGACTAGTACTCACACTGACAAAAATCGTGACCTTGAGCTTAATCTTCTGCTTTAGTTTCTCAATGACTCATATCTACTTATATTATATTACTTATATGAACATGATTTCATAAAGTACATCAAACAAACTGCCTCTTTAACATCAAAAGGGAGGAAAATAATACTCATTTAATAAAAAGCTAAAATAAAACATGTGCATTCATTACCATGATCATATCACTTTAAATGAACAGTTTTCACCAGAGAGATGACCTAGTTTCTGGTAAATTTCCCCCATAAGAGAGCTTTTGTAATTTGCCAACTTGGGAATTCTAGCAATATTTTAACAGTCAATTCTATATTCAATGCATGTATAAATAAAATATGACCATATGATCATCGGAATTGTTCCAGGATGAAATACAACATTCTTGCTGTTACTTAATTACTTTCTATAGAGAGATATGGAATATATATATATGTAGATATTTCTATATGAGTGATATAAAGATTGTATTTCAAAGCTGAAAAAAAAAAAGACGTGAACATCAATTTTATGTCAAATTCTTTGGAAAACTTGATATATGCTTTAAAAGAAATCCACAGAGGTCTTAAAGCTTCAAAATATAAAATTTAAATGTTTATCTCTTTCAAAGACCAGCACGGGTTCTTAAAACAGAAAGATATACAAAAGATAAGTAAGAAATATTTTCAGAAATAAAATTGAAAATCTTATTTTTGTGCTGTTCTTAGCCCAATTTGAGTGCAACGCCTTTTCAATTTTAACTCACTCTTTCACAATTAAAATAATTATTCATATACATCAGTTCAAACCTTTCCTATATTTACTGGAATTACTGGAATATTTTAACTGTTTATCTTAAACTTGAAAAGTTCCAAGATGAAAATAAAACTGAATTTAAAATGTCAAACATTAATTTTATAAAAGGGGGAAACTTTTTTTTAGATAAAATAAAAACTCTCTTGGAAATTTCATCTTTGAAAGAATACTATGATTCATTTAGGCGAGATATCTTTCCTTAACATACACATCCACCCACTATTCATATGACAAAAACTTTGTTTTAAACATTAGAAAGACTCACAAGATTGTTAATAACTGCATCCGAAGATGAAATCATAACTTCATGCTGTCAGTTTATGTATGGGTAAGAGTTTGTATTAAGACGACCGTAGGGATTTGTTAAGTGAAACATTAAGCATTTAATTGAAAAGCGGTTTTTAAAGCTTTCGCCCAATCACATTACTATATTAAGCTGACCATTCAAAGCACTGTTAGGTAAATTGGTAATAAAACAGTGATTTTTTTCACTGTATTTTACAGCCGAATAAAGGCTGTTTCCCCTAGCCCAAAATAGGTATATTTTCCCCTAAAAATGCTTTTATTTTCCCCTAAAATGCCTCATGCTCTTCTTTACCAAAACCATGACTTAACAGCATCAGCTAGAAGACAGAAATCTGTCCCTATAGATAGCCCCTGCTATGTACCATGCATGTTAAATTGAATTGAAATTAATTTTTTCATAAAATGTGTTAGTAAATTCCATTTTCAGTTGTTGGAATTTGATTTCAGGTTTCCCCCTTTTCTGATTTATCGCGCTATATTTTTCCCCTTCAGAAAGCCACAGGTTGTTTTGAAAATTGGAAAAAAAATCACTGTAAAACATGTAAGAGGTTAAAATATCACTCTCTTTATATAGGACATAAAGCAGCCACATATATCACTGACCAAGCATACAAATCTAAAGTACTTTAAGTACATCAACATTTTCATATAAATGTATATCTTAAAACATATCAGTTCAATCAAGCAAACCTTATACTTGCAACACAAGCCTTTACTTTAAATGATTTTGTGTAATGTATTTGTCCTATTAAAACTTCAGAATTCTATAGTTCGTTTTATTCTCCCTCTCTCAATGTTTAGATCAAAACACTTAAAATTGTATCAGATTATCATTTCGTCCTGGCACATCCATGCCATTCGCATTACCTAGTTGTTTAATGGACACTGCATATCCAATCAGACAAAGAAAAAGAAACCTTTGAAACTTTGAATTCATTCATATGTTAACAGCTTTTTTTTATAATCAGTTACATGGTATAGTGCAAGTAAGATAACAAGTATTTCTAGATTCTGGAAAATTATTTTAATAAGAAACAGACAACTTCTCCATTAGATCTATAGTCAAGCTGTTAACTAGCAGCTGTATGAAGTTTGAGATACAAGTGGTCACAATGTGCTAAAATTTCGACTTGCAACTTCCAAGTCATTATAAAGTAAGCTTCAGTATACAGATTTCTGATGTAAATGTCGCTGAGAATTTATAAAAATATTGACACCTACCATCAGCTTCATCTTCATCCTTTAGCATCTCCAACTTGACCTCATCCTCTGCTGCCATGGTAACTCAAGGTCAGGTCAAAGGTCAAGCTGAAATGAGAAATGTATCATAGCAATATTTACTATAGTTTATAAGGCAAACATCCAATATTTAGAAAATGAATGTATGAAAGTTACATAACAATTTTCCAGCTGATTGAGAAGGACCCTCATGCATTATTCCAGGCAAGAGTGGCATCTATGAAGTACCGTCAACTGTCATAGCTACCTTTATATGAATGCAATGTTTTTAGCAGTTTTCAAGCCAACTGCATATCACAGCAAGAGGTTTTAAGCCAGTTGTTACCTTTTTCACACGCAACCACAAACAGTTTCAATAATTTATTAATTCACATAGAAACAAAATTATGTCTTAGCTCTTAACCTGTTGGTTGCAACAGATTCTACCTATGTGAACAGTGCAGACCAAAAATAGCAGACCATGGTCTGCTCTGTTCACTATTCAGTTGTTACATAATCCCTTTATATCTTGAATGGTTTTGTCCAGATTAAACAATGGACAAGTCCATTTAAGATGTTTAGTATGGTAAGGGTTAGACAAATAAAATTCCCTCAAACCTGTCTGATTCACAAATTGTACAAATTTTAATTCATATCATATATCCCACTTCACATTATTTAAATTGCAAATAGTTCTAAAATTATGTACAAAATACAATGCAGGTAAAATGCAATTTAAGTATACTTTATACAGATCATATCACTATTATTGTATACAAAAGTCTATATTGGTTACCCAATTCCTTACATGCCTAAATGTACAGTCTGTACCTTATTATCATACAGCAGAAGTATGTGGGATGGACAGAAACCATTTTTCTATTTCATTTGACTACAGGTATGCCAAATATGGGGTCATGGAGGTGTAAGATTTCATATTTTTACAGCTATCATTATTCATAATAAAATACGACCCTATAGCCCATCTGGTACAATAAAAAATAATACAATTATGTATCTGCACTCAGACTATATGTATATTGACTGTACTATACCAAGTTTAAATTCAGACCAGTCTGTACATCTGTGGGTTCTAAACAGACTGTACCCTTTCAGCTAATCTAACATTTTGTAAATGTAGTATTTTAAAAAATACTGAAAAACCTTATAGGCCCATTAGGCTCCTAAAAAGATAAAATCTTATTTCTCAAAAATTTCTTTCTTTCTTGCTCTTTTCTCCCTCCCTCCGTCGGCATGTCAGTCCGTCTGGTCTGTCTTTCTTTCTTTCTTTTCTTTCTTATGTTTTTAGTGCCCTAATACAATTTCTTTAAAGTTACTCACTGGCCATATCTATGAACCACCATTTGCTTCTATTGCATTATGGCATTTATTACTTTTATAGTGATTTAGTATTTTGTATGTAAGTCAAAATACTACTTTGGCCTCATTTTGATATTTTTATGACATGTTAGTTTACAATCAGCCCTAATTTCTTAAAGTGACATGTAACATGCTTTAAATCCATTACTTCAATAGTATTAAACACATACTTGCCCTTTCTAAAGAAGAAATAATATTCATTTCCAAGGCTTAATGTGCATTTAAATTAACAATGGATGGTTCCTTAGTCAAAGGACGGCCAGTACATTACATAAATTCAGCAGCATAAATTATGTCCTTAAATGAACACATACAGAATGTTTTCTAAAAGTTTTTAATCTAAATAATTCACTTACTAACTGAGTATCCACTTAATGGCAAATCGCAGTCGGTTATCATCCACTGTTTCGCCGCTGTTACATATAAATAATTCCTCTACTTTTTAGGATTTTTTTTATAATTACAGATATAGAAACTTCACACTCCAAGATTAACTAAACTAAAATCACAAAGAGGTAGGTATTAAAGAAGTATGTCAAATGATAAACTTGTTTCTAATATTTGTATTTTACATATCGCCACCGCATATAGAATATATTAACCCACCTAAATGAAAGGTCTCTACTTAACACTACTCAACATTCAAGATCTACAATTTTAGAATGTACTGTCCATTGATCTTTCTAAAACTCACATGGTATTAAACAAGTCCACTTCATGACCATGATGGTTTAACCATATGTTATTGAGTGATTAAAGGAAAAATATTTTTCCGCATGATTCTTCACAGATATTTTGTAACGTTAATCTAGAAATCATATCTTGTTTTTTTCTCTACTATTTTTCCTACCAATGACACAGTCAGTCCCCTTTGTCTCCCATAGATAATTAGTGTTTTATTATAATGAACGTAACAAATTTTGCATACATAGACAAAATATGCAAATCAGCAAAAAATCAATATTCATGTACATACTGATATTTTACAATACTACATAGAATACAGAAATAAATAATAATTAAACCTACCTATTTTGCATACATAAATTTATGCTATATCTCCTAAAAGTATGTCCACAGTGTCATAGGGGGAATAGAAATAATATATTCTATGTTAAAAGTTAATGGCCATAACCGTGTTTATCTATAATACAAAAGCTGTCAAGCTTACACATTCCTTTCACTAGATTATCTTACTCGTAGAAAATGTTGACATTATGTAGTCTACTTAACCACATAAAATGACCAAGGGGCAGTCTAGAATACATTGATTTTTTTCGCTAACCTGTCTTGTCTGAGTGGACACACTTGGTTGTTCAGGCATTAAGTAAATGTAAAAAATGTTTTATAATTCATATTAATAAATTATTTATTCAATGCTAATGTAAATTATAATGTATTAACTTAAATTTTCTTACACATTTATGAAGGTTTAACTTTAAGATAGAATTACAAAGTTGTTTGTTATTACAGTACACAATACAATTACATTATAAGTCTATCTACAGGAAGTATAAATAGACATTCATTGTTTTAATTGCTGACATTCAGTTATAATACTGCCTGATGCACACTTGAAGAACATTAAGGAAATCATACAATACTGTCCTTAATATTGTTAATTGTTTTTTATCAGTCAAAAGTTCCTGGATTTACATTTAAATCATCTATACTTAAATGTTTAAGATAACATATTGTTTCTTTTAATGTAAGAATTGTACATAGTTTACTGAATCTAAGATATAAATAAAGCTACAACAGGTTTAAAATGTCATTCAATATCTCTTTATCAGTAGGCTCTTTAAGAAATGACAATTTTTATAAAGAAGTAATAACTTTATTGAATAAGTCAAGCAATTTCTGTTATTCACTAATTGTATTTAAGTTTGTATACTATAAATACAATCAAGACTGTTAAGGATATTTGCTTATAACAGGTGGCAAAAGTTTGGATTGTATATCTAAGTAATCAAATATTACAATTTTGTAACAATTTTATAAAAATTTCACACCAAGTTCTTTATTCTCATTTTGAAAATAAAAACAATAATATTTACTTGGTAGAATGTTAAACCAAACATGAAGACCTTCAGTACATGTAGCTAAATGAAAGAAAAAAGTTTAACAATATCTGTAACGTGCTTTTGTATTTCCATAATTTCAAAAGAATGTAGCAGGAAAATAGTTAAACACACTGGTAAAAATCTGAGAAAAAGTAAACTTTGAAATTTTAGATTTTTAAAATATGACATAATATAATATAACATATGCCCAAGGGCATCGATCTACAAACGTGATTGATACTGCATTTACACTGTACATTATTTGCTTCAGCTGCTTTACTGATCAATTATGTATAGTTAACACATAAAATAGTATTAAATTACCTGCATTTGATACCAATGTCAAAAAAAATGTGTGTTAAATTATCCCAGGCACTCCTTTTCAGATGGAAACTACATCCACCATTTCACATTGACATTTAGCGTGTAGTTTCAACCCTATACAACAGCATATAACATGATGCTCGTTCAACCATTGATGATGCAAGCTTAAAATACACAGCCTTGTTGTTTGTCTGCGGAGATCAAAATAAAAATATTTTAATCAGGATAAAGTGTAAACTATTTGTATTTTTTCGAATTGATAAAACATGAAATAAAAAATAGTGTGATTTTATTGCTTAAAAAAAAAAAAAATAGATCTAGTGTGATTTTATTGGTAAAAAAAAAAAGTTGTTTTTTTCGTGCAAAATATCAGTTATTGAGATAATTGCATATTTTAAAGTAAGAAATTTAAGGAACAGTAAAAGTGAAAACTTCAAAAAAAGAAAACAGTTCGATTTATGAATAAAGATGATATTCCAAAGTCATATTTGTGACTTTTGTCCACCATACTTATCACATACGAGTGATTTTTATACCCTGGCAAACAATAGAAGCAAACTTTTGTCAGCGAGATAAAAAGGTAAAATAGTTGATTATATGTGAGGCTTGGTGAAAACGGAATGAACCCTATATAAACTCTTGGTTTAGACCAGGATATAGCCGAAGATGTATAAATTATTCAGTATTCTAGTTTTTGTTTAAAAATTTTGATGAACTTATCTAAATTCAGTGCATTATATAATTATGCTGTAAATTTTAATTCTCTACATTTTGTTATAATGAAACAACATCACTTTGTTCTTCATATCAACTGTTATTTAGTCATGGTATGTTATCTAAACATTTGATCAAATTTCTGACCCCACCCATTTCCAGATCTGGAAATCAAAGACTTTTGATGATCAAGACTCAAATATCCTAGCTGAAGTGATTGAACATTAACATTTTCACCTTTTGATAAATCAAAGAATGTGATGAACATTATATAATTAATTGTACATGTAGTTGTAGCCTTAGCCTACAAATTTAGAAAAATTCTCCATAATTTCTCTCTCAACTTACCTCCTTACCGGGATGCTGAGTCAAGGGAAGTAACTCAAATTTTTCCAAATATTTCTCGTAAATGCCGTACCGAATTACACGGCAAAACACGCTCGAAATTTCGTGTAACACCACATGGTACCAAAAATACATATTAGGTCCCAGGTAACACTAATATTATGAAAATCGTTTAGATAACAGAAGTCTACTGTCAAATCAACATTCCTGAAGAATGTGAAATTATTCCGGAGCGATTAACAATATTATAGTAAAATGAACCATTAAATAGTATGTTAGAGGGCATGAATATAAGTAAAATGAGTAAATATTCCCAGAAATTTAAAGATAATACGAAGAAATTTAGAATTGCAGCCATTTAGCTAATAAGTCTGGGAATTGTAGTGCAGGGGTAGACCACGGCGCTGTTAATTTGATTGTTCCTATCCCACATTAACAATCCACATTGGTGCTGCTAAGTACGTGTACGTATTACAATCAGGAAATATTCATGAATCTGCCAAGCCTGGGTCCCCAAAAAGAGGTTGGTTGCATGTGATTCTAATTCAAGAAACTTTGAGTTTGTGCATTTGAAATCAGTAAAGATCTTTAAATTTTGAGAAAAAGATTGAACGTAGAGGTAACTGTATAAAACTGTTGACATCTAATTTTCTTGTAGAAAAAAATAATCTATAGATATTTAAATAAATATCTACATGTATGAACATGATACGCTCATAAGCAATGACACCTCAAAATAAGTTCTACGAGACCAGTTATTTGACAACCCAGGGTCTTTCTATTTCTATTTGAAACACCCTGGTCAACCTCAATGTCAGACTCGTGCTTCAATCACAAAATAACCGCATTCCTGCAATCGTCATGCAGATACTTCTTGTTTTTTAGCAAATGTGTACGCAAGAGGAATCACCCATAAACACTTTTATATGACAACTTTGCAGACGACAAAGCGTGTAATGTATTTTCATGAGTGTCTTTGTTTGCTACTCGCAACACGTCAGCCTTAATACCAGTCATGCACGTGCTTTTTAATTACAAAATAATATACTTCACGTGTTGGTTAGATAGATTTTTATATGTTAATATAAAAAAAACTGCTGTGATTCCTAATTATTTCTTCTTTTTTTAAAGCCAAGTTTGCCGTCCTGTCGGCCATCCCTTGTACAATAATATGTACCCAATTTAAAATCACTGTCGTTATACGTCCATTCAATGAAATCTGTTTTGTCCAGCACATGGGCTGATAGTGACCTATATTTTTTTATATGTTCCAACTAATCAAATCGCAACAAACATAGCCTTTGACTTCCGATTGAGCCGGTACAATTAATTATAACTTATCAACAAGCGCAAAAGTCATGGAAATCATGCCATCTTATCTTCTATAGAAATAAGCATTATATTTATAGATTTTAGTAAAAATATTCCCACCGATAATTTTTCATTATTGTCTAACTCAATAATAAAGGCTATTTATAGATGATAGTAAAAATTAGATGAATTATTGCCACGGTATTTTTTTGTTATTGTCTAACTCAATATAACGGTACTATATATATATTTTTTTATTTTATAATCTATTTTTACTGTCCCCACGAAAACATTCATACGTAGTTTAAGTTAAAAATATGATAAACAAGATCAACAAGGAAAGGTGGCGTTTAATAAACCCACATACTGTTTAAAACTTATATTGTATTGTTTATATGTCATGTTGTTACTGTTGTAAACTGACTGGAAAATAGAAGTGAATGTTGTTGTTGTTGTTGTCGCCACACATTGTATGTCTGTTCTTCAATTGATCAGCGTGTAACCTTTAAGATTCTGTTGTCTTCTTTATTTATTAACCACAAACCACCACTTTGACCATATATAATTTAAATGGCATTAACTAACATGATTAATGAATATAAAGAATGATAAGGTTATTTTACAAGGTAAAGAATTATCCAACTTAGACAATTGTAGGTAAACAATTTAGCTAGATACTCATCCAAAGATTGGGGGGGGGGGGGGGATTGGGGCGAGTGGATGATTTTATATTATATATAATTATTTTTTTTATTCTCTGTATGTACCAGTACATAAGAAGGACAGTGTTCAAGCATTCGTTGTTTAATACGCAATTACCATGTACAAAGTTGATATGTAAAACTACTTGTATGTAAAATTATATTTTGGTTGTTATGTTTTATTTCGCCCTTAAACTTTGACAACAAACAAATTAAAAAAATAACTTGGCGAAGAATAATCGAATATCCTGCTATATATAAACAAGCTAATTCCAGAATTTTTATAGTCTATCATTGAAGTCCGGTTTTGGATACCATAATTTGTGTTTAACATCAAACTTTATCTGGTTATGCTTAAAACAAAGAAACATTGAAGAGATATGACAGTTCATTAGCCAACCAGACATCAGAACTGCATGCCTTTTTGCATGCACGAGTCACGCGGCTTTAATTACAAGCCGTGCACGAGTACTTTCTATGTTAAGCTGTCAAAATAAAAGCTACTCCGAGACATTCATTTCATTTGAAAACAATTAATTTAGGCATTGCACATTATGTCATGAATTATTTTATTGAAAGGCATAAATGAACAATAATCAATAGATTGAAATTTTGATACGCATTTTTAGTAAAAAGAAAAAAATCTTAGAGATTTTTTGCCGGGAGGACTGTGATGAGACTATAGAATGTTACGTTCTGTTGGCTTATCAAGCAACATTTACACTATTGAGCGTTTAAAAAAAACACAGAAATTTGAATTTAGATGTGAACTATGGCTGTACTATTTAACACCAGGTGCGATTAATTACCAATCATTGGTAGAGGATTTAAAGTCCACCCCTGTCCCTCAAGAAAAATAAGATAAGCTAAGTAAATAAATAAATAAAATAAAGGAAAGAGAGGGATTTTATATTTAATTATAGTAACTGGATTTAGCGAAAGTCTGCATTTCTTTAACAATGGATTTGAAATCTAAAAAGTCTTTTACAAACTTGAAAATCAATTGCTAGTCATTATAAATGATAATAATGACAATAATTGTCTTTTGTCGGAACATTTTTGTTCTTGATGAGCATTGTTATTCTTTGGATTTATTCTATCAACTTGAGATAAAAACAAGAATCTAGCAACCGCAACTCACCAAACAATTACATTCGTATTAATTATTTTCTCTCCATTTTATTTTACTTATTATTTTTTTACATATCTACACAAATATTCGCATACTTTTATAAAATAATACTTTGCTCACGCAATGTTGATTACATATAAGGTATTTCTTTTTGTTTTACTGTATTCACCATTCATTTCTTTTTTTCGAAAGAAACCAAACATTTTAGGTACGAATGAAAATGTTTGTAAATGTCCAGTTTGCAGCTCGTGCTCGCTGTATATGTTTTAGCACATAAATTGATTGTAAACAAACGAAATATAAAGAGGCGAAATATTCACCAATTATTACTCAATACGCAGTTAATAACAGACAGTGTTTAGAGATATTGGAATTTTTGACATTGACCATTTGATCAGAATCTTCAAAGTCTATCATTGAAGCCATATTTTTTAACTTAAGAAAAAAATGTGTTACTAATTCCTAGTTCAGTCTGAAAACTGACAGATTCATCTGGTTATGTCTAAAAGCAAGGAAACTTAGAAGAGGTGAAACATTAGCATTAATATTTCGTCACTAAAAATATGACAGGTCATTAGCCAACCAGACATCAGATCTGCATGCTTATTTTACGCCCACGAGTCTATAGGCCTTCGGCGCGTTGATTGGCTACTACCCCTTCCCCCTCCACCCACTCTACAGCCCTCATACCTCTCAAAACCATGTTAACTGCAGTATTTTTCATTTGAAACATGTTTTAATATTTGGTATATGGTTTTAATTCAATTTCCTTCATTTTCCACAAAAAGATACATACATACGATTTAATATATATGTATCATTTTTGGTGGGAAATGAAGGAAATTAAATTAAAAGTATATACCAAATATTAAAACATGTTTCAAATGAAAAATACTGCAGTTTACATGGTTTTGAGAGGTAAGAGGGCTGTAGATTGGGTGAGGGGGCGCCCGAGGATAGTAAACATATTTAATAAATACAAATATTTAGTGTCAGTAAAGAGGCCAAAGACTACGGACTGACAAAGACTACGGACTGAAGTAAGATTTCATTAATTAGTAGAATATTTTTAAAAAAGACAAAGAGAAATTTGAATTTAGACAGGGTCTTTCAAACCGATTTAGATGAACTGTGTGTGGTCACTATTAAAATGTATAGTTGTATACATCGTCATACAATGCAGTTATTTGACCATTAATATTATGCATTAAATGAATTTATAAAGGTCCATATTAAATCATTTAACACCAGGTGCGATTATTTTCCAATTATTGGTCTACCACCCCCCCCCCCCCGCCTGAAAAAAAGATAAAGAAATAAAAAAAATAATATGAAAATAAATAAATAAATGAAATAAATAAAGAGATGGAGATATATATTCAATTTTATTATATGATCTAAATAAAGCTGCAATCTCATTGGTCCAAACAGTAGTCAATAGAACTTTTTATAGAATCATATTCACTGCATTGGTGTAGTATCATATTCACTGGCTGAATCGGATTTTCCCAGTCTAAAAATAGATTGAGACTCGTATTCAATGACCATATATCGTAGACTGTTGATAAGGAGTGCTTATCAAAAGATAGTTGTTGCGTTTTGTTCTTAATGGTATATTTCTCGATTTAAATCATTACTTTACAATTATAGTTAAAAGTTACACCGCAATGATGAGATGTGTATAAACATCAATTACTTTTGTATGTGCGGCGTTCGATTAGTTGTTGCATGTCTTTCCCGTGCGTCTTTTTTGTCAGGCTTTTAACAATGAATATGGATTTTCAAAAGTCTTCTACAAACTTGAAAATCAATTGCTAGTCTTTATAAATAAAATTAATTTAATAATGACAATGATGGTCTTTTGTCGAAACATTTTTGTCCTTGATGAGCATTGTTATTCTTTGGATTTATTCTATCAACTTTAGATAAAAACTAGAGTCTAGCAATCGTAACTCAACAAACAATTACATTCGTATTAATTAGTTTCGCTCCATTTTATTTTACTTACTTTTTTAAAATATCGACACAACATTCGCATACTATAAATACTTTGCTAATGCAATGTTGATTACATATAAGATATATTTTTTTAAATTTTACTGTATTCATCATTCTTTCTTTTGCGAAAGAAACCAAACATTTTAGGTACGAATGAAAATGTTTGTAAATATCCCAGTTTGCAGCTCGTGCTCGCTGTTTATGTTTTAGCACATAAATTGATTGTAAACAAACGATATTTAAGGGAAATATTTACCAATTATTCCTCAATACGCGATTAATAACAGACAAAGATTCAAAGTTATTGGAATATTTGATCATTTTCTGCATTTTTATCATCGATCACTTTCATGAAGTGGTATGAATTACACGTTTTTTTGCGTTTGATGTTGATATTTAAATCTTTCGCCCTCAACTTATTTCGACCCAACTCGAATCGATATATCTAAGTAGTAGGGAAATTGTTTGTGTATCATGCATGAACTAGGAAAAATCAGTGTTTTAGATATGTTGGTGCACCATTTTAATGAAATAAACCACTGCACAAATGGTCAGAGTGTAAACTTCTTAAACCTGAAGTGCAGCATGCAGGGTAGTTAAAATATATTTGATAGAGTGTTTACAGGGGTGTACCACGTTTGGGGAGGGGGGGGAGGGGCAGGATCTAATCCCAAGTATCTGCGAAATGTTTGAAATGTTCTTTTTGATTTAGCAACATAGTGAGAGTGGTTTCGTCGAACTACCGGTTCGACGAACTGATCTTATATAATAAAACAGGTAGTGGTTTCGGCGAACTTAATTTATATTTTGCAAACAATATCTATTGTATAATGGGCACGCAAATTACCGTGGTTTATCACACATTTTCATGCAATTAAAGACAAATTATTGAAAATTTAAACCTATATTATTATTTTCTTTAGTATAATAGTAATATTTACATAAAAGCATTACACAATACAAAAGAACAACATCATAGAAATATATACATGTTTATAAGTAAAACCAGCCAAAAAACGATTAATGATTTAAAATTTATAACAAAATATTGATGATTAAAACACTTTATAAAAAAAAATGTACAATGTAGACCTACTTTGCCTTTAAACAAACAAAACAAACAAACATTTTATTGACTTCAAGGCCACCAGCCCATGCCAACATATACATTTCACAATATAAACATTTTATGTGAGTGGTATAGTAAACACATTTTAACAAAACATATTCACTATGCGTATATTAGGTTAAAATACACAGATTAGCAAATACAATTTCAATTATCAAGCAATCTCAATTAATCTACAAACATAATTGATTTTTAAGTAATCTGTTCTACATGGTATTAAAGATTTCGATTTGTTACAAATGTATCTCTAGTTTTAGAAGCTTTATATAACATTATTGCTGTATTTTTAACAATATTTTCATTACTACTTGACATAAGCGCATTAAACTTATTCATATCTGCCATTTCATAGTACTTTTTATCAATATACAAAGTTCTTATATTATCATATAAAGGACATATTAACAAAAAGTGAAATTCTGACTCGACAATTGTTTTACAATATGGACATATACGAGCATCTCTATTAACATTTAATTACTATATAACATAAGATCGACGAAACCACTTTCGCACCTCTTCATAAATTAAGTTCGCCAAACCGGTAGTTCGACGAAACCACCATAATTCAAACAAATCCGATTAAGGGCAACATGTTAGAAGAAAAAAATAACAACCAAAAAAAAACAAGAAAACACACATGACAGTGATACAAATGAGAATCTCAGATATCAAATTTTATACTTTAATAACTGATTTTGGTGTCATCTTGGAAATAAGATTTGATGGATAACAGACTTTTATTTTTTTTACATAATTTTTGAAAATATTTGATCATGGAAATCAAAAACTGCTGGTCGAACTGCCCTTTGTTAATTGTTTTCAATATATCCTATGTATAGTTAGAATTTTTTTATTCAAATGTGTGTAGAATCTGGGGCTAAAGATAACAGTATTCATATTAAATTGTAAGTCCCAAGTAGAATTTAAGGTACAAAATGTACATTTCATATAAATTCTTTTACCAATATTTAAAGTTTCTTACGGTGTTAATGATTTCAGGCTAAATGGAGAGCGAAAGTGAGAACACTGTTCAGACAGCCCTGGAGAAATTTCTAAGGAGACACTCATTGCATGACCACATAAGGTATATTTGACTGTTTAGGAATTCTTTTGTTGAATTTATCATATTTTGTTTCTGTTATTTATTGCCAAGTGTAGAGCAAATTTATTTTTGAGTATGCTCAGATGTTCTTATGTCTACATGACAAGTGCACTGGTAGAAAGGAGCTGATGTTAATCAGCTTGGTCCTGACTGGCATATCTGGCTCTCAGGTGACTGTTTAGTGGAATCACACCTGACAGAGCCTTGTTTCTGTCACAAGCTATAGATATGCAAGCAGACAGTGTAAGGTTCTCATTATGTATATTTATACCCCTATCTTGATTATATATCTGAAATAAACTTGTCCATTTTTCAATCTCGACAAAACCATTCATTATTTTTAGGGGAAAATTCAAAATATAAACTGATTATACCACAAAGAGTTGAAACCATATTCAGATGGCGCAGACATGCTGGCTGATATTGGTCTACTCTGGTTGTATGGGTAGCATCTCTTGCTCCAAGCAGACTAACTTTAAGTGGAAGTTGCAGCCCAACTTCAACTAAACATTGGATTTGTTCCTGTATATATTTTCAGTGACATTGATGAAATTGTGTTGAGTTATATAATCAGTATCCTAGAGGATCTTGGAGATGATGGAAACGCTGAGGAAAACATTGACGTGGATCAGTTTATAGAAATGATGGATGCTTACATTCCTGGCTTTGCAACAATCGAAAGGTTACTACAGCTTTAAGATTTATTTCTTTATAACAATCCATTGCTGACTGGACATACACTGCATATACTCATTAACTTTAACCTTTTACCCCATGAGCATATTGTGAAAAATACCACCTCCGTGGTCGAGGGGTTAGATTTGATGACTTCTAATCCAGTTACCTCTCTGGCATGGGTTCGATCCCCGGGAGATGCTTTGGTAGTTTAGTGCGGAAGAAGGTAGTCTAGTACTGGTGTAACTCTCCAGGAACGATGGTTAGGAAACTACCCGCCTATATGACTGAAATACTGTTGGGAAAAGGCGTAAAATGAAACAAACAAACAAAACAAAATATTGTAAAAAATGGCCGTTTTCATTTGAAAAGCCTCTGTTACAAGTTCAAACTGATATGAAACTATGAAAAATGCTTCAATACTGATGAAACTTGGCACAAATGTTGACTGGACTATAGCCTCTGTAACAGCGTGCTCGATCGTAAATTTCCTGTTAGCATGGCATTGGGGAGACTTCTCAAAATTGTGAAAAATCACTATTTTGCATTGTTTTTTTTTCCATCAAAACTGATTTCAAAGTCCTGCAACTTCTCAATGAAGTAGAGTAAAAGGCTTTTCAGCGTCGGTTACTAGTTACCCTGAGGCCTCTTTTAGCCTGTCACATGTCCAAAATTTTCTTGGCAATGAGGGGGACTACCGCTCCCCTTCAAAACAGATATATGATAGTCTATTCATTCGTTATTCAAAATTGAGGAGTACTTTAAAGAATCAAATTTTGTAGTTTAATACCAATGGATCTGCTATGTGTTTCAGTGTAAAGGTGTGTGAATGGATGTTCGAATTGGCCTCAACATTGTCGAGATCACAAGGTAGGTATCATATAGTGGGTTAATCTTTGATTTTATGATTTTATATAAATTACTACATTTCCTTAGATATCTGATTGTTGACATGTGACTTTTGTAAAAGTTTGCCAGTCTCCATAGCTTAACAGCTTTTTATTGGCAGTGAATTTTTCCCTATATTTTACAGCCAAATAAAGGCTGTTTCCACTAGCCAAAATAGGTATATTTTCCCCTAAAATGCTATATTTTTTCCAATGAAATGCCCTGTAAGCAGTTTTTCTAGAACTGTAACTTAACAGCAGCTTACTTATATATGCTAGTTGATTAATTTAATTGATTGAAAGACAGAAAACTGTCCCTAAAAATAGCCTCCCTTATGTACCATGCATGTTAAATTTTATAAAGTGTGTTGGTAGATTCTATTTTCAGTTGTTGGAATTTGATTTCAGGTTTTCCCTCTATTCTGACTTATTGTGCTATATTTTCCCCTTCAAAAAGTGACAGATTGTTTTGAAAATTGAGTAAACAATCACTGATTGGTTGTGGTCCATACACTGTCTTTAACTCTTTTGCTCAAACATGTTATACATGTAGTTTAATTCTTTTGCCTCTGATTGTCAATTTGATCAAACTTTGCATGAAATGACATGTATTACATAGCGTTTTACAGTCAAAATTTGACCCAAATTCAATTCCATCCCCATTTCCCTTTCCTTTAAGTGTAAACATGTATTTGGTATTGTTCTGACATATTTCTTTGTTGCTTTTATAGATAGTAAATCAAAAGAGCCGACCACTCCAACATTGAACACAGAATTAGTGGCAGAGGCTTGTAAACTCCCTCACAATGTCAGTTCCAAAACAAGGCTAGATTCAGTGGGAGAAAATGAAAGAGTAAGCATTATAGCTAGATTATAGTTATACACAATTTATTATATACTTTTAAATGAAATATTGAGAAATATTGATGAAATAAAATGCGTATTTTCATTTTCCGTATTTTCACTGTAAAAATTTATTTTTCACTGCAGTGAAACATATTTTCCGTATTTTCACTGGTGTCTTGCCGGACTACTTTCTTTTAAATTCTGCCAGTACTCAAAATTTAAGTGAATTTAAAATTTAATGTCCAGAAAAAGAAAAATGTATATAATAAACAGAAAATTCAAGTTTTTTCTATACATACATGATTTATTTTCATCTTGTGGCATGAAAATTACCATATTTCACTCGTGGCTACCGCCACTCATGAAATATTTATTTTCATACCACTTGATGAAAATAAATCATGTATTTATAGAAAAAACTTGAATATCCTCTATGTATTTATTATAGTTTACTGTAACACTTAAGGAATATTTTCATCAAAATTTATAGGTTCATTTAAATTTTAATCGAATAATTTTTCAGTGGAGTATTGGAACATTATATTCAATAGCATGAAGAATATTAAATTTAGGTTTATTAACATATTAATTAAGATATTTTTGGTAAATATTATAATATAGTTATACTCAATAGTGGACAATAGAAACCTAATCAACCTTATCATGTTTGATTAAAGGCCTCAACAGACGGTAGGATTTAGCTGTACAGCACTAATTAGAGATAAGATGTACAATTTTCAAAGCTATACAACACTTGCATTCAGACGGTAATTCTATACTGTAAGAATCTTCTGAGGTTTCCCCTAAAAAGGATCCCTTTACATTGATCCTTTACAAAATTTACTCACTTAATACTTTTTTTGCCATGAGTAATGATTGAAACACCTCCATTAAAAAAAAAATATATATATATATATTTTTAATGTGAAGCCTGACCAAGACTCAAACCTGGGACCCTCGGAATACCGTACTGCGGCTCTACTGACTAAGCTATGTGGCCGCCTACAAACTACCTCCCCTCCCCAAAGTATGTTATTAGAGAACAACTCAATATCGTGACATAATCATTTTCGGAATAATTTGGGATTCGAACACAACACGACTTTGGGTCTCCTGAAGAGTTTTTCAACATCATTTTTACCCCATCTTACTACTATGTTTACATTTTAGCCCTAATTGTTCTGGAATTTCATTCATTACATCCATTATCAGGAGATAATTTGCTTATCTGTTACTTGTCATTGTGGGAGGTCTGTAAAAATCGGTACGACAAGATTTTCAAAATAGAACATGTCCTATCCCTTACATCTCGACATAAGGTTTCCGAAATCAAGAAATAGTAGCCTTCACACATTAAGATTTGTCTGTACATCTAAGTTTTAATTGGTGTTGTACTTCAAAATCCTACTGTCTGTTGAGGCCTTAAGTCATACACACACTGTAACAGTTATATTGTTGTAGCTGTGTTAGTTGAAAAAGACCTCAAGCGCTCAGTTGTGCAGCTGAAAATTTTGTATTATCACAGGAATCTTTTCTTAAATGAAATACTTAATGTTCCTGGCTGGTTTCAAGCTCATAGCAGCATGCTAAGTCGCAGAGGCTTTTATGCAATAGTACAACAATAATTTCAATATTTAATAGAACACTTACATGTTCAGTATAATAACCCAAAGCCTGGTTGAATCAAAAGTAATTAGCATTTGCCATCCATGCATTCTGACTAGGCTCTATACTGTAGGCTAAATATCTTTTTAAAATTTCATCTTTATACACTAAAAACTCTGAAAACCAGACCCTCTGAAAACCGGAATCCTCTGAAAACCGGACCATTTTAAAAGTCCCGTATTTTCTCCCTATATGTTCATTGAAAAAAAATCCTCTGAATACCGGAACCTCTGAATTCCGAAAACCGGACGATTTTCTATGGTTTCTAATGCTAAACATGCATAAAAAATCCTCTGAAAACCGGACAGCAATTTAAAGTGTCAACTTTCTGTGTACTTTAATGTAGATCTTAACACAATCTCAACAGGTGACATGTTCAAATACCAGGTAATGGTCATCTCCTTTTGTCTATGCAGGTGTGAAAACACTTGTCAGTGTATGTTAATGTCTTATTGTCAATTGAATTAAAATGTTTTTAATGTGTTATGTTTTTTTTTAAATATAAAATGTCTAAAAGAGTTGGGAATCTTTTTTTAAATGATTCCTGTTTTGCTTTAAATTTTGATCTTGAATTTTTTGGATATCAGTTATATGCAAAAATTGTAATACTTAAAAAATTCCATTAATTACATATTTCAAAGCTAATGAAAAAGATATTATGATATATTTCAGACAATATGGTGTTTTAATTTCTGATTTTCTGAATTATATTCATTTTGCATAAAAAATCACTTTAAACATTTATTGCAAAAGAAATTATAATATAACTTAAACCAAAGGGTTGAAAAGTAAATACAAAATGATTGAACAAAGTCATTGTTCAAACACATCATAATTATCAATGAATGTATAAAACCTCTGAAAACCGGAATCCTCTGAAAACCGGACTTTTGGTCAAGTCCGGACAGGGTCCGGTTTTCAGAGTTTTTACTGTATTCCCAAAATTGATAGTGAACCATTATTTAAGAAATTTAGTAGGTTAAGGGTTGATATAATTTGCTTTTCACAGACTAGTTCTGAGTCCTCCGGCGATGATGTTGACGAACAGTTACAACAATTGATCGAAATGTTTCCCAGTACTGTAAGACTGGAATTAGAACATTGTTTACACAGTGCCGAGGGTGATATAGAGACAGCTGTACAGATTGTGTTGCATAGACAAGACACTGGTTCAGCTATCACAGAGGATAAAAAGGTATTGAAGTATGAATTTTTGTGACAAAATAGAGAATTACCGGGTAGGCGATTGATGTGTTAGGTCTAGTGCCACTTTAACATTGTTTCATTCATATACCAGTAACATTTTTTGTAGAAACGAGTGAAATGTTGGTCTTTTTCACTAAAGCACCTAAAATTTAAATATTTTGCTTGAAAACCTTGGGTCGTAGAGGAATAGCACTAAAATAGATTAATTATGACTTATGTAAGATGAAGCCACATGGATATTTACCATTAAAGTGGTATTATTAATGACAACGGGATATTAGTGATGTTGATTGTACTGGAAGCACTCGGGAGATATAAGAATAAATAACTTCACCCTGATAATTAATTTTCAGCCCAAGGAAAAGAAGATACGAGGGCACAGTATATTAGATGACAAGAAAATGAAGGACCAGATGATGGAGAGATATGCCTTCATTGATGTTAACGAGGATAAAAAACAGTACAAACCAGCAGCACCAAAATCTGTAAATATTGTCGATTTTATCTGTTGAATAACTAGTCAAATACTGGCTACAAGGTTATAAAACTTTTTCTGTTTTATTGTAAAATCATTATTATTTGTGGGGCACAAATTTTCATGGTTTTCGTGAGTAGGTCAATCCACGAATTTAAGATCCGATGAAATTGTATCCCAACAAATACTTCTTGCCATGTCTCTATTGAAGAAGTTGAAAAACCACGAATTTAAGAACCCACAAAAATGCCTGTTTTGATAAAACCACGAAATTTCATGCCCACGAATATAAGTGAATTTGCAGTAATCTGTCTCAGATCTCTGGATTTTTATTGGTCAGTCAAACAAAGAAGAGGTTTATGTCCAAAATTACAAGATAGTAAAATAAATTGAGCATTATGGGAAAAATATGAAGTACCGGTAATGTACAAAACTAATTAGGCTAAATGTATAAATTCTTTTGTAAGGTCCACCTTATATCTGGAATGCATGGGAATTGTGAAGTAGTTGCATAAAAATTTCCTTTATTTCTTGTGTTATATCATTTTAATTCTCTAGGACATTGATTTAACTTCCTTAGTTTTAATACAGATGGTTTAAAGTTCACTGTGGCTGAGTGGTTAAGGTTGTGGGTTTGAATGCCAACAGGGATTTTGGATTCTTTTATGTGAGGAAGCTATCCAGCTAGTTTACAGAACTTTGGTGGTTCTACTCAGGTTCCCGTTCTTGCCTGAAATAATGCACAGAAGGGCACCTGAGGTCTTCTTCCATCCGTAAAACTGGTACATTGTCATATGACCTATAATGTGTCGGTGTGACGTAAAACTCAATCAAACAAACAAACTTAAAGTTCACTGCTGAATAGTATTGAAGTTATTACATTTTCCATAACTGTTTTTATTTCAATTGACAAATTTTGTCTGAAATTAAAAAACAAAAAACCCTCTGTTATGATTAATCCACATATGTCCAGCTATTTCAGATAGCAGGTTTTTTTGTAATGAATATATTTACATGTGTTACATTTGATAAATGACCTTCAAATATTTGTTTAGGAACCTAAAAAGATGATCCGTTACCTTGACAACCAGGTTGTGAACACTAAAGGACAAAAATTTACAGAGATAAAGAAAGATGACGGTGAAGAGATGAAAAAAACTTTTATCAACCTCAAACCAGCAAGAAAATACAGATTCCATTAAATGTGTGTTTATTCCAAGGAGATTTGTTTTTTCATGTAATAGATTAAGGTGGGAAAATTCATTGTATGTTTTAATTTTTTATGACTTGTTTTATGTGGGATTTTCATCTCCCTCTAAGTATAGAATCATGGACCTGTGACTTAAGCATTGACTTTGAAGGGATATTCAGGCAAAATAATGACAAAAATATTAAAATGATCTTATGTACTCAAATCACGCTAAAATGACTTTTCTTGAAGTTTCAGCATGAATTTCTGTTTAAATTCTATATAGCGTTAATATATCTATATATGTTAAACAAAATTTAGACGCCAATAGAATCACAAAATAGTTTTAAAACAAGTCAGGTGACTTGAACAAACCCTCGAAGTTACAATACTGTAAAATCATTATTATTCGTGGGGCACGAATTTTCGTGGTTTTCGTGGGTAGGTCAATCCACGAATTTAAGATCCGACGAACTTTTATCCCAAAAAATACTTCTTACCTTGTCTCAGTTCTATATATTACAAACATGCGTCGGCTCTTTTCCGGCCGATATTTCGTGAAATGGATGTAAGTACAGACAGATAACCAGGTTAGTGACCGATTAAATCCGTTTGCAATATTTAAGAAACTTGAAAGAAAACTCGAATTTATATGTCCTCAATTTACTGTCACAAATGTCGCATATACATACTTGATCGTTGTAGTCTACTAGGACTTGACTTGTGTTAACAAAAATACTTGACATAATCGAGTAAATATGGGAACCCAGGCAGTGCAATAATTAGCGCTTATAAAAATTGTCAATTTGCTCTTATTAATTTAAAAAAGTCTTTGATATTAATGTCTTAAGTACACAAAACTATAAAAAATACGATCGCTAAAACAGATTTATTGTACTTTCTTTAGTTGTTTTTAAATGATCCAGTTTACATGAATTTTAATCAGTATTTGTGCGAATGCTATTCCGTAAAACATAAAAGACGCCACCGAATTTTACAAGATCCACATATACTCGTGTTATTTACCAAGAATAATTTATATGCATGTAAATTTACACAGTCGCTGTGACGTTGCGTATAGTTACTGTCAGATATGTTAAGTGTAAACTTTTAAACTCGCTGGTTAAAACGTGCCAGGTGTCGTATAAATTATGCGATGTTTACATCGGCGAATTACAGGCGCAGTGTGTCCAATGGAGGTGCATATCATGTTACATAAATGTGTTAATTGCAGTCAATTATCGGCAGTAACTGTGCTATATTAGAGTTATGCCCAGAGGCAAGGATTAAATTTATTGACAACCGCTGTGTGACAAGTAAAGATATGTACATGTTGTAAGTAAAAATGTTCGGCGATTAAGATTACTTTGCATTAGGTTACTGAATTTTTTTTAACAAGAAAACAAAAATCCACGAATTTAAGAACCCACGAAAATGCCCGTTTTGATAAAACCACGAACTTTCATGCCCACGAATATAAGTGAATTCGCAGTAACAGATATTTTTGATATTGTACGATTGAAACAAGCCTAAGTCATTCATTTGACATGTTCTTTAACGTTTCCAGAGTTCACTTTGACAACTATTGTGAAATTCATGGGGGTCAAGTTAGGAAACCACCATTTTATTCTTTATATGGAGAAAAGTTTTGTTCCTTTGACTGTCTAATATATTCATTTTGAGGGCATTTACAGAATAATGAATGAAAAAATGAATATTTTGCCTGTGTCTTCCTTTAAAGGTTTGTAGAAAAGTACATACGTTTTAGTCAACTGAACAGCATTATATTATATAACAATGAATGTTGCTTGTCAATCATTAACAGTCAAACTGGACATTTTCATTATTAACATCATTGTTATATCAAGCATTGTGTTGTTTATAATATTTAAATTATCAACATTAATAATGGAAAATTCTGAAAATTAGAAATTAGTTTCCATTTTCAGAATTTTCCATTATTCAGCTGGTTAAGGGTTTTATATGTAAAACAAGGATTTTTAAAGTTGTATAACTTCTCATATTGCACTGATAGTGTTGGACAGTGTTAACCCTATAACATTAAGCCTGCTGGCAGGGACTGAATCTACCTGTTCGACCAGTGCAGAACAAGACCTGCTGGTGCATCCATGCTGTTTGGTCATGGCCGGCACTTTTCAATCAGTTAAAATATCCCTTCAATCTGGTCAAAACAAAGCAGGACAAGTTCATCAAAGATATTTAGCTTGATAGGGGGTTATTGCAATAAATGACTTGCCAATGCCACCACAAAAAGTGGACTAATCCAACAAGGTCATTTTACCTGCTTTAAAGGGAAGAATTAATAGTAAATGTGGTAAGAGGCAATTAAAATTTCATTTTAAATTTAATTTAAGCTTCATTCACTGTTTTAGTATTTTAGTCGCTGTATTTGATGGTCATTAATTTGAATTTCATTCATAGACATATTTTTTAGAAGTTAATCAACAATTATTTTTTACTTTTATATTCATTTCATAGATTTTCAACTTTGTTTTCTATTGTTTGCTGTTTTCTCTGGATTTTTGTTGTTTAAAAAGTCTAAGGAATGATTACTTAATTTTGTCTTTGAAAATATTTTCTTGTTTTACTTTCTGATAAAATATGTTGTTTTAGCAGGTACATGTACATTAATTTCATTTAACTCCATTTTATATATCAAAGCAATTCATTTATTTTTATGACTTTTTCCTCAGTCAAGTTTAAATACTATTCAAATTTTGCTAGCTAATTTGTTATAGAGCAAGTGTTTGGACATTGCTTTAAGTTGCAGTATCCATAAGTTTTGCTTGATTTCTATTATTATTGGGACATATATCATCTCCGGGACGCTGCAGTGACAGGCACCTGATTTCTGGGACAATCCCGGGCGTTATGGCGTGTATCATTATGCAATATGATCTAAAGTGTGTGCAGGGCTGTCATGTTGACATGTAAAATTGATGTTTAAATACTTGTATGCAACTGTGTATTCTATATAATTTTTTCAGAAATTAAGCCATTTGCTGAGAGCTTTAATTATATAATTATATGGTATTTGTCTTGAATATTTCTAAGAATTACAGGAATTCTCGAAAGAAAATTGGAAGCTTATTGAATTAAAATGAACAAAATTTATACAAACATTTTTTTTCATCCAAAACAAATCAAAATTATGTTACAATTTCAAATGAGACAAAAATTTATCTACCAAAGACAGATCTTGTTTCATTTTTGTTCCCCCACGTTAGTGGCGGGCATTTAGATTTACCCTTGTCCGTCCGTCTGTCCGTCCGTTCACTTTTGTGTCGCACGTAACTCAAAAAGTATTTGACCTATAGTCATGAAACTTTACAGGAATGTTGATCAGCATGTGAAGTTGTGCACTTGGGTATTTTCGTCTGGATATTTTCAGTATTTTCAGAGTTATTGCCCTTGACTTAGTAAAATTTTGCAATTTTCAACTTGTGTCGCATGAAACTCAAAAAGTATTTGACCTATAGTCATGAAACTTTACAGGAATGTTGATCAGCATGTGTAGTTGTGCACCTGGGTATTTTCGTCTGGATATTTTTTAAGTATTTTCAGAGTAATTGCCCTTGACTTAGTAAAATTTTGCAATTTTCAACTTGTGTCGCACGTAACTCAAAAAGTATTTGACCTAGAGTCATGAAACTTTACAGGAATGTTGATCAGCATGTGTAGTTGTGCACCTGGGTATTTTCGTCTGGATATTTTTAGTGTTTTCAGAGTTATTGCCCTTGACTTAGTAAAATTTTGCAATTTTCAACATATGTCGCAGTAACTCAAAAAGTATTTGACCTAGAGTCATGTAACTTTACAGGAATATTGATCAGCATGTGCAGTTGTGCACCAGGTATTTTTGTCTGGATATATTTAGTATTTTTAGAGTTATTGCCCTTCACTTAGAAAATTTTTGCAATTTTCAACTTGTGTCGCAAGTTACTCAAAAAGGATTTGACATAGTCATTAAACCTTATGGGCAGGTTGCTCAGCATATTTAGATTTGCACCTGGGGTTTCGCTTGTGGATTTATCCAGTATTTGTAGAGTTATTTCCCTTGACTTACTAAAAAGTTTGACAGAACAGTGGCGCGGTGGGTGCACCCATGTCCTATGGACACATTTCAAGTTTTTAGTTAAGATGTGCATTAAACATGCAGGTCACGAGTGATTCATTTAGAGTATCTTAATTAAAAAAAACATTCTATATTGCGCAATAATGCAAGAAAATATCTTTTTCTGATCTAATTTAAATGTAAAAAAGAACTAATTGTTATATGGAAACTATTTTTTGTAAAGAAGTAATTTAATTGACATTATTTAATTTATTGATGTTCCTTTCGAATCACATGCATATGTTATATAGTTATGTTTTCAAGAGCTATTCAGTAAAGAGATAACGTAAAAGTAAGGAAATACTGTAATGTTAAACATGATCAAATAGATAAATTGATTAAGCTGTTTATTGATGTGTCAATGTTTACAAAAATTTGTAATTTTGACAGAATCTGATGTGCTATGTAAGTGTGTCATATCAAAAATATAACGTGTGTCATATCAAAAGCCCACAGTAGTGTTCATTTAATTGATTGTAGAATGTTTGTGATTCTTTTATACTGTTTGATGTAACAAAGATTTTTATGTCTTAAAGCTGCATGCCTCCAGATGAGCCATTATTTTTTAAGAAAATTAAATTTGAGAAAAATGCACTTAACTTTTAACAAAAAAGATAAAAACATTCAAGATCCATGTTACATTTTACATGTTATGTGTGGTTTAAGACTGATTTTGCAGTATTTTATCACCATATTTCTACTGCGTTAGCAACACAGTAAGGGCTATTTTTGCATATCTTGACCACTTTTTCCTAGCTTTCGTGGATTGTAAGTGTCGATTGCAATATGTAAATTACTTAATTTATTCACCTCACAATATTTTACTTTTAAATACATTTCCAAAACTTTCATGAAGATTAACATGAATCTGGAGGAATGCTGCTTTAAGAAAAAATAATCGACAATGCTGTTTTTTTTGTCTTTTTTAATATTCTGCTGTAAAGGCTGAGGGATACAGATTTAGCACTGTTAACTTTACCTTCTGGAATAACAACTTAAAAATTGTTTTGATTATTTTTTCATGGCAAGAAATGTTATTGTTTTTCAGTTTTATTACCATAGGCAATTTGGCTTTCACATTTTCTTTTCAAATCAACTTAGTATTCAAGGAGTTATTGCCCTTGAACTAACAGATAGTATTTTAAACATTCATCTTTCCGTGGTCGAGGGGTTAGAGTCGATGACTTCTAACCCAGTAACCTCTCTGGCGTGGGTTTGATCCCCGGGAGATGCTTTGGTAGTTTAGCACGTAGGAAGGTAGTCTAGTACTGGTGTAACTCTCCAGGAACGATGGTTAGGAAACTACCCACCTGTATGACTGAAATACTGTTGGGAAAAGGTGTAAAATGAAACAAACAAACAAACATTCATCTTGAGCAGAAATATGGAATAGTTTAGAATTTTTATACAATTATTTTTATGCATGATTACCACCACATGGAAATGTGGGTTTTAAAATTTTACGAATCTCCTTTGTATTTCAAAAGTAAATGCCCCTGAATGGAAGGAAGAAATAACACACAAGAAAAATAATCCCAACAAATATTTGTCTTCAGACATTCCTAAGAAACAAAATAATTTTGTTTAAAGATATACTATGCTCAAATTTGATGTTTGACAATAAAATATTTGTAATTGCAACACACTCTCTTAGTAAATATAAAATAAACATGTTTGATTTCACACAAAGTAGGTATGTTTTAAACTCAACACACTATAGGTGGACACAATATGAATATATAGTGTAAATGAAAAAAAAAACAAACTGGCAGATAAAAAGAAAGGACCTTCATTACTTGACCCATAATAAAGAATGCAGCTTCCCATATATAGTTTGTACATATTTTATTAAAATCAGACATATTCTGTAAGAATTTCAAAGATTTCAATAAATTTTAGCGTTGAAAATATTTTACTCAAAGATGAGCATAGTATATCTTTAAGAAAGCCTGAAATGAATGTTTGTTTATTGAAGTTTTTTATCTGATATTTTTTCTTGGCATGCTTAGCTTTTTATTTTGCAAGAAGTTGGGTGAGTGTGATTGGTTTCAATTGATTGAATTCGTTGTTTTTATTAAATGTAACTTTATAGAATATGTAGAATACTGATCAGTATTGTAAATGTGGGTCACTGAAATACCACATTTTACAAAGTTTTAATTTTTGTAATAGTTGTGCATTTTATGATAATTGACAGTAATCTTAAGATTTTAACATGGCAGTTATTTTATGGAAAGATTATTTTTGTAAATGCCTAATAGTCAGAAATTGATAGATGAAATTTAAAAAGATTGTTCAACTATTGGCTGAACCAATTTCATATACATGTAGCAATAATGATTAAGATTAATTTTCATTTCCAAACTTCCCAAGTGCTACACACAGCAAGCAAGAGGAAAGCCAGCAAAGTGTAAATTGCTTGCAAAAAATTATTTCTGATTTTGAAAGAATGAATTATATTGAACAATGCACAGTTTTAAAATAATCAAAACAGGACATAGTCAGGTATATGAATTCAGCATGGAAATGTTTAGATATTTTACTGACTGGGTGATATTGTACTGGACATACTTTGTAACAAATACCTGTCTCCCCTGCCTTGCCTGAATTATTTGTAATTAGAGATGAGATAATCGTGGTGTTTATTGTTATGCCTCCGCCATGTAATGGCCGGGGCATATAGTGTTACCCTGTTCCGTCCTTCCGTCATTCTGTCATTCCATCATCATCAGTTTCCGTTCATTATCTTAGTAACGGTTGCACACATTCAACTCAAATTTGACATATGGATATGTCATGAGAAAATACAGGCCAAGTTCGAATTTGGTCATGGTTCGATGATTTTTGGCAGAGTTATGCCCCTTTTACTTTGAAAATAATATGAAATTTTCAGTTTCCGTTCATTATCTCCCCAAAGGTACAACACATTCAACTCAAATTTGACATATGGATATGTCTTGAGAAAATACAGGTCAAGTTCAAATTTGGTCATGGTTCGATGATTTTTGGCAGAGTTAGCCCCTTTCACTTTGAAAATAATATGAATTTTCAGTTCCATTCATTATCTCCCCAACGGTACAACACATTCAACTCAAAACTTGACATATGGATACATCAAAGGAATGCGCAGGTCAAGTTCAAATTTGGTCATGGTTCGATGATTTTTGGCAAGAGTTATGCCCCTTTTACTTTGAAAATAATATGAAATTTTCAGTTTCCGTTCATTATCTCCCCAAAGGTATTACACATTCAACTCAAATTTGACATATGGATATGTCATAAGAAAATACAGGTCATGTTCCAATTTGGTCAAGGTTCGATGATTATTGGCAGAGTTATGCCCCTTTCACTTTGAAAAGGATATGAAATTTTCAGTTTCCATTCATTATCTACCCAACGGTATTACACATTCAACTTAAATTTCACTGATGGATATGTAATAAGAATGTGCAGGTCAAGTTCAAATTTGGTTATGGTTCTATAATTTTTGGCAGAGTTATGCCCCTTTAACTTTGAAAATAATATGAAATTTTCAGTTTCTGTTTATTATCTCCCCAACAGTACAACACATTCAACTCAAATTAGACATATGGATATGTTTTTGGAATGCCCAGGCCAAGTTCGAATTTGGTCATAGTTCAATGATTTTTGGCAGAGTAATGCCCCTTTTACTTTGAAAATAATATGAAATTTATTTTTACTTTGAAAATAATATGAAATTTACAGTTTCTGTTCATTATCTACCCAACTGTGTTACATATTCAACTCAAATTTGACATATGGATATGTCAAAGGAATGGGCAGGTCAAGTTGGAATTTGGTCATGGTTCGATGATTTTTTGGCAGAGTTATGTCCCTTTCACTTGAAAATAATATAGATACATCTTAGGAATAAGCACTCATACTTTTGTGGAAAGTTTGAATTTGGTCGTGGTTCAATGATTTTGGACAAACTTATCTTTCTTGAATGTTTGAAAAATTTTGAACTTTCCGTTTCAGCACTCATACTTTTGTGGAAATGTATGTAGCCATTATTTTGGCTACAAATATGAAATATGCTATTTTCAAAAGGTTAAGACTGAATAATTTCAGTGCTTTGAACATTGTATGAAAATGGTTTGTGTTAACATTGAAAAGTTTTAAGGGCTTTGAACTGCAAATGAAAAAAATAATTTGTGCAAACAAATTTGGAACTAAATATTATAACATCTGAAATTTTGGCTGCATGCGGGGGCATCCGTGGCATGATGACACATTTCTAGTTTATTTTATTATTTTATTGTACATTTTATGATTTATACATGTTATGGAACTCCAATCTTCTTACATAGTATTTGTAGATTTTATACATTTGAATTTTGAAATAAAAAAAATACCGGAAAGCAAATTAGTTGACAATATGTGATTTTTTTCCCACAAGAAATATTGATATAAAAAACCCATCTCTTACACATATTAACCATAATAAGTTAAACTTATTTTCTTGTTAGAACTGAAAAAAAAAATTAAATTCAGAGACACCAGCGCATTTGACTATTCTCAGTGCTTGACAGTTAAACATGGACCATGGAGTAATTTTCTTAGTTTGCAAAGGGGAATAACTCACAAACAGTACATGTTAGAATTATTAATCTTGAGTGGTGGCCTACAATTTTGATGCTGAGGACAAAACAATGTTTCAAGTCAATACCTTCAGTGGTTAATATGAAATGGAGTTGCATACAAAATTTAACTGACCCAAGGGTAGCAATGATATTCCATTTATTCATTAAATTGTTGATAAAAAAAGCAAAGCAAATTTACTGTTGACTTGCCATCCAACAGGACGGTTTTTACTGTGTAAAAAAGCAAAGCAAATTTACTGTTGACTTGCCATCCAACAGGACTGTTTTTACTGTGTATGAAAAAAAGAAAAAAACTATGATTGGAAACTTTATCATTAAAATAACCAACTAAATACATGGAGGACATAAGTAAATATTGCTGTTTGATCTTCCACCACCAGTAAGTTTGCAACAAATAATGAAACATAAAAATAAAGTTAATATTCCAAAAAATGAATGACTATTCATCTGGAGTCAATAGTATCTACTTTGATAGTGTATTACAGTTTTACAAAAAAAGGACGATATTTCAAGTCACTTGAAAGAAATCATGCAGTTTCTTTCAATAACAAAATTTGTAATATTTTTTTTTATTTCATTTTCTTTTCACTGTTTTATGGCCATTTGTCACATAAAAAAACATTCTTTAAACAGAATTCGTAAATAATTATTATGAAAAGCAAAAATCGTGGGCATTTCTATACTCATTTTCATGGTGACAATGCATTTAAAGGAACATTATTCCTCAGAAATGAAGAAATATTCTCTTCTTTAGAAATGGGGAATAATGAGTTTTATAATGTTTAAATAAAATTATCACCTTAATTAAGACAGTAGAATACCTGAAAGTTAAGTTTACTTCTCATAAGTAGTATTTTGGCCTCCATACAAAATCATTTAAATTGTACTTACTGCCAAAGAGCAACAGAAGTAAAAGATGGTTCAAGTAATTGGCCAATGTGTAACTTTTTAGGAAACTAAACAGGACACAAAAAATAAAAAGCTTTTGAGAAATGAAAATAAAATCGTTTCTGAGGAAGAATATGCCTTTTAAAAACAAAGCATTTTTTTGTCTACATACATCAAGTCAAAAGAGAACATAGTCTCCAAATTGCATGTGCAAATAATGGATATTGATCTGTAATATGTAGCAAACTATTTTCCAGTTTAGTTCTAATCACTAGTTTGTCCTCACTTGTCAGGTGTCTGTCACTTTTGCATATACACTTTTCAGCTGCCTTTATAATGTAATAACTATTACAGAACTTAGAGCTGTCTGGAAATTCTTTTTCTTGCACACATTTTCGGAGAATGCTCGAGTAGCTAAGGATAGCATCAGAGAGAAGCTGGAGGAACTTAGGTATCAGCCTTCTGCAGTCACTAAATGTATACAGTAAGTTGCACTTTCTCTTTTGCACCTGAAAATAAAATAATTTAGTTGATTAACTTTTCCAGAACTCTCAATAGTTTTCACATAAACACTGTTCAAACAATGTTGTATGTTTCAAGCACAGACAATAGCATTCTTTATATTGTATTTCTTTTAAATCTAAAAATCAAAACACTTCTTTTTAATAAACAGGTTAATTACCATTAAATTTCAACTAAAACAATCGTACTTTTCACATAATACCAAAATTAAAACAACTCATTTTGAGTGAACATAAATGAGCATGCATATTTCTTGTGAACAAGTAGTTTTACATACTTTTATCAAATGTTTTTGTGTATATTGATGAACATTAATTTTGCTCTTGTTTGGGATAGATATAGGCAATACATACCTTATAATCTTGATTTTCATATGACATGATTTCCTTTATCAAATGGGAATACAAACTGCACACTTCTTTTAGAACAGTGTCTGAAATATTTTTCTTATCTACAACAGTATTAACAGTCTGGACACATTGTTCTTGGACATTCCATGAAATTTTACTGTCTCCTATGTGAGTTTGCATTATAACCAGACTGTGTATCAAACTTTGTTGAGTTACATCTTGCATAGATTTATCTGACTCCAAAATTTTGGAAGCAGACTGAATATTGATCACATGGTGCAGAAATTCAGTGTGTTTAGCCAATGAAAACTGAACATCAGCAAGTGTTCCAGAACTGGTTCCCTGTAGCAATTCAGCATTTCCTGAAAGTGGTGGTGTTGGAAACAATGACTGACTGGTAGAAGGTAAAGAATCTGTAAATCAGAGATAAAAAGTTGAATCAAATATATATGAGTGTCCAAAAAGGTCAGTAAAAGGGTTTAGAGATACCTGTAAAAAATTCTCAGCCTTTTCCTTTAAAGATCCTGTTATACAATTTTTTATAATGCTCAAATGAAGATTTATCAATATTGTAAGTTCCAAAAACCATTATTTACAAAGATATAACCAAATATACATTTCATGTTTAATAAGAAATTTATTTTCTAAAAAGTCTCAGTTAATTTTTTCAATAAGAAATGAATGCATATATTTTAATGATTACATAATGCGGACAGATATTTGCAGTACATATTTTACATATTCTTCGGTTTTTGAAAATTGTTTTAGAAGCATAGTTAATAGTTATATACATGTACAAAAGTTCACTTTAGTGTGGTAACAAACTGAACTACAACATACAGGCTTTTTAAAATAAAAGCAAGAGCGAAATAATCATCCCTTAGTCATTGAGACTATTTATTTAAATGCAAGCTGTTGTGTCACATTACTAAATTGCTATTCAGAGTTATGCAATAATTGCAAAGGACTGAAATAAAACAATTTAATGATATGCAGACAAAAGATAAGCACACCTAAGTTTATTTAACTAGCTTATAATAGTATTCAAGTTATCACATAATCTTTTAAAAGGAATTTTGAATATTACCATTAACATACCAACTGTAACTTTGGCAAACAGAAGGAGGGCAAATATTTACATGCTCCTAAATTTATGCTTTTAGAGGACTAATAAACTTTTCCAATAGTGGTCAACCAACAAATTTTAATTACCATCTAACATTTGACTGTTTTGTTCATTTGCCCTTTCCGCAGATGGTTGCACGTGTGTGCTCATCATCAATTGCTGTTTCAGGTGAAGTATTTCTGTACCAGCTCTTTCACATTGCCTTTTCCAGTGTAGCTGACTTGTTCTAAATTTCTCACATAGAATTTCAGCATATCTTCTTCCACTTATGTCTGGTGGTTTGTTCTTAATAATTCCAATAGCTATTGCAACTTTCATGGCCTGGGGAACATCATCTATAAAATTATTATAATATCATAAATCTATAGGCTATTTTAAAGACTACAAATAACGTTAAATAAAATGCTTTATTTTGCTTATATGTCAGTAGGATCTTATATGTCAGAACAATCAAAATGGGAGAGAAATGGACTCCAACTGCATTCACAACATCCAGTCACACAATGTAACATGGTATCAGTGAGTTGCATGGACAATGGACAGCACTTGGAAATTTTAATGATCTATTTCAACGAATGTCTTTATGAATGAAAAATAAAATTTTACTTTAAAGCCATTCAAAAGCACATGATTTACCTATTTCTTGATATTTTTCCATTCTTGTTATTAAAATTGTATTCCTTCAAATTTAAATGAGCGTTTACAGACTCTGAGTAAAGTATTAAGTTTTACCGCGCCAATTTTTGAAATATGACATTATGACAGAAGTTTATAGTTAAATCGACAATGGCCATTATCCGCCAAATGGCAGAGTTATTACTGATTATAATAGCATTTTTTATAAGTTTTTTTTTTCTGGATACAATTCTAGTTTGAGAATCGAGGATGCAGTACAGATCAGCAGCTAGACGCTTGAAAATAGATGTGCACAGCGTGAAAATATAATACGACACCGGTAAATTTGACCTTTTCGAAAACCTAGCTAAACACCGTTTTCCGGTACGTTACCGTTTTAGCTCTGGGGAATTACACCAAATGAAGTACATAACACATTTACGAGATATGTCTATTTTTCTATCATTATTTAACCGTTTAAGGTGAAATAAATTGATGTTTTTGAAAATTATCAATATTCGTTTAATATCTATTACAAATTATTAAAAAAAAAAAATTGTTTTTAATGAAAATCAATAAAATTCAAACAGACGTAGTGGAATCTTCGATAGTAAATAAGGCTATTTTCTGCGTAAACTTGTGTATTTACTTTATTTTTTATGGAATTATTCATACAATGATATTTAATTATTTTCTTATAAAGAAATAAGTGTTTTATTTCAGTTTAATTTAAAAAAAAGGCCGAAAACATTGACTTCGCTATTACACTCCATTACGTGAATTCCCCAGAGCTATGTACAGAAAGTACCGGAAAACGGCGTTTAGCTAGGTTTTCGAATTCGTGAATTCTAAAATTACCAAAACTTAAGTTTTTATTTCAGAAAAAAAAGGCGATTGTTGCAGTCATAATTGATGGTAAAGATTTTAGCAATTCAGTAAATATTTACTTACATATTTCTTTATGATTGCGTTACCGTTACTCACATTGATTTCGCTCAAATTCTCTGAAATTATTTTCCAAGAACTGGACGGACACAAAAATTATTGCACAACTAAATAAATCTGTAATAGACATGTAGGGATTTGATAAATAAAATTTTTCACACCAAAAAAATAAAATAATATGAAATTAGACGGGGAAGTCGTTAAAAAATTCCTTTCATTCTTTCCGTTTAAAATTGTCATTCGGTATTACATGCACCGCTTCCGTTTTCACTCGGAACACTCAACATTTAGTATTTATCCGAAAAGTTGAGATTTGTTCCGTTATCGGAATACCCCGCCTTTTATCATTGAGTTACATTGTAAATGGCGTCGCCCGACTAGAACTGACACTGAAAATTTCATTGATAGGTATAGAATTCTATATATTTTTTAAATGTTTTTTATTTGATTTTCTTTTAAATATACACGTGTAGTCTATAGCCGGGCAAGCCAAAGCCCGGACCCACTTCGCGGGCCCGGTCTTTGCCTTCCCCTTAATAATAATAATAACGCAGATATACTTACCTATGAAAACTGGAGGAAAAAAAAAAAAACTGTCAAAATCAAGAAAATATATCGCATATTACAGGAATTAATAATTTGATACTGATCCAAGAGGTCTACAGTTTTTTAGTAGTTCATTGTTGATTTTCAACGGTATTGTTGTTTCTAAAACATGCTGAGTGATGTACTTACTATTCAATTGTGACCCAACTGAGATTTGGTATTTATTATGTTTTAGAATAAGTCAAACTATTTTGATGTGCCAAAGCTGGGACGATATCTTTCTGTCCCAGGCCAAAGCTAGATTCTATGGTATTTTTATTCTTGGTCAGAATCTTGCTTCAAAGGGAGATATTGCCAATACACAAAATGCCACCACAAAGTATCTTGTGGGCGCAACTTAATTATCTCATGGCCAGGACTTAGTAACTCATTGCCACGACATAGTATCTTGTGTGCACCACTTGAGTATCTCATGGCCACAACTTAATAACTTTTGGCCACCACATAGTATTTCAAGGGCACCACTTAATTATCTCATGGCCAAAAGTTACATATTATCTTGTGTGCACGAGATAGATAAAAATGCACAAATGTCACCTTTGTGCCACTGTACTTTTGCAGCATTTTTTTTCCTTATGTATATGAAACCGAAAAACGACACTGTTCCCAATAGAAATACACAGCAAGTTACTGATCTAATGACTTATAAATTCCCAAAGTAACACTGACAATTTCCTCAAAAATCAGCAAATTTAAAAGTTAACAAAAAAAGTAATGGCCATTTATCAGGGCTTGAGCTAGGGGTTGACTTGGGCTAAGAAGTCGCCTTCAGCTGAACAACTTCGTCTAAAACAAACTTAAAGTGATATATAGGATAAAAACCAAGTATGGCCACATGAGCGATATTCGTACCCAGTTCATACCGTACTTTAAGTGTTTCACACCTAATTATTAATTATGTTATATGGTTATAATTATGATAATCATTTTTTTTTCAATCTCAAGTAGCAAAAATAACTATCAAAGTTAATAATACTTTTTATACATAATTTTCATGTCTCCCTGGATAAAGGAAATTTCCAAAGAATATTTTGTATCTCAATGTAAAATTCCCAATTTGAGTCGAACCAATGCATTTTTTCCCCATCTGTCTGGTACCAGCACCATTCCCAAAGCAGGAGGAAAAAAGCACTGTTTTGTCACTTTGTGTACAGGTGTAAAATGCATACAAACCTTGTATTTAATGTCAATTTATAAATTTATAAATGGCTTACAAAAGAAATAGATTTTGAAATCTATAAAAAATCTACATTTTGATTGAATAAAGTATGTAGATTTCTTTGCGGTTAAGTTTCATGATCCAGTATTAACAAAAAATATGATTGTAGAATTATCCATTAACAGATTATCAGAGTTAATACATGTATCTAATTTTGACTATTGAAACTGGAAGTTTTTGTATAGATTGGTTTAAGGAGGAAACATTGGGTTGATTTTCTGCAAAAATAACTACATGTACCTGTATTTTTGTTTAACTACAGTATTAAATGTCAAGGTGTTTGGATATTAGGGATACCCAAAAGAAAGGAAAAGATGACTTGTTATTATGATCCGGTGCACCGTGGTTAAAGTTCTAAATGTCACTCGGTGCAACTCTTGGATGTAAAACTCAAGAAACTGTTGTAACGGCTTAATCACATTTATGGAAATTTGTGTAAAACTGTATTTTTTTGCAAAACTGAATTTTTGTGTTGCCACCATGTAATAGTGGTGACATGTAGGGATCACTTCTGCATCATCATGTGATTTTTTGTGTTGCCAGCTGCACAGAAGTTTGTCTGGTCTTCTTCTCAGACACTTCTAGTGGAATGATCAACACCATGTCTAGTTGTGCAGTGCATCTCATCAACATTATTTTTAAAGTTTGTCTGGACTTCTCTATTATACTACTAATCTAATTTCATTTAAACTTTACAGGATTGATCAGTAGCTCAAATTCTTGTGCATATTACACAGGTTTTTAGGTTGAATGATTATTTGCTGAGTTATGGCTATCATGAGGTGACACATGTGATCACTGTTTTAATTATTTCTTATATAAATATAAAGCACCTTTTTGAAAAGTAGTTGACTGTCATTTCATGCTTTGAAAATATAGATCCTACTGTAATACTAGGTATTGTATTAATTAAGGTAGGAATGTTTATTTATAATTATTATTAATTCAAATGCAATGCATATCTTGCATATCTATTATTTGGCCTTCTATATTTACAGATGGTGAAATAAAAATACATGTACTAAAAATAGAATATTTTCTGAAAATACAATGTGATTTTACCCATTAGTGATTTTAAGAAACAGATGGACTTGTTTTGAAAATTTAACATTTTTGGTGACTACTGCTACATAATTGTGGACTGTGTTTTGTATTTTAAAGGGTATTTTGTATAAATTATTGGGGGTTAAATTGTAATAACTTATACATTGGAGAGGTAATAGGTGCATATTCTATATTAAACCAGTTTAAATAAACTTTATCTTTATACATTTATATTAGTCTTAGGCTTATGTTGAAATATTATTGTTTGAAGATTTTTATTGACCCACCAAATTACACAGCATATAAACAAAATCACTGTACCATGTCTTGTGAGCCTTTGACCAAGACAGGCAATAACAAGTTCCTGCTACTTCTGATTGCTGTAACTTTTTCGGAGCCTGTGTATTTTAAATTGAACCATTTCTTGCACACTTATCCATATCATGTGAATTAAACCTTTGGCCACGCTTAATATTATTATTGGACATGTTTTAATCTTGAGAAAATAATTCATCATCTTTATGGACAGTTTTAGAACATTTATCAACTGAAAAGTGAACAGTGCAGACCATGATCATACGACACCGCTAATCTTGGTTTGCACTGATTGCATGTGTAGATTGACTGCTACCTCGGTGGTCGAGGGGTTAGAGTCGATGACTTCTAATCCAGTTACCTCTCTGGCGTGGGTTCGATTCCAGGGAGATGCTTTTGGTAGTTTAGCGTTGAGAAAGGTAGTCTAGTACTGGTGTAACTCTTCAGGAAGGATGGTTTGGAAACTACCCGCCTATATGACTGAAATACTGTTGGGAAAAGGCGTAAAATGAAACAAAAAACAAACAGCTACCACCAGCTGAGGCCAAGGGATAAAATTCTGTTGATTTGAACATAATGTATTTCTGCTAAGAGAATTAAAATGATTTTTCCTCCTTCTTTCCATGAAAGGTTGTTACTAAGCTTAAAGGATTAAACCCTTATATTTAAAGTAACAAAAAAAACAAAGATGATGATTACATAGTGATAGTATAATTGCTGTCGCCACACAGTCATGTTCCCCTTTTGGCTGAGGGTTGTGTAATATACAGGTTGAGGCAACAGAATTGCAGTCACCGTTTAACCCTGAGTGATTGTAATAGGTGACTAAATGGGTTAAATGCATCTTTAAGCTCCAGCAGGTGAGGTTGGTTTTGATCCCTGGTGTTGCTAAGAGTTTGTAACACCCCAGGTTAGTCAAAATCCTATTTCCTGTTGTGGCGGCATATGGCCTAAACTGTGTTGGTGGGTTGGTAAACAAAATACAACACAACATCATCACACATGTTCAATAATGGTTTGTTTTATGTTCACACTGGAACCAACTGGGTGCTCCACATTTTAAAGTCAATAAGTCTGCACTAGGCACATTTTCCATGTTTTTTCTCCTCAAATATTCATAAAAACAACAGAAATGTGTCATTCGGATATTCTTATAAAAGGTTGTTAGAAAAAAGATGTTTATATAGTTCTAAGTATCAGACTTAGAATAAACATTTATATGAATTTAATCTCAGGGATTCCTCTGGGATCCCTGGTAAAAACAGTTAGTGTTGAACCCTGAAGATTAATAATATTTTGTTCTTGAACAAGTAATTATCTGATATATACATGTACATGTAATTTATAGATATATATCAATAATAAAACTTCAATATTCCTATTTTATTTTTCAGAAAATGGATGAAAGCATATTTGAAGACCTTGAAAAATTATTTGAGGAGTGTGATGATGTTGTGAATAGTTTTAATAAAACTGTTGCAGATGAAGAGCAATTAGTTGGTTCACAGAGTGCAAATGAAACAATACTTTATTCAGATGGTGATAATGAGGTTATTTGTAATAATAAGGTCAAAGTCCTTGATTCTGGAAAGATTGAACATAAGACAGAGGTGCCAGAATCAAATGTCATAAACAAAAGCATATGTCACATTGCACAAGTAGAACATGAACCAGATGGTCACAAGGAAGAATGTGAAACTGTTGAACCAGTTATCAAAAAAATTGAGAGTGAAATAGAAGTACATGGATCCAATATTGTCAAGATTGGAAGTGAAACAGGAGATATTCATAAAACAAAATGTGGAGCAGTCGATAAACCTGATTTAAGTGAGATTTCTTTGAAAAAATGTTGGAAGAGAAAGCAAGAGGAGGAAAGTATTAAGGATGTCTCATTACTTCATGAACAGTCTAGTAAGGAAGAAGGGGAGTGTACTGAAACTTTTGTGGAAGAGAAATCTCTTGGGTGTACAATGGAAGAAAAGGTAAAGAAGAAAAAAACTGGACCAGAGATTAATTATTCTTCTTTTATAGACTCTTCTAAGGAAGACGGGGAATGTTCAACCACAAGTTTTGAAGACAATGAACTTGAAATAACTGTTAAGGAAGCCTCCCCTTCAAAGATGACCAAAGTTTGTTCCGGTACTTACAAGGAAAACAAAGGTATGCTGGTATTTAAGCCGGTGGAAATAAATTATGAACAGGAATTGAATATGTGTAAAAATTTGAGAAAAAGGAAACGATCACTGTCTGAATGTAATGAGAATACTCCTAAAAGACGACACTTGTTGATAACTGACTGTGAGGATGCATTGTCCCCAATAGGCTGTGTACCATCAAGTGCTGACAAAGGAAGGAACATACTTGAAGTAGCTGATTCACCAATGATTGAATCTAAATTTAGATTGCAAGAAACAAAATTGAATTTTCAAGAAAAAGTTGTCTCCAGTAGTACACCATTAAGCACATCACAAAAACCTTTGTTACCATCTGAAGGAGCATGTGGCACTCCACTTGCTGCAACAAACTCTGGTAAACAGAATAAGTTTGCAAAGAGAGAGATTCTTAAAGTTGTAGAACTGTCTGATTCAGATTCTGATTTTCATGGCTTTAGTGATGATAATGAAACAACTGATAAATGTCAGACTGTGGATGAACTTATTGCTGAGATAACACAGCTGTGTGAAGATTGTGAGAAAACATTAGAAAGTGAAAGAAGTGATTATGAACAAGTAGGAAAAGGACCTGATAAGCCAGTCAGTAAAATTCAGTTAGATGAGCTTTTAGATGAATGGAAGACAAAGAGTTCACAAGAAAGTGGTACAGATTCTGAAGATGACGAAAAAACTCTTGTGGAAGATGTGAATAAAGATAGCCAGACCGAAGGAACAGAAACTGCTGAAAGTGATATAGAAAATTACACAGTGCTATCAGCTGTGGGTTCTTATAAAAAAGATGAAAATGAGGATGACAATGATGAAGACAAGGTTGGCAGGTTTAAAGGTGAAGTGACAGTTTCTAGAATTGAGGACGAAAAAGGCAATGAAACTAATAGGGTAGTAATTGATATGATTTTGTGTGATAATGATGATCAAGAACTACAATATGGAGATGACTTACTGAATCTAGATGACTATGATGATGAAGGATTTGTTGATGAGAATGTTTTAGAAAAGTCACATCTTACCAAAGATTTGAGTACGTCTGTGAAAGCTCAAGTGACTGTTGAAAACAATAACAATATTCAGGGAAAACAAACAGCTAAACAACCAGACACCCTGTTAGAACTCATACCCAGTCTTGAAATAGAGAGGAAGGACAATGTAGATAGTATTGGAAAAGCTGATACAGATATAAATGAAAATGTTGTGAGAGGTTTAGATTATGCTGCTTTTGACACATCTATATATAGGAGGAATGAGAATACTACCATTGAAAGAGAGATATGTAAACGCTGGAGAACTCATGGTTCTGCTGACCCAGATGTGAACCTGACTGTAGCTTCTACTAAGCGTAACAAATGTAAAAAAGCAGGGAAGAAGCCGGAAGCTGGGTACTTGGAAGGGGACCATGTGGTTTGTACATATCTTTACGAGGAAGAGATTTTATCAACATTCAAACGCTATGGAAAAACTACAGGACAAAGTGATTTATGCTACATGACACTAGACAATTTATTGAACAAACTGTACAATCAAAAAGAGATTCTGGAAAATATGAATAAGCAGTCACTGATAGATATAAAGCAAACTTTGCAGTGGCAACTGACAGGGACCAAAGAACGACACATGGAGGAGATGAACGCTTTAAGATACAGGTAAGGCCAACCTAAAAAAGTATTGTTTTGCCTCCTGTGTATGTAAGGTATATCTTAAATTTGGTGGTAATTTTGTTAATTTAAGCTTAATAAGAGTTCCATCTTTGATGTGAAGTTAATTTACAAGAGTTTAAACTACAAACTTTTGATTATCTTCCAAATTCTTGTTGACCATGCCATTGACTGCCTTAAACCAACTGGTTTGGTTTGATTTTACCTGCATTAAAATTTTATTTCTTTGTTCAGGCTTTCATTGCCTTACTGTTTGTTCGTTATCTTACACAATGTCAAATTTTGATAGAAATTGTTCATAGTATCTTAATATTGAATTGAATTTTGAAATGGTTTACAATGCTTTAAAGTATTTTCTTAAATTGAAATTAAATGTTGCAAAGCAATATTAAACGTTGATCCATCTCTTTATTATAATTTATTTGTTGTTGAATATTTAGACTAATTATCAAGTGTACTGGCTTATTTCAGGCAAACTATGGAAGATGATCAGTTCAGGTTTACTTCTAGGATTCAGTTCAATCCAATAGAGTTCCAAAATAGAATAATGCAGCTACGACAAGATCATTTGTTCCAACAAGAGAGATTGAAAGAACATCACCAGAAAGAGTTTTGTGCAGTTCGTGCTCGAGGACTGGATATCTTAAATCAAGAAATTAATCGGCACTCTGTACAATGTGAACCAATAGGTCAGCTTATAGAACAGCTAGAAAAACCGGAAGCTTATGCTTCGTTGTCGCCAAATAAGTACGGACCTCCGATTGTGGTAAGCCTCAGAAAAGGTCCCTGTAGGGCAAATAACGGGAAACATTCTTCTGTACCAGTTTGTTTGTCAGCAGGAATAGCTCAAGCAGTCTCATTGGAAGATGATCTTTACGACCATTACTATGGTTACTAAAATGGCAGCTTGAGAGGAAAAACTGGACATTTTACTGGTTATTATTTTTGACAGTTTGAGAAAGTTCAAAATTACATTTTTAGGAGGGATTTTATCTGTAGAATTTGAATTTTTTTTTAGCTCACCTGTCACAAAGTGACAAGGTAAGCTTTTGTGATCGCAATTCGTCTGGCATCCTTCAGCACATCCGTCTGTAAACTTTTACTTTAAATGACATCTCCTCATAAACAGCTAAGTCAATTTAATACAAACTTCACAGGAATGTTTCTTTGGTGGTCACCCTTGATAATTGTTCAAAGAATTAAGTTCCATGCAGAACTCCATGGCAACTGAAAGAAAAAACTTAAAAAATCTTCTTTTAAAAAAACCCAAAGAACTAGAGCTTAGATATTTGGCATGAAACATCTTACCAGGTTTGTTCAAATAAAAGCCCTGGGGTCAAAATGGCCCCCCATTGGGGTGCCATTGATATCCCTTATATTTATATAGTAAAAACTTTTAAAAACCCCAAAGAGCTAGAGCTTAGATATTTAGCATGAAACATCTTCCTGTGAGTGTCTGCCAAGTTTGTTCAAATAAAATCCCAGGGGTCGAAATTCGGCCTGCCCAGGTGGTTCATTGATTTTCCTTAAATGTATATAGTAAAGTATGTACAGTCTTCACGAAAAACTTTAAAAAGCACAGGACATTCGGGCCAGTAAAATTTCAAATCTTACTGGACCTGGTGATTTTTAGCCGGACCAAATACATAGATAGGTAATAAATTGATTGGTAAAGGAAAACACTTTATCATGCTTCCCTTGATAATTATGAAAGAAGCATAATACTTCTTGTATTCTGGGCCATATGTTGACAGCTTTTAAAAATCTATAAGGACCAAATGTTTAGGCAAAATTGACTAGAATTGAACATGAACAATGCAATTTGCTTCAAACAAATCACTTTCACACAAAATATTTACTTAACTTAATAATCACAAAATCGAAGCTAAATAAGGACCATAATAAACAATGGTTTAATTTCCGTAACTGTCTGGTGCGGTACGAAAAATATCCAAGAAAAAAAATGGCGGCCTCCATTACTCAATACAATTTAGACATCTCTCGCTGTGTTTTGAACGTTTAAAACAGAATTGATGGGTTTCATTTGCAAAAAAGGCAAAAAGATCAATCTTTTAGAGAAACCTGCTTCATTATTTTGATGAATTTTTCTTATAATATTTTTTCATGACAAAAAATCTACTGGCCCGTTGGACCACCAACCTTGTAATAATCACCGGACCGATGCTAAATTTAGTGGCCTCGGGCCTCGGACTGGCATTAATTTCGAAGACTGTATGTATATAGTAGTCATGGAGAGTTTTTATATTCAGGTGAGCGATTTCAGGGCCATCATGGCCCTCTTGCTTTATAGATTGCCTGTGTTTTGTAACTGTAATACTTGAGTATTATTTTTAGATAAAGTTTCAAAGTGAGTTGAAATTAACTTTGTTCAAGTGATAAGGACTGTCTATACTGTTTTCAGTTTTACAAAAATATTTTTTGACAGCATGTTTTATTCCTAGTCAGAATAAACCTTTGTAGAATGTTTTCTTGCTTATGACGCCAGTATGGAGCAAGGCCAGCCTGCACATCTGTTCAGTATATCTAGGCACTTTACTGCTGGCCACTGTTTCTTAATTTTATCAAATCGTTACATCAGAATCCCTCATGTTAATAAAGAACTGTTCCAAATTCAGTGCAGGACAAGTCAATTGTACATGTATAAAATTTCAGTGTGGCTGATTGTTATAGCTATTTCCCATAGATAAGAATTTAAAAATGATGTAGTAAATTTTCTGAACATTATACAGTGCATTATCCATAAATACTTATACATTCTTGGAAAAAAACGTTACGGTTAATATGCCAAGTATGCATCCATTTCATAAATATTTTTTGTATCAGTATAAGTACACCATTAAGCAATGTACCCCTAGCAACCAGCAAAATCTTGAAACAAATAATTATAATTTTTAACTTTGTATTTAAAACATGCCAGTCTTTATTTCATGCTAAAGATGCATACATTATTAAAATTAGCTTATGTGAACACTTTTAAATACGGTAGGTTTACCTAAATATATATGAAAATGTGGATAAATTTCCTGTTAATTCTTTCATTGAATTAATAAATAATGTTATACGGTAATAAATAATAATGCATTTATAGTCTTTAGGCAAATATGTTCAACTGATGTAATAAAGTATCTCAGAAATATAAAAATAGAGGAAATTTGTTTAGATCAGTGTAAGATCGGAATATACTAAATATACTAAACTAAACAAATTTTCTTTTTATTATATGCAAAGAAACGTTTAAAAAGATATTTTAACCTAGTACGTCAAAAAGCACGTCAAATAATAATACAACGTGATGTCATTTAGGACTTCACCTCATTAAGTTGGTTTCCAGTACTGTGCAAGCTGGTATTTCACTGAAACAATGTAACAAGCTTAAATTCAAAACAGTGAAAAATATCAAATTGATAATTTCACTTTTTCAAACAGTGAAATTATCGGTTTATATCTCTGACACTGATATATTTATATAAACCACTAAAAAGCATGTAATAAATCTTTGTAAATCATACATTAAGCAATATACAACAGGTGTAAAGGTACGTGTATTTATGGATGGCGCTGTATATAAATGTTAATATGAATAAGAATTTTATGGTTCTGTAGTAAATTTACTCATCTTTATGTATGAAATTTGAATGTATGCATGAAAGAAGAAACATTTTATGACTCTCACTCTGAAACTGAAAGAGAATTTTTTGAACATGTAATAACTTATTCACCCGATATTTTAATCAATATATAACCATGAAGTCCAAATACCTGTCATACACGTCACAGGTGTTTTTGTACATGTGAACGTAGTACTGGTATATGACCTGTAGTATGACTTAAGTAGTGTGACTTAAAGGTAAATTATAGATAAAATGTCAGGTTTCTGCAATTATAAATTTGTTACTCATCTTCAAAAGAAGTTGAAAATTAAAACATGATACATAGATCTATGAAATGCTTCTGATGGAATCTTGATATAAAAATAATTATTTTTAGACTTGGGGGATCCCATCCGTCTGATTCTGCCTTGGGATTCTAGATTGTAATTAAATAGTTAGTGTTTTACGTCCTTAACATGTCCTTAATATGTAACGTTTCATTGATAAAACTAAAAATTTCAATGAAAGCCGGAAATGATGAATAGACACTTGAGTGACTTTGACCACATTGATATGTATATGCTCTTATTGATGTCATTTCTTAGTAAAGGAAGAGAATTGCTTGATTTTAGATAGTCTAAATATGGTCGTTTTTTTTCCCCCCTCCTTACTTAGTTTATGTCATTATAATAAGGTTTATTTATCAGAATGCTTTTTTTGGACTAATTCAAAGTTAAAAGAGAAAATTGCATTTTGTGTAAGGTGGTGCTAAAATTATGACATGAAAGGCAGGAATTAGTCATAAAAGTACATGTACATACAGTGAAAGGGCCATCCATGGTGGAGTGGTCAAGGTCACTGACTTCAAAAACCCCTTTACTCTCGCTGCTGAATTCAAAGTCCCTTCCCTAGGGTTGGAATCAAGCCATGGATTTGAATTCTTCCAAGTGAGGAAGCTATCCAGCTTAGATTTACAGAATGTCTGTGGTTCTACTCAGGTTACCGCATTTGCTAGAAATAATGCCAGAAGGGTCACCAGTCTTCCTCCATCATTAAAATTGGAATGTCACAATAAGACCTTTATTGTATTGGTACGACGTTATAATACCCAACTAAAGAAAAAATCACACAAAATAACATATAGAAGTTAGCTGTACATCGTTCTATGTTAAAATATTGCTGTCTGAATTGATTCTAATTATAATCAAATGATAAATCTTATTAGATTACAAAAATGTGATTTAGTTACTAAAACTACAAAGTATACCAGTACATATGGTGTATTCACACAAATATATTTCTTTAATAAAATGTTGCTGTCAAAACTGAACCCCATTTATTGAAAAAAAAAAGAGATTTTAACAGTATGATTAGAAAAGGCGTTTTTGGATCACAAGACCAACCTTCTTTCTCATTTTTTGCCATTTTGCTTTTTTTCGAATTTTCTTTTTCTCATTGAATTCCCCAGTATAATAAATATTAATTATTGGCAGTCCCTTATATTCAAAGCAGATTTGTTCATTTAACACAAGTAAAATATCTGAGCTTAATTATATTTGTTGTTACAATTGAAACAATGCTTATGTATGCCTCAATGGTTCATGATAGTGAATGTTGTTTAAATGTTTGCATATTCTTTTGAATGAGATAAAAAAAATATAGGTCAATCAAGTGTTTAGTGAATATATAAATTTTTGTACTTTTGCTCAGTCAATTAAATATTTTATAGAATGGGCTGATATCTTATCATGGCCATATAGAACTTGTTTCAAACACTCAGTGGTTGGGACCCAGACAGCTGTGGTTCAAATTATGATTTTTTTCTTGCTAATGAAGCTTTTAGTTAGCTAACACAGGTATAAGTGCTTTTGTCTTAAATAATTTATGTAAAAACTTTCATTGTTTATAAAAAGAAAAGGCATTTGCCCATCAGTTTGCAGAGAATTTATGATAAAGGGTCATGCTTATATTACAATAATGTAGCGTAGATGTGGTATTTATATCATGGGAAACCCATAAATCTATTTTTAGAACAAACTATTTTTAGAATAAACTATTTTTAGAATAAAAATGCTGTTTAAGATATAAACATGTATATGTATTATATCAAGGAAATCCGTGATTATTACATGCTAAACAAATGCTTTTTTTGAACAAAAATCTGTAGCTGCACCTTTCACAATCTTAATCATTTAAGTACTGATGTAAGTCCTATATGTGGACCATGTGTTCAGTAATAATGTTAGGCAAAAACAGTAATACGACTTTTCAGTTATATGTATTTTTCAGGAACATGTATTTTTCACATGTGTTTTGCACGATAATTTTTATCAGCATGTGTTTATCATAACCATCTCGCCTTTTTGCCGTAGTAACCCCTATGAGATTTTCAGTGTCTGAAGTAAAACATATCTTAAAAATACTGTGTTAATTTGAATTAATCCTGATTAATTAAGAGACATATTGCATTGCAATTACAAGGTTTAAGCGATATAAACACTTTGTCTTTTTTCTGTACTTATAAATAGATATTCATATTGAAGAACAAATCATGACAAAAATAGACTTTACATTATTTGTGGAATCACCAACTGTCATAATACTCTAATTTCAATGATATACACATGGCTAATGTATATTTTGAGTTTCACTTGCAGGTATCTAAATCACAATGACAGCTGCATAATGTAATAAAAGTTATCATGTACTGATTGTTTAAGTATTGTTTAACATCCAGTCAATTGCTATTTTTTGAACTTTCATTTAATTACTATATATGGTTATAAATGTAGTTATTAACTCAAAATTGATGTTTTCCGTCTTTCCATTCATTAATGATGATTTGAGAGTGATGGGAAGTAGTTGTTTCACATTGTTATTATGTTACTAACAATATCACATTGTTATTATGTTACTAACAATATGAAGTACATTTGTTGAAAACTGCACTGACTTGATCCCAAGAAGATTTAATATTCATCTAAAAACTAATTGTAATGTACCAGTTATTTGTAAACCCGACCTTCCACACCTACTTTCGGAGGGGTGTGTGGGAGAAAAAAGCAACAAGGATTGTCCCAGCTGTACCACAGGCGTTTTTGCACATTTGCCATTACAATAATGATTAAAATTATCATAGAATAATCAACCATTGGTCATCATATAGATCTATATACTTTACATAGTAAACGGAAGCTAGATTATTTTGTTCTTTATGATCAAGGGGTGATTATTTTATGATAATAAGACCATTGTTGGCACTGCAAATGTGCCGAACGCATGTGAGATGTACAAGCTTATTTTGTTTTATCGCTTGATTATTTTTTTGAGGAATTATGGGTAAGGGAAATTGCCAAAGCATTGAAGATTGATGATATTTTGGAGGAATATTTCTGGCTGTTTGTCTTCTTTTTGTTTGGGCATTTATTTAAGGATATATTTAAATTAAAGCCCCTGCAAATCACAGGGCTTTGGAGGACTTGGCTATAAAAATGTCTGGTGCATACATATTTGACAAGTTCAACTGTATTTTGATATTCTCAGATTTATGTTGAAGTTGACTAAATGTTATGCTATGCTATTCTATCATATAATGCTCAAGGAAAATAATTACTTTGTAAAAACCTTCCTCAATAATAACAACGGAACTATAACAAGTCATAGCAATGACTAGTTCTTGGAAATTAAATGACACATTTTGGTTGTAACTAAAAACTGAATCTATTTATGAACTTGAATGATGAAATAGAGCAAAAATTGATGAATGAATTTTTCTTTACTTATAATGCGGTCCTTAATGTAAGATATGGAATAGGATAGTCAATAGAGATAACTGATTTTTAATCAGTATTTATTGTATACATGTATAGTTGAAACATATACATGTATGTACAACAGCATGACATAATACGGATTGAAAAGGAAGACTTATGTAAGTTTGTTTCGTGAGAAAGTTGTTGTAATTTGTTGTTTTATACGCCCAAATCTTCCAGACCTTATACATTTATTAGAGTATGGATGTCCGTTTACATAGAAAATAAGTTTCTGTGGCAAAACTTTTGAAGGATTTTGAGTGACTGTGTTTATATTTGGCATGTCAGCATGTTACATCTTGAATTAAATAATTGCTGATAGAGCTATTTCACTTTTTAAGAATTTTAAAAATAAAATTATTGGACTTTTGAAGGATTTCAGTGATTTAGTATATATTTGGCAACATTTGTTTTTGTCGTACTGAAATGATGGTTGTATTACAATAGAAGGACTTTCAATATTTTCCTAGTACATGAATTATATACTTATTATTATAATAATTCCCAGGATGGTTAATTGGCCCATCCTAGATAACCTAAGCAATCTCACAAACTACTTGACCTTCTTTTAGGACAAACTGATTGTACTCTAGTACATGAGAAAATAAGAACGCTAAAAATAGATTACTTCTTGTTTTCCCACTTTATCTGGTTTTCCCAGTTTATCTATCTTGAAAGTTGCAAGCCAGCAAATTCCCCAGTAATGTAAACGTATCTTGCAAAACTGAAATTATTTTACAAATGATCGTAGAATATCGCAACAACAAAAATACATCCGAACTTTTGACTATTATATTTACTTATTTTTGGACACAATCGTTTCTTTACATAATGCGTTTCTAAACGTACAAAAAGCAGGGTCTTTGGAAGACCCTGAAAAAGGTTATAGTCTGTGTATAAATAGCAATAGGTGACATTTCTGTTGTGAGTAACATTACGATTGGTTAAAGATTGTTTTCTTTTTCAGATTGATGAATGAAAACAAGAACAACAACAAAAAAAGAAAAACAAACACAAAAAAACACACACACAAACAAATGGAAATTTTATCAATGTTCAAACATATAATTTTTGTTATACATGTGTTTGTCAAATGCGCAAGTCAGATGTTTCTCTGCATAAACTTCATGATTGCACTATTTAGATTTCACGAATTCACGGGTTCAACTGTACGACCATGGAGCTTTATATATGTAATATAAGTTAAGGAAATCACGATTTCATCTTTATTTACACGATCACGATTTCAACTAATCACGATTTCAACATCACATTAAGATTTTTATATTTCAATTACTACGAGAAGAGAAAGTGTCTTGTAAGTAAACAGTAGCTGAAATAGGAATATAAATCTCTGTATCATCACTAGATCGCTGAATGTTGGACACCATATTAGGCGCTTCAGATGTCAGTATCATTTCTTTATTCCATTTAAAATTTACAGTCCATTGTTGAAATTTTCAGTTAGACTGATTTCGCGAATAAAAAAATATACCAGAAAAAAACGCACGCACACAGACACACACACACACACACACACACACACACACACCAAAACGGTCGGAAATTTCCATAAATCACCAGCTCTGTCGACTCGGCAATCGTAACATCTAGGGCGACTTGTTATTGAGTTGTCGGAAAAAGCTGAGTTGTTCGATTTTTCTGACCCTCCAAAAATGATCAGTTAGCCGATGTGTACACACAAGAACATAATTTATCTTTGATATAACCTTGGACAAAATAATTCTTTTTTTTCAAGGCCAGATGGAACATACTAGAACTTGTGTATGTTCGGGTGAACTTTATCTGCTGAATTCAAAATGACTGCAAAAGCAAGCGAGAGAAGAATTAAAATTGCCGATGTTACATGTCATAAGTAATCTTTGATCTTATCCACACTGTATAAGAAAATAATATTTTAGCCAGCATATGTAGCTTATGCCTTCTGTAATTATGATCACTAAATCGGTTAATTATCAAAAATGATATTATCTCAACATAGTTACCTTTCAAAGATTAGAAAAGTTTTCATATATGATATTTTGCTAAAGATCTTAGTATTCAATAAGCAGCAATAGAGCATAATGTGCATTCTAGGGTTCTGACAAATTGAGGATGATTAGTTGGGCTGTTCCATTCAATAATTTGAGCGTATTTGGTGTTAGTATTCGTCCGTTCTGTTGTCACGTTCATGTTAAAGGTAAATGAAATATAGCACACTTTTCAGATAAGGTCATCGACTGATAGCTAAGATATACGATAATGATAAAGGTGTTGGTGAGTTTTAGGTCATATATTGATAACTTAAATATCTGTCACAGATTTAATTAACGGCGAAAAAAAAATAGAATTGTGAATTAAAAATGCCTTTCTCTGATTTGTTTTCGAATGAAAACTTGTGGTTTTCAAATAAAATTAGATGGAGTAATTTGACAACAGACGCCGAAAAGGGAGAATATTTTCCACAACCTATAAATTTGATATGGTCGATACCATTGGGACTTGTTCTGATTTGTGCCCGTCGATTTCTTCAATCTACCATTCTTCTCAATCTTGGATATTACGTTGGGGTTCCAAAAACGAAACCTGTTTATGTCCCGGAATGTCCCGTACTCGAAAAAGCTTATAAAACCGGTTGCCAGAACGACAAACGAGTTTTAGAGAACCTTTCTAAGCAGACGGACTTATCTGTTCGGCAAATTGAAATATGGTTCCGGAAAAGGGCGAAGAAAGATGGTCTAACCGATATTCAACGATTTACAGAAAGTTCATGGCATCTTTTGGTTCGAGGTTCTTCGTTTATGATTGGCTTGCTTTTCCTGTGGAACAAAGAGTGGTTCTGGGAAACAAAATATGCATGGATAGATTGGCCTAACCATCATGTGTCACGTGACATTTATTGTTACTTCATCTTTGAACTTTCAATATATTGGCATCTTATTTTCAATTTGTTAATGGACTTTAAAAGGAAAGACTTCTGGCTTTCTGCAATCCATCATTTTTGCACAATAGTTCTCATGTACTTTGGATGGGTTCTAAATTTTGTGAGAATCGGTTCACTTGTCCTCTTAGTTCATGACGCCTCCGATCCATGGGTAGACCTAGGAAAACTCCTGGTATATAGCAAAAGAAAACGGGCATCTGAGATTATTTTTGTGATTTTTATCTTCGTTTGGATGTCAACCAAAGACGGTATATACCCATTTATACTTCTCTACAGTACAACCTTTGAGGCACAAGTATACCTACCGGTCACTAAGTACACTGTGATATTTTTCAATTCATTTCTATACATCCTAATGATATTGCATGTGATGTGGACATATATGATATTTGAGGTCATTATAAATAAGCTGAGATACGGTGAACTAAAAGACGTGCGTAGCGACGAGGAATTAGAGAGTGATGACCTTGAAACCCAATCTTAAAACCTGAACATTATATATGAAGTAGATAAAGATAAAATTATTTTTGTTGGAAATTTAGAGTGAATGTTCATTGTTTTCTATAAACCCATTGTTTTACTGTATACACAAACACTCTTTTTATTAATTAACTGTATATACATACTTAAAAAAACTCATTTTCAATACAATTCGCATGTAGTACAATTGAATTCATGGTGTTTGAACTGCGTTGATGTACTTGTCAATTAGTGCATTACTGAAGGGAAAAAAGTATTTTCTTCGATCTGCGAAATAATACATCATTTCTTACACTTATAAGTAGTCCTGGCTGGGTAGCTAAAATATGTCAAAACTGCTTACATTAGATTGCAATTATCATCCTGAAGATACCACAGTGCAGATAATTTGAAGTAACAAATACATGTACATTTATAGGGTAAATGAACCATATTATAGTGTTACAATTCTAAAACTTTAAACTTTGATCCGGCTGGATTTTTGTAATGAACTTACTTTGCTTTTAACATTGAACTCCCCATTGTCAATATAAGGTGAAGGATTGGAATACCAAGTGATGAAATTTAGCATGCAACAGTAGATCTAGGTATATTATTTATTTTTAGACATCACGGCTAACACAAAATACAGACTTGTCTGGTTGCGTAACGGTGGCACATATCTCGTCAAGTCATTATATCAAATAATATCACATAAATTAGATAGTTCCCAAGTTTGACAATAATTGGGTCAATATTCTTTAATAATATTATAATTAATGAGATATGAAGAAGGCTTTATAAACAGTTGATTAATCTTTATTAAAGCCGTGATATAACAAGGTTTTTATGTCAGCTAGCTTACAAATAGATGTGTCTTTATTTCGTCAAAATGGGGCCTTGTAAAATCGGAAACGGCTTTAATGCATATGCGCTGTGTATAATAAATCAACGTACACATTATTTTTTCCGGATTACATAAAAATACTCGTATAATTATAGTTTCCTATCACCCTCTACCAGAGACATATAATAAGTGTTTCTGTCTCTACATTCTTGTTTTTTTATTTTCTTCTTGATAATTTCTTTGAAAATGCACTAATCATTAGATCATTGTCGTTCATCATTTATTTTGTTAGATCTAAATTCGAATAGAATATGTCACAGACGCTTGGGGTTTGGAGCTCAAAACGCCTTTAAAATCCAAATAAAATGCATATTTGTCAATCCCAGGACATGTACTGATCATATATATCAAAAAATCTTAATATATGCCGTTTTGAAAAAAAATCATATTTCAACATCTATAAATAATAGATGTTGAAATATGATTTTTTTTCAAAACGGCTTATATTAAGTTTTTTTGATATATATGATCAGTACACTTCCAGGGACATATAATAAGTTTTGCTCTACATCTTTTTTATTTTTTCTTAAATTCTTTTGAAATGCACTATCATTAGATCATGTCGTTCATCATTATTGTAGATCTAATTCGATGAATATAGTAGATGTCGAAATTTGTGATACCTCCCATAATAATAAGTACTGCAGTGCAGTGTAGCTTGTTCAGCAATCACATCTTCTCTTGATTTCTATTAAATTCCAATCATATAAAACAGTATGTTTTATGATCTTTGTTTGATTTTTTTTCTCTCTATTTTGTCTTTCCCGCCTCAAATTTCGGATAGTCAATAAAAGCCGAGATGTTCCGATTGTACACCAATCGGATTGTCTTCGGCTATTGATCCGAAGAGTGACGGAAATGGCCGATAAGTTGCGATTGAAAATTACATCTATAAATAGAAATCTATTTATAGATAATGATTGTTCCGTTTTTTCCAAAGTCTAAATTTAGTTGGGTTTTTCAGAAACAATAATTATAATCTCATTCGTACTAAAATATTTATTCTTGTACATTATAATCACAATAAATTTAATATATATAAATACAAAATAAAACGTATAAGTTAAGTACAATTATATAAATGTAAATAATACTGATTGGTGTAAAGAGTCAATATATAGCTGCCTTCCATTGTAAAACATATATTCTTTGCAAAAATCATAACTTCTATAAAATTAATATCATATTCAGTTTCTTTCATTCACACATAACTGAATGTTTTATGATCTTTATTTGATTCTTTCTTCTCCCTATTCTGTCTCTCCCGCTATATGTACAAGATCTCATACTTGTATCATGATCTCTCCCCGTCTCGATCCCTTTCTAACAACCTCTGTGAGCGAAACTTGATACGTGTCGATCAGTGGGTTTCGATCTAGACTCGATGCCAGGATCGCACTGATTTACCATCCGAGAACGGACACGTTCATGCCTGATACACCCTTACTGTCGCTGCAACATCTTTTCGACAAATAGCACATTTTTTCAGAGACTTTGCACACTGTTCACAAGATGTTAAATGCCCACAAGGAAGAAAGGCCACAACTGCCTCTTTGTCCAAACAAATTTTACATGTCATCAGAGCCTTCAATCTTCGGTTTTCTTCAAGTAAATGTTGCTTTTCTGAAAATAAAAACAGGAATCATGTACTCACAGCTAATTATGTACTTTTACATTACAATAAGAAATTGAACAACATAAAACTAGGAGAAGACTTATTTTAAAGTGATTTTTTTAAAGCTGTAAACCTTTAAATTCTTTATTTTAAATTAAATTGTCTATATGGGTGCTTAAATAAACAATGTTGTTTTTTTTTCAAATCTTATATTAATTACCTGATTTAATTCTCGTGTTAGTATCTTTAACAGTGACGTCATTGACAGTCTTATATAGATTACTGCTAGTTCCACCGGAGGCCACGTTACTTTCATGTTCAGTAATTTCGGGTTTTCCACTGACTGTTTGTTGCTTATTCGGTACTTCTTTGTTTATTTCTTGTAAAAATTCAATGATGTACTGTGCTTTCATCTCGGAAGAACCTGGAATCACATTATTTATTCATTATATTTACATATCGTAAGAAATGTGTATATTGTGTTATTATTATCATTATTACAGTACTATTATTATTATTATTATTATTATTATTATTATTATGATTATTATTATTTAAATCCGTAATGGAAAAATTTCTAAACCCATACATCTTAATTATTTGTTGTTATAAAATTAATTAAGTAAAATATTTCATTGCCACTATCCAGAGTTTTAGATAAAAAGTCATTACTGTTACAGAATACACAATAACTCTTTAAAAGCTGACAATGTAATAAAAAGAGGGGAAAATGAAAAATTTCCTTGCAGTGTCAATTAAACGGCAAACATCTTTTAAATGTGCTTACCATATTTTTTACGAGCTGACATGAGACCGTTTTCAACATCATGTTGAGTATAACCCATGGCTAAAACAAGTTTGGCGGCGACACAGTTGATATCCAGTATGGTCTGATCATCAGGAATATTTTCAACATGTTGTTGAGACTGAAAAAAAATAATACAACAAATTCCATTAGATTAACTAGGTAAAGTACAATAATGTTATACGGAAATAATAATTTCAGCTATAAATCTTGTCAAGCAACAAGAAGAAAATAATTATAAACTTTACTCATAATAATATCACTTTAAAGTTGAACTCTTAAATAATACAATTTGCAATATATTATGTGGAAAAAAGAGTAAAATAGTAAACAAGGAAAACCTTACCTCATTTATTACGGCATTATCAGAGAGCTTTGCAGAATTGCAAATGTTGGAGAATGAGTTGCCCTTGCAGAGTTTTACATATTCACAATCTGGGAACCATCTTGCATGCTCGACCCATGGGTTGTCTTCGCCTTCCCAATTCTTCATTCCTCCGCCACAGAAAAAACACCGAACACAATCCCCCATTCCTGAAATAAATGATGCATTGTTAGATTGAATTGTAATTTTGAAAAATATGTATGTGTATAATAATTTGAAATTTAAGTTAATGTTATATTCACTTGTTAATTCATGAAAATACACGTTATTTCATGAAAATACACATAACACAATTTGTCATTTATAGCATGAAAAATCTTTATAGTTTTGTTTGGTATCAAATGGATAAATATCGCATTCAGCGTCAGCTTTTATAAATGTAAGTTTTACAAACCTGCAAAGTAGAATCCTGCTTGCGATAAAATTGCTGGGTCTATTTCATGGTTTTCCGGCCACAAAGAAAATGAACTTTGCCGTGCACTGAACAGAGCATAGTCGGGATGTTTAGGTCTTGAACCTTTTATTCCTGGATAACGTTCAATGTGTCCATTAATTGCAGCGGGTAAATTAGTTGCTTCATTATTATGAGTTTGGTAGGATGTCGTTGGTGTCTCAGTCAAGGCATGTTCAGCAGCCTGATCAGTAGGCTGACATGTATTGAGTCCCGAATTGTTTTCTGATTGCTGCAACACTGTTTTAGTTACTGGTCTTTTATTGTCATTGGTTAAATCTGAAGCTTTTGAACAATTTGTAACTGATTTCAGCCTATTTTCTCCATTTACGGCAACATTAGTAGTTTCTTCACCACAAATAAACCTACAATGTGGAGAAAGGCGCTGATGAACATCTAATGGTGTCTCATCCTCTGTCCAAACACCAGTTCTCAGCCCACAACAAAAACATTCAACTTCTTCTCCTGATCCACTGTAATAGAATCCTGCATTTGCCAACCGTAATGGACTAGCAACTGACTCCCTCGGAAAGTTTATGTATGATTGAAATCTTGCCCATTCTTTGTTCATTGCATCTCCCTTTATCATATGTTTCCCTCGCGCACCATATGTTTGTTTTCCATTTCCCCATTCGGGAGCTATAACATGCGAAATTGTATCCATATTTCTCGCTATTAACTTCTAACCATGTAGAGATAATGATGATACGCCTCAAATCGTGGATTTATATATGTGTATGAAAATTCGAGAAAACCCTCGAAATCTATTTATATGTGTGACGGTTAAACCAGCTGATTATAAATAAAAAACGATTGGGAAACCCAGCAGATTATAAATAGAATAATATAATTTGACCCAATTTCGTGATAGGACGTATTAAGGTGTTTGTGTGTTTAAGGGGGGGGGGGATAACCAAGTTTCGCTACAGTAAATTTATTATGTGATCTGATGTTTACAATGATATAAATTATACGTCCTACCCCGAAAATAACATTTGAAGGGATTATTATACTGGAGTCAGCTATTGGACAGTCTGTCACCCTG